ATTATGTCGTTAGTTGGTATTTAATAAAACCCTGTGTGGCCCGTTTTTCTATGGGTTGAACGGTTTTTTGGTAAAATAAAAAAATTTATTATTTTATTAAAAAAAAAAAAAAAAAAAAAAAAAAAAAAAAAAAAAAAAAAAAATCATATGCGGTAATTGAATCAGTTTTTAAAACGTGGGCTTAAAGGAAGGTAAACGTGCTTGGGCTTATGTAATGCCCCCTATTCCATGGAATCACGTGATACATTGAACCTCGATCTCGACACTTTCTATTGATGAATTTTTTTAACACTCAATTTGAATGTATTCATGAAATCTTTTCAGATTTCATAAAGTACCATAAACTCAGTAAGGTAGAAGGCGGGGGTTTACTCCTCGAATCTAAGGCCAACATGATATAACTTAGGAGTTCTGATCTAAAGATGGCCCGGAATGATTTACGCAAATTTACCGCTTCCTGTGGTCATGTAATGTCACCGGTACAAGATGAAAATATAATGTCCTAGTGCCTTTGAACACCGATCCTACTCTCCCTATCAGAGACCGTATAACTAAAAACGCTTTTCTACTCAAATATATGCCTAAATCTGTATCTCAGAAGTTGAAATATATTAAATAGTAGAATAGCTGCTTGCGCCTTGCCATACATGCCCCCCATGTTAAGACCTCGTCTTGTTCTTACTGGCGGTACTCTGCATGGGATATTTAGGAAAGAGGGTAAGGTTAACAATGTTCTATGTCTATGATTCTACCAATTGAGTAGATCATGTATGATACGGTGACTCGGTGAAAACAAAAGGCTGTATTTGCAAAGTATTAATGTAATCAACGATATGGTAGCTACAAGTCGTTGGCCTACACGGAGGGTATATGACAAGGAATAAAATACATTGGTTTAGAAAATAGTTGGTCGTGATAAAATAAAAATCAAGAATCAAGACGATGTATTGACGAACCATGCAACTATATCGGAACTAAATGTAGCACACAAATTCAAATCAACGGCTGAAATAGGATCACAAACCAAGATCAGCCAATAGAAAAAAAAGTAGGAAGAATCAAAAGGGTACAAGCTGCTTGTACAAACTGATTTGATCCTTTCCGTACCTGCCAGCCTTAGGCTGCAGTCTGATTTTCAGGAATTCCCCTCCAGCCTGCTTGCATATAAATATCTCGCTCCTCCTCCCACAATTCTTTTCTTTTCTTTTTTTTCTCTTTCATCTTTTCACCATTCATCGTTGAAACCTTTACACGCGGCGCACGTGAAAGCCCTTCAAGATGAATTCCCAAACAAACGATAATATCAATTGCAATCCCGAGCAAGGCGCCCAGGTTATGGTTAATCAAAATGGTCGGTTATCGATAACAATTGAACTGCAGATCAACCGACAACGCGTACCTACCTCCAACCGGCGTAGATATCCGAATAAAAATCTTAGGTCAGGTTCTGAATGCGGCGACCCGGACGCAGAAGGCTTTACCTCGGCGCCGCCTCAGACAGCTCCTAGCCCTCAGCAGCCAATACGAGTTCCTGTTCCTCAACAGCCAAACCCAGTCGAGCCACACGCTCCTGTTCCTCAACAGCCGAACAAGGCGAAACGCCGAGGTCCTGATCCTCTATATCCGAGCCAAGCGAAGCGGCAGGCCACTGGTCCTCGGACCGTCACAAGCCAAAATCTTGCTCCGGGGCGAGCGGCAAGCTCCCGAGATGCGCCCGGATACCAACCCAATCTCCGATACGAGCTTAAGATGAGAAACGCCAGGAACAGTTTGCTTGCAGGTCCGACTCCCGATCATCGCCCGGCACCAGCCGACGCCTATCGCCGTCCCGTCGCATCACATACACGGAACAATTCGGCATATGAGCGCTTGATGTCCAGGCTATCGCTGTCACCGACTCCTTCCCGTAACCAGGAACACGACGATGGACGTGACGATGGAAGATACGATGATGAACACGTCGGTGATCAGTGCCGCGATGAGCAACACGGCGATAACGAAGCCGTAGGCGAAGGCGAAGAGGCCAATCAAACTACCTCCCAAGGCGCACAGCCGGGCGATGCGCCACAGAGGGAGAGACCCACTCGGACCAGGAGGCGCGGGCGACGCAGGAGAAGAAATTCCGGGCCCGACCAGCAAGACTGGCAGGGAGACCGGTCCAGCCCTCGCAGAGAGGCGAACAGATCTAGATCGAGACCTCGCTCCCGCAGTCCCGACAGACGGCCCCGCGACAGTCGCGATTACCGCGATCGCCGCTGAACGAACGCCTTTCCGTCCGGAGCTCTCGTCGCTACCGCTCCCCTTAGTTAGGTATAGTCTAATGTTACTAACAAATACCTAATCCCGAATACCGTACCGCGTAGAACGACGTCCGCGTCGAGTAAAGTCCCACCTTCTAACCTCCCTCGAGGACCCCTATCGTATCCACATATCCTCATACCCCTGATTCTTCCAACGACCTAGTTAGCGCTCAACGTCTCGCGGCGGCGACCCTACCATACGTAAACTAAAACGCCGCATATTTTAAATCCTCATTCCGAGTCCTAACTCGTAGATAGTAGTATCCTTCCAAGGATGTGCTTCCTAGCAGTTCCTTCACGTAAAGTTTTGCGCTAATTTCGTCTCGCTCCTCGCCCCCCGAGCTGAGGGGTCGAGGCTCTGTATTCTTAGAAGACGAAGAAAAGGAAGTGATAAATCTCGTCATGTAGGTATATCGAGGTGCACTTACCTTGGGCGTAGGGTTGAGAATATCTCCATATGACGAGTTGTCCACAAGTCGTCGTCTGCAGTCCGAGGTGCTCGGGTGGCGGGTGAGCCTAAGGCCCCAATGCGGCGTTTATTCTGCAGATGCTTTACAGCGGAGGATGAAGTAGCTTATATGCAGAGGTTACCGGAACGCGCTAGGCTGCCATTCCCCTATAGCTTAGGTATGCACACGTGAAAATACGGAGGGGCGCTGCTGGGACGCGGGGTTGGTTCCTGCTGCCGCTCCCCTTATGCTCCTTTTATGCCCCCCCTCCAGCCGAAGACTGCAACGCGTCCGCCTCGAGATAAACAACTACCATTTTCCCCGCGCGACAACAAATAATCATACCGCATTTCCCATCCACGCTTTTTACCGACAGCATTTTCCAAGATGACCTCCTCAAATCCCGTAAGCAATTGGGTTCCGCCGGACCCCCTCGGCCCCGACAAGAGGGTACCGCTCATGCGCGGAAGGAGGCTGGAGATGTTCAAAGCTCTGGAGGACCACGATAGCTATTATGAGCTATCCTTGATGTTCTCCGCGCTAGCCGGCGACTTGCAGCAACTGGGAGCTAACCTACCGGGCTCGTCGTCCGCGGCGCTGAAGATCCGCCAGGACAAGACTAACAAGAGAGCGATGTGCATCTTACTCCACAGCATACTGAAAGACCTGTTGAGGTCCGTGATACTAGGTACTGTAGCCTTCGACATGATCAGCCCGACCAGGAAGCCGGCGCACTACGCGGCAGACGGTCCGGGGGCCTACGTCGCCGCCATGGCCATCGACGGCCGCGACGGCAAGTGGCTCAACCGGGACGAGATCAGAGATCTTATCAAGACACTCAATATGTATGTGAAAGCATATGAAGCGTGGAAGATCCATAAGGGTAAGCCCGACAACGCAGAGGCCCGCGATCTCGACAAGTTCGCGAGGGAGATCGATACGCAGTACGGGAGTAGATATGCTGAACAGCCGGACGAGATGCGGTTCGTGAACCACGACGACGCCACGGCGAAGACGCAGTTCTTCATGAATTCCCTAATTCAGCGGTGCGACCCTTCGCTCCCGGGACCGGATCAGATATACCAGATCGCGTCCCCCCTATACGTCGGCTGCTCAGAGAGTATGAATGTTAGTATTACAAAATACCAGCCGAGCACCGGCCTAAGACTGGTAAACAAGCCATGGGGTCTCGTGTGCTGCGCCCTGAAATACATGGGTAAGCACCCTACCGTCGTCGTGACGCCCGTTATCCGTACTTGGCAGCGTACCGACCTTCCTCTCGCCGAGATTCTCGTCACGATGTTGGGGAGCTCGCTGGTGACGCAGGACGGCTTCAACGGGCACGGCCCGGGAACAACGAATGACACGAGCACCCAGAGCGTCCTAAGCGAGGCCGAGAGGTACGTGCTAGCTCTCGAGCCGCACCTAAAGAACAACATCGAGGCGAGCTTGCGCGAGATGGCCGAAAGGAAGACCTACTTCGAGCGCATGGAGGTCGTGGCAAGGTTCCCGGACACGGATGCGGAGAGCGCGCTAGGCGACCTCAGGAAGCTCGAGCACGAGATATACGCTATCGATGACCAGTGCGCCGCTCTCGTCCGCAAGCTCGAAGCTGACAGGGCCGAGATGGAGGCTCAGACGAAAGCCGCCGAGAGATACGTGAAGCTGCTGAGGGAGGTGAACCAGGTTTTCAGAATCTTTTTCGGCCCCGAGCAGGTAAAAGAGGAACCGACGCCGACTGACGAGGAAGAGTAAATTCCCGGTCGCATAAGGAATTATAAGATAGCATAGGTAATTAATTTGGCACGAACCCCTTGCCAGGAGTTTCACTCGAGACTCTTTAAAATAAAAGAGTTATTTTATATATAGCTTTAAAGTAATTGAAGTTCCTTATGAAATAACGAAGCTATTTTACTTATTACGTGCTTTACGACGTGATACCCTTAATGGAATTAATCGTTAACCGTTTTATAAGTGGTAATATTATATTCCCTTGCGGGACACGTATCCGGTGTGATTTCGTTTCTTTCAATAGAAGCGATCTAACCGATTAACGATCTTTATGTTTCTGCTAATCGGAAATCTTTCGTCGATTCTTTCCGTAAGGGTTAGAAGATACCCAACCCTTATGGAAATTATTTTAATATTTTTTATTATGACGATATTCTAATTTCTAACCGCTTAGGACGTGCGCAACGTAGCTGGCGTGATATGGAGTACGGGGGGAGCGACGGAAGACGTGGTTCGGTATGGAAATTTCGTAGCGGCACAAGAGACGTGAGGAGCGACGGCAAGACCGTAGCCCGGAATCGGAATCTTGCTGGGTGCGCGGTAAGGCTGGAAGGTCCACATGCTCAGCCGGTGTTTTCTTTTAGACGTTCTGAAGCTTAAAGGTTTGGTCGGGTTTGCGGACGCGGAGGACCAATTTGATAATATGTCAGGGGTATGAGGCACTAGTACGGATAGGGCCTTACGGCCCACTAGGATAGTGTATATAAGGAGCACGCTGCTCCCTCGAAGGTGCTTCGAAGGGCAAGCGTTAATAGATCACTACTATACACTGCATACTTTACACTTTACGTGCTACTGCTTCTAGTATTCACTCTATGTACGACATACATCACGGGATCCTTCTGACACTATGGTGTAGATACTTCGATAGTCAAACACAATTATAATGATTACCGTAATGTACCAGACCTAAGAGCTTCAGCCTTCTATATCCGTAAGAATGTCGTAGCCAAGTTTTTACCTGGCCTGGTATTAAATTCGAATATTATTCCTAGCTAGGATGATATCGATGTCGTTGATTGAGGTCGCATATACGGTGGATGTCGGGATTTGAAATAGGTAATCTAGTAACGCCTTGCCTTCTACCTATTATCTCACGAAGTTGGCAGAGGCCTCCTAAATAGATACCTAAGTAGGTATACAATTATATCTCCACATTACCTCTCCTATTCCTAATCTATCTTGTAATAGAATATATTGGTGTTCATGTAAGCTTTTGGTAAGTCGAGATGAGTCAAGAAAAGCTCGTAATTGTTGGGAATGGTGGCAGTAAAATACTCGACATGCACTTGACATGCACTTGCCAGCTGCATGAATATAACGAAGGGACTGTAGGGCATCAATGCCGGGTACCCGGTACCTCCTAGGAGGCACCTGCCTTGGTTTAGGTACCTAGGTCGGAGGTACCTGCCCTAAGGCTGTATGAGTTCTAAGTACCTCCTTCCTAGGCAACGGTGTGTCGCGAAGAAGGAAGTAGCAGAGAAGGAAGTCGCGTTGCCGTGCCCTACGCGCCTGTCTGCACCACGAATTTTATTTAAGAACTGCATTCCCCTCCCACAAATTTTCTTTTTCTCCTTCCAATATTCAACTTACCTCTCACCGCAACCACCACAGTCCCTTCATCGTCATCGCACACACACTAGAGGTTAAGAGCTGATAAACCATGACAGGTAGACGTAAAAGCAATCCCGGAGCTGCTTCAAGCGCCCAACAACCAACCATGACTGGAGCTGCATCGAGCGCTCGTCAACCTACCGAGAGTAGAGCTGCATCAAGCGCTCATCTATTAAGTCTATTAAGCTACGCACCAACGATGCCAGCCCTCTCAAGCGACTCCGAATCCTCGAGCTCATATCACTCGGACTCCTCCTCCTCGATATCATCTTCATCCGATTCTAGCCGATCCGGGCATAGAAATAAGCGCAGGAGGTATTCGAGCTCTAAATCTCATCGCAGACGATCAAAATCGCATAAGTCGCACAGTTCCTCGAAGCATACATCTGCCGTCGAATCGGAAAAATTAACCGAACGATATGAGTCGGGAAAGGTCTGGATGGCGTCGAACAAGCCCGCCGTTAGTGAAAGCCAATTCCTGGATATGAATCCGAAACCGACGTACGACGACGTATTCACCGAGCATGACTACGACGCAGTAGTTCGCCAGTGGGAGGCCGACCCGGTGAAGTCTCTTCTCTTAGGGAATCATACCCTAGAGAATCTACCAGATACGGGTCGCGCGCTGCCAAAAAAGCCGCGCCGCGCCGAGCGAGACTCGTTCGGCATCGTTTATCGCCTGTTCCCGCGGTTATACGGCTGCTCCTACGACGAGTTCGTGGGACGGAGATACCAGCTCGCCTATGACTGCATCGATAACCCGATGGTCCTCCTGGAGAATAACACAACAGTCCACGATCCTTTCCCATCCAAGTCATTCTCGGAGAATATGAGATGTCTCGCCGCCCAGAATATCTGGATGGGAAGCCTCGAACTCCTCGCCACGTGCATTCAATACGTGAATCGAGTGCGTACCAATGACAAGCGGCCTTGGAAGCTAGTTGATTGCGACCAAGATAGCAGGTTCTTCAAGGTATGGCAAAGCGTCAGCAGCAGCAACCCTGGCCGGGAGAATATGGAAACCCTCTACATACGAGTCAAGCAGGAACTCAGCTCCAAGCCAGGCTTCTATCAGAGATTTTTTGACCAGATCAACGAATCAGTCAAGGTAAAGATTCCACAGACCTATAAAGGTCAGGGTCACGCCTCGAAACGCAAAAGCGACGATGACCCCTATTTCATCCGAACCATCGACTTGTCCATACTCATACACGCGCTGGAAAATGTGAGCTGCTGGAGCATTCCCCTTCTACCGGATCCTAAGCTCTCGTCTACTATGATCCAACGCGCTATGCAAGGTCGCAGCTATCCATCCGATGCGGAGTTTTCCAAGGCACGAGAAGCCTCGATCATAGCGCATAGAGCGCTGGAGAAGGCAACCGAATTAAGAGCTATCGCCGAGGCTCGACGCGCAGCTCCAATCCCTCTGGACGAGGGCGACGTGGATTTATCCAACAGGAGCCCCCTAGGGATTTCCCGTAACCGGGTGATTCCAGAATCATCCAGTGACTGATTGATTCACAACAGACTACTTCGTAGCTGAAGTTCAATATGAAAATAAATGGCCATGATATCTCTCTGAGCTATTAGATAGTAAATACGTAGGCGCACCCGTATTAAAACGCCGCGCATTGTAAATTGTTGTTATAATCACTTTTTTTCTAAGGTCTGTATGTAAGAAGTTAACCCGACGAGTACACGATAATGTCATGTGACCATGACGAATGCTACGAGGACATGTCACGTGATAATAGTCACGTGACAGAAATGACTTCCTACGTTGCCAAAGTTTCAAGATTCACAAAAAAAACTACGACAAAACATGTAACAAACGATAAGTGAGGATATATGAATGAGGATTTAGGTGTGTATTGATCATTTACTCCCTATGGATCCTATGAGATGCAGGCTGTGTGGAAATGCTTACTTTTTCTCTATCAAGACCAAGTAGTTTTCACCCTAGAATGCGCATGTCGTGCATCTTCTCATATGAACCCCCAACCCCCCTTTTTCCCTCTAAATCAACAACATCAAGGCGTTTCTTGCCCGCAGTCAGTCACCTTCCGTATTGGAATTCCATGTAGCTCCGTATGATAGCCAGCGACCTCGCGCTGTCATCGTGGATCTTGTCGCCCGGCATCGAGGCGCATTGCTCGGCTTGGTGCTCGCCGTACCTGACATTCTCGCCCTGTCTGGCCAAGGCCTCGCAGTAGGCCAGCATCATGTTGAAGGCCTTGTTGAGCGCGTAGAGCGCACACTGGTTTTTCCAGTCTTCCTCGCTGCGCAGCCCGAGCACCACCTCTTTCCCGCTAGGCACTCCGCTATCTGCCGACCGGATGATGGGTTGAACTTTGTTGGTGTATATTTCCGCTACGGCAGCGGCTACGTCCTCCTGCGTGCCGAAGCACTCGTCCCAGTCGAGCTCGGGAGCAGGTAACCGGACGACGTACAGCTCGTAGCCGGGGAACGTCTCGGTGTCCTCTCCGCGGGTTTCGTTCCAGGCAGACTGTCGGTTTGCTAGGGATGCTGCTTCGCACTAGGAATGACCTCCAGAAGTAGCGGTTCCCCGCTTGCTGCTCGTGGCCTGGCGAGCGAGTTGCGCTTGAGGCGGCTTGCTTGGACCTAGTGGCTTTGGCGCGAAACTAGGCCATGCAAGTGGTCTTTTAACCACCGGGATACTGGCCGGTGATGGAAGCACGGGAGTCTGCGGTACCTGAGGTTGTTGTGGGAGGGTCTGTGGCGTGGGTGAAGCGACATTTTGCACACCTGTGGCGCGGTTGGGCTGGTTACCCGCCGGCTGCACTTGCCCTAGGACTGGCTGCGGAGGCATGAAGAACGGGCTCGGAGACGGTTGAGGGGCATTCCTAGGGGCGGTCTGAGGGGGCACCTGCGGAGCGGGCAAGGGCGCATTGTACGAACTCGTCTGCGATGCGGCTTGGGGCCGTCTGTTTCTACGCCTTCGGCCTCGGGATCCGCGAGTGGTTCTTCGGGTCGGGTTAGCGGTAATGGCTGCAGAAGTGCTCGACGGGACGGATGGGCCAACGGCTGTACTGGGAACCGGGAAGAATGGAGATTGCGCGGGAGGAGCAGGCTGCTGATACGGCCGGGAGCTCGAAGCTTCCGGTTGCGGTGGGTATGCCTCGTAAAACTGCTGATGGGACAGCATATTTGTAGGGGCAGTGTTTGCAAGCGTAAGAGGCGCCACAACCGACCATCTCAAGTCAAACTCGTTATGGCGGCCAACTGTATTGAACATCTGGGTCAGTAAATAAGCACAAAAAATAAGTAAATATCTCGGCTCACAGCCCGGTTTAGGGCGTGGATGTCTTCGAGATCGGGATAGTCGTCGTCTTCTATCTGTTCGCCGAGTCGGATCAACTCTGAGAGAGTATAATCGAACTCTTCAAGGACCGCGTCGAGGGTTTCGGAACGGACGCGGAGACAATCATTACAGCACCGGGGCATGCTATGTCTAACATTGCGTCTAATTGTGCGCATGTCTGGTATGTCGTCATATTCTCCGTAGGTATAGCCAACGTCATCTTGGCTGGAATAATCCGGGTCGAAGGCTCGTCGAAAAGATAAACGACTCATTATGAGAAATCGAATTGTGGTATGGTGATAAAATATGGCATGTAAAGAGAAAGAAAGAAAAGGTTGGGAGATGAGGTAGGAGAAAAGAAAAGAAAAAACTTCAAAATTGTGCGGCAGTGAAGAGGGGTTGATAAGGCTGCCACATTTAGAAAAGTACCTGCCTTAGGAGATAAGTACATACATACCTAAGGCATATTCTGTTACCCAGGCAGGCTAGTTTGCATCTGTATCTGTGATTTTACCTGGATTTTATTAATAGTGCTGTCTACACAAGTCCGGCGAAGTCGAGGTTAACCTATCCAACTAGAGTAATACCACTTGGTGGATAATTACTATTTATACAGAGGTCTAGTTCAGGCACTCAAGCACCGGCCTGGTGTACGTTTACATGCAACTTTACGGCGTAACGGCATTCAGTTACCTAGAAGAGAGCAGTCTATCACTATTGCAAGACAACCACGACTTTCCTTCAAAGATTGCGAGATGGGAAATGTCAGGGATATATGGGTATAGCAGAGATATACTGGCTAGTACGAGGCTCTACTATCAGGTATGTAAAAAGTAGCTAGCTCCGTCGAGGGAGGTTTGATATTCATCACCGGGCATATCAGTTCTAGACGGCCAAGACGAGCATACGCAAGAAGAACCCCCTTCAAAAGTTGTATGACTTTATATGAACCCCTCCGGTTTCCCTGGTGTTTTACCACAGTTTCTGAGCCTTTATCGCCGATTTTCCAGTCGCTAACCCTCGACAGAAAGTGCGAGTAGATTCCATCAATCAGTGTTTTCAACTTCTCCCTGCTCGCCACGTCGGAGCCCTGTTACTTAGGCCACGCATCGTTTCTCTACGTACCTAGATAATCCTGAGGCTTTTTGTCGTCTTCGTTCTGCTATTCGGGGCTGGTTCACCGTTATTCGTAGCTTTACGTAGGTCTTTGCGGCCTCTTTCTATCGCCCTAGCTCGACCATCTTTACTCCGAGTCTGCGGATAGGGGCAGTGCATTATCCATCAGAGGCAGACCTGGTCTGCAATGTCTTCCTAGCTTTTCCAAGTGATGTTTCAGCTTTCGGACTCAGGAAGTCATACATCAGTTTCGCGTGTTCAAGACAGCTTCGTCTTTTTTCTACCTGTTGCTTAAGTGTTCCGGAGTAGGTATCTTGATGGGAATGTATCGGGAGCGGAGGGAAAAGGGAAAGGGGGGTCGGATGCTTTCTAAGTGCAAACTAAGCGGCATCATTACAACTCGTGGGGGTTTCCCCGCCGATGCCAAAGCATAAAAGTAAAAGCTATGGCATAGATACCAGTAAAAAATTAATATCTTTTTTTTTTTTTAAAAAAAAAGATTATGAAGAAATACAGTATCTCAATATGTTCCATGCCATTCGGCTGTTAGGGACAGCAAACGGTAAAACTCCGTTATATCCAGCATTTCTACCTTACCATCGCCTCTCATCATCAAAAGGAGCACCTGAGAAGCTTGCAAAGATTAGGTTAGGTAAATTTGCCCCTGAGCCATATTGGAAGTTATGCAGGCATCCATTATCATTCGACGGCAGTGATATGCAGTGTTAAATTATCTGGTATTATCCGTACTATACTGATGGATATAGTGATAATCAGTCTCACGCATTTAGTCTTTACCCAACAAACTCTCTTTGCTGCCTAAATTTTCAATCTACCTAGGTATACACCATAAATCATCCAACATTAATCAATCTAGCCTCGATAGCTCCAGGAACGGAAGACCGTGCGCTGCTAGGCTCAATTTGAACCTGTCGTGTAACCCTTCTGGCGAACGGGCCTCTTCCAGGCAGCATTCGCAAGTCACGTTTAAGAGGCGTGCGGTTCGCAAAAGGAACAGAAGGCCGAAACTTGCATCTCTTCTTCTCCGTCGTGATTTCTTCTTCGATATATCCATTATCATCATCATTGTCGTCGTCGTCATCGTCGTCGTCGTCGTCGTCAAGACCCGTCAAACGCGATGAGGCCCGTAAAGATAACCGACTTCTCCCGCGGACGCCTCACGGAGGACAGCCTCCTCCTTCTCAAGATGGGAAGGCTAGGCACCCAATACCTGGAGCGCCTGCTGGCCCGCAACGGCGCCGACAACGGCATCCGGAGCAAGAAGGGCGGCCTCAAGCTGCCCAACGAGATCTGGCTCACGATCGTGGCCTTCGCGCGGGCGGGCGCGCACGACCAGTTCCACCTAGTCAAAGTTGAGCAGCAGCGGCAGCAGCAGGAGGAATCATCAGCCTCTCCCGACACCATGCTGCTCCGCTGCACCAGACACGAGTTCGTCCCCGCAGAAGACGACGAGCACCTGCTACTGGCGGCCAACCTCGAGAGCGGGGACAGCGTGCGCGAGCCCGTCCACGACCGCAAAGCTCCAGACCAAGATTCCCGAGCTGCGCAGGCTGACCGGCCCGGAGAATACCTTCGAAGTCGTCCTGGACGGGTCGAACAGGAAACCCCACCTGTACGGGTTCATCGACGTGCCGGATTTCATCGCGCGGCTCGAGGGGGGGAGTGCTGGGTATGCAGCGAGAAAAGGTTTATCTGCCCGGGTTGCACGGGAGGGGTAGCCTCTGAATTCGACGCCTTCATGGGCTGCGGCGTGGACCTTGCCTGCCCGCTCTGCATGGGTCTGAAGTTCAGCCAATACCATAAAAGCTTCTTACAAGAATACTACGATGACTCGCCAGACGAAAGTGAAAAGCAAGACACGTTGAAGTGGATAGAGGGTCGATTAGAGGAGTTGGGGTATGAAGGTGTGGCGGTGAAGGCGGATGCGTGCGGAGATGGAGGGTTTTAGTAAACAATAGGGGTCGTGGGGGAAAGGGGCGCAGGAAAGCGGTATCGAGGCGTAGCGTCTTGATGGGTCCGTCCATGACCTAGAAATACAAATTGCCTGGGTAATCAAAACTTGCTTCCGACTAGCTAGCTTGAAGCAGTTCGAGTCGCAGGCTATGAATGCAACGAGGTCTCGACGCCGTATCCTATTATAGAGATGGTGGGCGTATTAGTGATACGGCGAAGGCCGTGGTAGCTTAGATTGTCTCGTAGAAGTTTAGTGGCACGCAAGTATGTCGAGTCGTTGAGGAATTCTACTTCAGTCTTAAGCCTCATGTTCCCATCGACTACCAAGGCACGTCAGTTAATACGTCTTCGGTAACGAGCTACCCAGTACGCATCTCGTTCCGTAACCGTCTTGTAGCAAAATCTCCTCGGTCATATCGAAAGTCAGCATAGCAAGAACCCCTTTAGCGTAGCGTCACTGTTTAGGCAGTCAGGGAATCGTGTGGCAGCTTTCTGTACGCGGCGATAACCGAAAAGGCATCACCGACTCTAGCAGTATCCTGATAACCTGTCTCCAAAGGTACCGTTAGTCTAGCATATCTCAAATGATAATACAGGTGTCAGGGATACGTGGGAGTACAGGGATAGACTGGGTAGAGCTAGGCTGTGCCGTCTATGTGAAGGGTAGCTAGCTCCCTCGTAAGAGTATAGAAGGCCAGAGATTTCTAGATCACTATGATATGCTGCATGTATGGCCTTGACACCCGCTCTGCATAAGACAGCCATTACCTGGGCATAAACCATCCCTGACAATAGGAGATGGTCAACTCGCGATACCTAACTCCAAGGCCGTGGTTCGCTGCGCGGTATTAACCACGTCTAAATACCAAGGCGCCCTCTTTGGCTTCGAAACGCGAAACTTGACACGTGATGAAACCAAATTCACCTAGAACATACAGGACGCTAGGTGAACACGTTTCGCTATCAGCAACAAGATGCGGAGTGCAAGCACGTCTTCGTAGGAAGCGGAAAAGACAGCTCAAGAGCCTAGAAGTGGGAAATCGCTTTTCTCGCGCCAAAAGAAAATACATGCCCCGTCTAGAGGCATTAACAGAGACAGCGTCCTACGCTATAGAATAATATTCGAATTCGCGCTCCCTCCTCCCTTCAAGTCCAACGAAGCAATTCCGTAGCACGAAAGAACGAGGTTGTCTAGTCTTCCTAATCCACTGATCCGAGCAGGTCCAGAGGGATCAGACAATAGTAAGCTCCTCTTGCGGTTTTACGAACATATTGTACGAGTCCCGGAAGGACAAAAGCATCATTAGGCGGCTATCTACTTAGCTCCTCCATGCGTTACGCGCGTCCAAACAGCCAGGTAGAGCTTCTAGTTGTGGTGTTGGCCCTACGGGACGGCGCGTGCGACTAATCGAGAGCAAGGTGGCGTGGAGTTGCAGACGCACAAACTGCGACTCACGATGGCAAATCCTTCTAGACCGCATCCTATACCTTGGGAGATGCGTTTATCGACGATCTCCGCAACGACGGCAAACGACGGCAGCTTCTACTCGTACAAGATCTCTTGTACTGCAACATCGTCACTGGCTGATTTCTCTAGATCCAAGCGACAACGGTGGGGGCTAGGTATATATTGCACTTTGAACTCGCCTTCTGCGCTATATTCTTACCTCCAATCCGCCCATGTCGTCCGAATCCTTCTTGTGCATTTCTAAGGTCTTGGAGGGCACTAGCGATCGGGGCTCGGGCTCCGTGTGGGCGTCGGGGCAGTAGCGAAAGGATATTTCGATGGTATTTCGAGAGGAAGAACTATGCGACCATCTCGTCTGATTATGAGTAATAAGCTTACACCGCCCAGGATTATCTGGAGCAGAGCGAGTCTGGCCAATTTATCCAGAGCTGACAATCTGCTCATCTACACACTTGCAATTTCGATGATGCTGTACTACTCTGGGGAGCGTTCCGCTAGTTGCGAACCCGCCGGCTTATCCCATTCGTAGGTAACATGGCCCCAACCTGTGGCATTAAGCTGCGAGGGCACGCGGTAAGCGGGTTAAGCTAGCCTCGGCACCCGACCTGGCATCGCCCGTAGGCAACTGAGTTGGCGCGAGAAACGTGTCCGATGCTTATCATTATTATTGTTGGCCGGTCGCTACTGGATTGTCGCCGTAGAAACACCAACAAGTCTTGCCCGCTCGCCTATTCGCCGAAAAGGTGCGCGAGGGAGGTCAGGGATAGGCGACCTGAAGTCAGCTCCACGCTCATGAAAGGCAATATTGGTTGATCATATCAAGATTTGCATGAAATTTTTGATTGCGGGTGTAGGTGGAGAAGAACCCGTATCAGACCAATTAGCCAATTCTTTCTCCTAAAAGTTTGACCTTTTCTGGTAGGATTCTGACACGGCCTATAGAAAAGCGATTCTCGAACTCGTCAGTGATCTCGACGTCCATGCGGTTAGCGATGTCGCGTTTCATAAAAGATATCTATAGGTTGTTATAAATAAGATGGATAACATCATGATGCTTTGTAACTATATTGGTCGAACGCGCGCCGTACTTTTGTGGAGGCTAAGTGAAAACTTGGAGACCGTTCAACCGCGAATATTAGCGTGTCCGGATTAAATCCTGCGGGAGAGGTCCAAGATCGCTGCGTAGGAGCAATAGGCTTCGGTGTTCATGTAATCAAACTATTAATAAATCATCAAGCAGGTGAAATCTGATACTCATCAGGGGAACGCTGCTGTTGCTGTTCGTCTTACGGGTTTATAATCTGACGATCGTTCGGTTGAGAAACCTGGGTCTGGGGAAAGCCGTAAGCTCGGCGGGGGAGCATGGATGCCAAGACTCACGAAGCCAGGCGCTCGGGATTTAGAGGTGTGCTTCATACCCAATTTCCGCGCGCGTCCGCTTACAGAGTAGAACGGGGTCTAGTTTATATCCTGCTTGCGTCCTGTATTAACCTACCTACCCACCTAGGTACCTAAGGTAGATAGATTCGGAGAATTTGTCAAGTGGGTGATGGTAAGATAAGCAATAAAGGAAATTTAATTTTCGTCTTGCATTACAGTAGCGGTTTCGAGATATCGCCGAAATGACAAGCACGCGAATAGCTTCCTACCTAAGGTAGTATTCACATTGCGGCTGATACCCTAGTTTCCCCCAAGTTAGCTCGCTACGTTTCTAGAACTGTGCCTCGCGTTACTCGTGAGCAAAACGATTATTATGCGAGTGATATGTGGGGCTGCCGGGGCAGGAGTGCGATTTTGCGAATAGCATCCATGTCCAAAATGAAATTAAGCTTGAGCCGAAAGCCGGAACCGACTACGACTCCGCCCGGAATTTCTAGACCCACACCGGGGCCGCACGCATTCTGAATCGACAGGTACGATGCTATGTATACCGGCATATACGTATATCGCTTGACATACGGTCTGCTTAAAATTTATATCTTCTTCGTATAAGCTTCCTATCAAGCAGAGGATAAATGAAACACGCGTACAAACGCTTGCAGAGGCGCGGTGAGTACATGGAGAATCAGGATCGTCCATATCAAAACGATCAAATGGCGGCAAGGACTGAAGCGAACGCCCAAGTCTTGGCTGAAACGTCCTGCTGCGGACGGTCACATCTGCATATGATCGACAAGCTCCTTGTAGAACTCGGATTGGTGTCACAGACACAAAATTGTTAAACCGGTCTGATAAATCAGTAGACTTTGCTTAGCTCAACAGTTGATACACAAACGTCGTCTATGGCTTGCAGCAGATTGAGGTACCTATATCATGTTACACGGAGATATAGGAACGTAGTTGTTGAGAGGGGCTAAACCCGGAAGTAAACGGGATGCTTACGTGCATTCGGGGAGGAGAGGAGAGAAAAGACGTGTCGAAAAGAGAGCTTTTCGAAGAGAAAAACGGATAGAAAAAAACATCGATACTTACAGTTGACACCACTACCTCTACTGTAACCGATAAATTCTCTATTGCGCGCATAAAAATTGGGGAAGCATCATTATCATACCTTACGCGAGATCAGGTCCCACTCGACAACCGCGGTCGAACGAATCCCGCAGCTTTGGGAGGGTAGTGTAACTTAACTTGAGACGAGGGGCCGCGAAACATGTCAGCACGTTAAGAAGAAGCTGATAGGAGTGGAAATTTCGATCACGTCTTCGGATCCGACGCTGCAAAAAAGCCTGGCATAAGGTTGTTGCCACTATGTGCAACCATCACGTAGCGCCTATTATGCGCCTGCGCAACCCATTCGGCGCTAGATCCCCCTCGAGCATCCTTCTATTGAGAGTAGAAACACGTATCTAGCTCGTGAGCTCGCGCCTGTAGCTCCCGACTGGATAGTCGATGACTAACACAGGGGCGGCCAAATCTTCTGGGCGCCGTCGGGACCGGGGGCTGATGCCCCTTGTTACACATGATGAAATGTGTAGTATAAACCTTTTGGATTTTACCGACTATTCTGTTCGGCTATAGCACTGCCCAGAAGCTTCCGGGGGAACTTTTTGTCGATATAGAGCTGTGGCTTGATCCTGACGTTCGCTAGGTTATCAGACGTTTCCCCAACTACTGAAACATTCAGGGGAGGTCAGACTGGTTAATTTAGAGGTGCCTAGCAATTCAGCTGAGTAGGCTAAGCTTGTGATAACCCCCCGCCCCTCGTTTAAGCTCTCATGATGACCACCTTAGGTACCGATTATCGCCGATTCTTCATAAATGATGGACGATTCCGTGGGTGGCTTATTTCCGCGCGTGTGAGAGGAGACATGCTAAGAGGTCCTAAGCTGTTCGCCTCCTGATGGAAAAATGGCCTTAAAATTGCTTCGCTAGCTTGGCCATCCCTGCGAGTCACGATCTCCAAGACGCATTCTCAGAATCCAACCGGAATCCTAACCGGAGATGTTTACGGCTATTGAGCACGAGAACCTCTAGCATACCCACGTGTCTCTAGTACGGACCGACTAATGGGATTCTACCTATCGTGCCTGAAGATTCGGGGCAGCATACGCTGTTATGGTTTGAGACGTGTTGGCGGTTTCCGTCAATCTTTATAGAACGCATCAAGAAGAGGTCTATCAACGTTCGCGTCTGCTGGGCAATTGCGCGGGTTGGTAGTAAATGAGGTCCGATGCGTTTGTTCCAATTCCCATGTCATGTGATAGCAGTTTCCTTTCCCACCGTTGACAGGCATGAATTTTTCGACATCTCGCGCTACATCCGCATTTAGATCCTTGGGTAGGATCGCGTAGGTCATCTATATTTCCGTATGGCCCTCCAAGCCGTCGGGAACCCCCAAGCTAGATGGACGTGCCGTAGGATGGATAAGCACTGCAGCCTATCCTCCTATGCGTGTAGCTCCCTGCTAGCTTGAGGTCCGTCTTTGTATCGATACCAGTTGAGCTACATTATGATAATAGTAAGCCGAACGGCAAGGGAGGGGAGGAAGCCTTGAGCTGATCGGTCTGTACGGCAGGGAGCCATGGATTGGATGTACCCCATACTCAATATGCACCAATCCCAGACTGCTGACAGCCAAGCGTTCGATCACGACTCTGCTTTGAGATAATAAGTGGGTAATATGTCTGACGTAGCAGCCGGGGTCTCGAATGGTCATTTCTGAACTGCTCCAAGTACCTAGCTAGGAGGTTAGGTTCTCTTATTGGCAAACCTTTCAGCCACGGACAAGGTCAGATCAGGGTCGCAAGCTCAATTCGAGCTGACAGTCCACCTGGGACCTCCTTGAGAATCAGAGACGACCCATGTTTTCAAGGTCATCATCAGCCATTTCGCTCGGGAATTCGACAACCTGAAAAAAAAGCTGATCGAGCTGGAATGCGGGTTTTATTTCCTGTCGTTGTCAAAGTAACCATGGGTTATCGAAACCCGGGAGTCTCTTCGTAACTAATCGACACACAATGCGAATGACGGATTGCAGGATTGGTGGGCAGAGAATCGGGCTTCTGTTAGTCGCGACGACCCAGACACCGGGAACTGAACAGCTAGCAAAATTCATGGTTGCATATCTACGATACTACTATCAAACTGACAAAAAAGCTTCAAATGCTATTTCTGCGTCCTCTAGCAGGTCAGAGAGCTTTCGTCATGGCTGAGACTACGTGCAGTAGGTAGTGTAACCGGGCGCATCGAGTTGAGGGCGGCTTTCAAGGCGTACGAGCAGTGCGATAATAATGGTGACGCCAATTGTAACACGCAGCCTTGCCGCCTCGGGAGAACCACGTCCCGTTTACCGTCCCAGACCGAAGCAAATCATACCTCACGTTTAATAGTTAACACGGACTTGGCGTAAAGTCCGTATCTACAGAATCTTGGACGTTCGTTTCGTTTAGTTTCTTTTTTTTTTTTTTTTTTTTTTTTTTTTTTTTTTTTTTTTTTTTTTTTTTTTTTTTTTTTTTGCTAGACCTTCGAATTCGACCCTGCGGCGAGCACGTAAATACCATCAATCTTGAAATATCCAAACGTAACCCCCGTAGCGTAAACACGTGATACATGGTCGCAACGCTATTCTGCCTACGCTGTCAGAGGACGAGTTGATCCTTGAGTACGTCGTAGATAGGCAAGGATGTCAACTAGTGTGCACCCTAGTGAGCAAGCGCTAGGTATTGGGAATAGCAACCGTGCGAATCCCGAAGTGGTGGTAGTGTGGAGGGAAAGCGAGTTAAGGACGACACAATTGGTCTGCTCCATGGGGGGGACGTTGTAGACGATGTGATGGTTGGGAGACTGGAGTCAAATTTGTTGTTGCACAAAGAGCGCCACCAGAACCTTCATCTCACGTTGTCGAATCAAGCATCGAATTTATCGAGAAGCACCCACTACTCATGCATCTCCCGGGGTCCACGAAACCCGCCATTTTGACCGTATCAATAGAGTACTCACGTACTAGATACGCCGTGATTCTATCGGTGGCTATTTCTCTGGTGATAGGCCCCTGTCGGCACAGCCCTACAGGGCGTCGAGAGCGTACGATACTTCCATGTCAGCGTGTGGCTGCAGGTCAGACCCATGAAAGCCCCAGCAGACCTGTCGCCCACGATCGCACACCGTAGCACGCAGGTGGAAGAGCAGTGAGTAATACATGGGGACGAACGATCCTCCGTGAGCCGAATCATAGGTATTGGCTTCTTTGCTAGAAAACCTGTTCGACTTTTCCCCCGCGGATTCTCCATGTTGAAACAAAAAGGTACATCCTCCTACCGTGTCCCAGGAGCTGGGTCGATATTTCCAGAGCTGGAACTCCTTGGCGTTACTATACTTATTCCCTTCACGTTGACGATGACTCGTTTGCTGATGTAGACGCAAGGCCCCGGGTATATGAGTGGTTTATTTGTAGACGTCAGAGCTAAGCCGCGTTGTGCAAGATAATATGTACGGCTGATCGTCTCGAACTTTACGTGTTGCTATTAATGCAGGAACGGCGCGCCGACCCTAAAAAATTCTTTATATTTGGCGGGTGCCCACACCCAGTCTTACCTCTCAGTTTTAGCGAGCTTCTTGACGTATCGCACACGACCTGAGGTCGCATTCATCTGACAAGTATATAATCCCCAAAGACCGGCTAGCCAATGTTAGTTACGTGTGATGTAATACGGTTAGCGATGTTGGTCCGCTAACGCGCCTCGCAGTCTTCGATAATTCAACATGGTCGGCGTTCCTGGAAAGTATAAAGGGTGTAATACCTGCCGAGCTAGGCGAGTGGCATGCGACAACGGAAGGCCGTTCTGCAAAAAGTGCACGGATTATGGTCGTGAATGCGGTGGATACGAGAGGGAGGTTAGTAACCAAACTCCAAACCCCGGGTCGGTCTCGGGAATACGCTCCCAGCAGTTTCGGTGCCCAAGTTAGCTTTCCATATGCCATCCGTCCGAATGTCCTCATGGTTTATCAAATTCCTAGGTGCGAATGGCTAACCGGCAGGTGCAAATCAGACCGTATTCATAGTCGGCACTCCGGATGACAAAGGGAGATGCTCGTCTCATCCGCCACGAAACCAGCAGAGCAGGAAAGCCAAAGGCAAGGCGATTCAGCGTACAGATAAGCTGGATTTCACCGCTACCGAGCCGTGGCAGCCCGCATGGATAGACGTAATTTCGTTATCGTCAGCTGCCGGATCGCATCGCGTCCGCTTTGTTGCTCTTCAGACGGACCTCGACTCCGCGATTCGGCCTGGAAGCGGTTCGCCACAGAGGGACGCCGACGTCAAACTGTCCCTCAAGGGGTTTCGCGCTCTCGACGCGAAGCCAACATTCGGTCACGAACCTTTTAGTATGAAATCTCGCTGCCTTATCAATCTACCGCCGAAAAGCAGCAATAGGCAGGCGGGAAGTGTTAGCACGGACGGATTTTGCGTATTCCTATACGAGGTATGTTGGCGCTTCTCCAGCCAGCCGAGCCTCGTTTGCTTAACTTATGATCTAGCAAAATTCTTCGGCTGCTTACAGTAGCGAAGCGCCGTGGAAAGCTCCGCTTACCCTATCCGACCGGATTCGTGATCGAGGTCCTGCCGCGTACCAGTCTTTCCCGGAGCACCATTTCTTTGCTCGGGTTTATAGACCCAGTGCTGTGAGTAAATAAAATACTTGCTCGAGGATATGTAGACACTGACGTCCAAGACAGATTTGGGCGGCCTTGCTCAACCGTCAGCCAACCTTCCTTTGCTCGCCCGAGTGGACAGTGGTACCGTGGGAACGACACCCTAGAACGCCGTTTGACGATCTGCTCGACATAGTTGTTCTTCTACCGTCGATATTCTCGCAAGCGAGTAACATATCACCGCTGGATGCGCCTAGCTGCCGTCGGCTAAAGGCGAAGGAATTTTTGGACTGCTGCGTCAATATCGAAAGGCAATTCGACATCTGGTATAGCATGTTGCACCAGAGAGTTGGCGAGTCAGGGTCTATGCTATACTGGACGGCAGATGCGATGACGACCGAAACGCACGTGCCCTTCTCTAGCGTATTCAACTTCCCTTCGCCATTGATAGGACTAGTTCACGTCTACTACTGGGCTGTTCTTATCAGTTTTCACCAGTGCATATATGCGATGCTGGATAACATCTTCGAATCCGAGGGGAAGGTAGTTCCCGGCGGCCCCAGCGTATTACCGGAGATACCTCCGGGATTAGATATCCAGAAGTATCAGCCCGCTCAGACGAGGATGCTGGTGGAAAACGTGTGCCGAAGCTTGGACTTCACCCTCCAGACCACGTGGCAGCCGGATCTCTTGGCCGCTCCTCTATGGGTTGTCAAAGAGTTCTATGACGGAATCGGTCACTTTGGAGACGGGGAGCTAGAACGCCTATGGTGCATAGGGTTTAGGGGTAGATTGGAAGCAAAAGGCGGCGAGATGAGTGCGTGTTTGCAGGAAAAGAAATGGGTTGATGTCAAGAGGTTTGGATAGGTACGGTAACATTGGTAAAAGTAACTGGCGTAACGGATGTGGGGAACCGAACTTAAAGCACAGTCATGAGTTTTCGCTAGACTTGGATTTTTGCAGTAGGAATTTGATAGCTTTCCATTCTGACGACAATGTTGATGAGATGGTTTTGTTAAGAAGGTCAAATTTTATCGTGAAAGAGAATGACAACTGTTTGGGCCATTAGTAACACTAAATTGATCACGTAATCAAGGAGAAGTTCAAGGAAAGGACGCTTCCATTTACGAAAGATTTGTATTGTACGTGGCGGTGCACGCGACTTGAGTGATATGTTACATGTAACATTGCATGACTTAGATAATAGGTACTTAGGTACATTATACCTTAGAGCTATCTGTGGCTTGAGCTTCAGGCGTCCCCCCCTCTAGCGTTTGGCTACAGGGAGCTTCGTAACTCTGGCAGCCTTGCGTACCTACCTCTAGCTCACGTCAACCTCGCCGAAATCCCAAGTCATTCTTGAGCATTACCACAGCTCACAACGCACCTCTTCAGACCCTATCCAAATCTTTTTTTTTCTTAATTTCTACCACTCTTCAACATGGCGTCGGGATACGATAGAGCTCTTTCCGGTAAGTTCTTTTCCCCCAAAACTAACAGTTCAAATGGCGAATCGGCTGAGCTAACTTAGTATACCATACATATAGTGTTCAGGTTCGTATCAGAATAAAAGCACTACGAAATTATATCTTTCTAACCCGTTTATTATAGTCCGGATGGACACGTCTTCCAGGTAGAATATGCCGGTGAAGCTGTGAAGCGAGGTATGAATCTCACCAAACCGCCCAATCGCTCTTCTCTAACGTCCGTTTTAGGTACCTGCGCCGTCGGCGTGAAAGGTGCAGATATCGTCGTGCTAGGTTGCGAGAAGAGATCGGCTATGAAGCTGCAAGACACGCGCATTACCCCCTCCAAGATCGGCCTCATCGACACCCACGTCTGCCTCGCATTTGCGGGCCTAAACGCCGACGCCCGAATCCTAGTAGACAAGGCGCGACTAGAGGCGCAATCGCACCGCCTGACGGTTGAGGATCCGGTATCGATCGAGTACATTACCAAGTACGTCGCCGGCGTGCAGCAGAGATATACGCAGAGCGGTGGTGTGCGACCCTTCGGAATCAGCACGATGATCGTAGGCTTCGACAAGGGCAGCAAAGTGCCTAGACTTTATCAGACCGAGCCGAGCGGTATCTACTCCGCGTGGTACGCATATTTATCCTATGATGGTAGTTGGTGGGGGTAAACACATGTGCTGATCTACTACGCAGGAAAGCAAACGCCATCGGCCGCTCGAGCAAGACGGTCCGAGAATTCTTAGAGCGCAACTACAAGGAAGATATGGATCGCGAGGCAACCATTCGGCTGGCTATTAAGTCGCTACTGGAAGTCGTGCAGACGGGTGCAAAGAACATCGAAATCGCCGTCATGGCTCCTGGAAAGACGCTTGAGCTATTGCCGGTGGAAGACATCGAGGGCTACGTCAAGAATATCGAGCAGGAGAAGCAGGAGGAAGCCGCTAAGAAGAAGACCGGTCGAACACCGGGGACCGGTAGCGCGGCTATCCTAACTAGAGAGCGGGAAGGCGGTAGTGATTAAGCATGAGGCGCAGCCGAGGTTTTATATGGCTTTAGAAGATGAACAATAAGGGCATGTCACTATTAGTACACTATCAGCCCAAAAGCGTGCACCATCGTCTTCCTCCCGTCTTCCTCCTCTTTATGATGTTTATCTTATTGTCCTAGAAATCTAAATGTGTGGTATCATGTAAATGTATCGCTCCGCAACCCCAGAATCATGCTCGTCGTAAGTTTCTATTCTAGTATAGGCTTCCTTCCTCATCCGAGCTTATCCGCCTCGGCCTGGATGTCAAAGATCGACCTGTTCTGGCTTCCCTTTACCCGGTCATCTTTGAGCATACGGTTATCCATCCGCGCGTCCTCGCCTTCGACTGTCAAAGCGGGCTTCGGTATGACGGCGTCGATGACGAAGTGGTTATCGCAGTGGGGGCAGTACTCATCGGCCTCCTCGAACTCCTGGGCGTCCTTGCGAAAGCACTTTTTGCACTTTTTGCAGGCGAACGTCATCTCGAAGCTCTGTAGCAGTGGGTGGGATTCTTGCTCGTGGTGGCATTCTGCGCAGTCGAACCATTTTTTACCTGGAAAAGAGAGTATCAGTAAACACATCAAAAGGGATAACGAGCGTAAAAGGGTTTCTCGAGAAACGTACAGCACGGCGAGCGGATAGCCACTTGAGCATTCAGTATGTGTTTACTATATGATTATTAGCCTTTATTTAAAGAAATCCCTTTTTTAATATTGTCCAAAACTCACCACATCTTGAAGGGCTATTAAGTTGTTACGGCGCACTATAAAACTACTATTTTTTTTCGTTAAGTCATAAACGCGCGTTATGAATTTTGGGGCGAGTTTCTAATCGGTTCCTTATTTCCCCTTATCCTCTAGTAAATATGATTACCTGATTGCGGGGTCTTAGCGCAATTAGCTCCTTATCAATCTGACTCTAGCGCATCTCCAGGACCCTGGGGCCTGGCAGCCCTGGCTCTGAGAGGTGAAGCTTGACTGTTCTTAACCTAAACCACTAACAACATTGAAGCTCACTCGATTTACAAAGTTGCAAAATATGGCCAGATTTGGGCTAGCTACCACCAAATTGCATGGGAGCTTACACTACGATAAATTCCAACTATGTATCAAGTCGGTTATCAAATATGTCGGTTCATTCGTCCTTTTTACGAGCGGTTTTTCTTCCTCCAGCAACCCCAACGAGCTAGTTGCTCCATTTATTAAAGACGCCATTTATTAAAGACACCGAATCCTCCTCAGGTAAAACTCTATAGAGCAACCTGATACGACGCGGCGTATAAAGACATGAATGAAAGTCTATAAGACTCACTAAATTTCTCTTTGTGATCGTAACTGGGGCCGCTAAATTTAACTTAAACCCATCCAAGATAATTGATCCCAATCATTTCATTCCGGTTTCGTAAAAGCATTTCCGAGCAAATTACCACCTCAACCCGACGTCTAGCGCTTCATCCTAAATACCGCCCGTGGATCAACCTCCAATCACTCTTGCCTTATCTTGCCCTGCCCTACAACAAACTCCTGAGTCTTCATTCCAAAGAAGACTTAGCTCTTGAAGCAGTTGAACCGGCCGAAACTAAAGCGCCAGGGCCCTCGGTGGATCCCATGTCGACCAGCGGTGACGTTGGTGCCGAAGTGCCGGCCGCCAAAGCTTTTGCTATAGAAGAAAGGCATCGTTTCTAGCTCGTATTCGACTATCAGGCTCGTTAGGTTGGCCAGACCCGGCGACCGTTGAAAAGGATTTGACTTACTATATTGATTCTGTTTTATGATAACTAGTGATGTAACCTCGATAAATTGGGTAGGCTTTGACGATGTTTGGTGGGAAGCTTGGAGTTATAGAAAGCAAAGAGTTCTGGCAAGTATTTAAATATAACGGTACTGAGAACGTCCCAGTTTCTGGGGTTGCAATTGATTCTTGCGAGAAAGTAAATATCAAGGAATCTGGCAAGTCGCTCGACAACTTATACGAATTACGTCACAGAAGAACAACGGCTACTGAAAGGCTTGGCAAATAGCCATGATTATCTAACCCCATTCATTAAATCAATTGGTGCCATATGTACATTGTACCCAGGTATCTATGTACTTCAGCCACACCTGCTGCCCCGTTTTCTCTTCCTCAATCCTCAACACTAAAACAAAAACCAACCTTCATCTTAAACAATGTCAATATCGCGGCTTTGAATATTCTAATACTAATGACACGATAATTATATCTCAACTTCTCTCCACGAAGGACTTAGCTATCCCCATTCGCCATTTCACGTGCTCTCAGCCCAATTAAACCAATGCGGATACTAAAGAAGCTTGGCCATGAGCTGAAGATAAAAATAGGAAAAGATTGGCTTATGTCTTAGCTATTTTATATCTAGCAGATGTAACCAGAACTTCTCACACCCCTTCGATTAGGTAGATACCTACCTGCAGCTAGGTAGGTAGGTCCTAGTGCAAGGATATGTACGGGCCTTTTTAGTTTCTGTAACTAGAAGAGAATCCTATAAGCCCGGGCCCCCCCTATCAGCCCATCTCTGTCGCGAACCGAAAAAAATAATAATAATATGATTTGTTCTTAATCCCTCCTCTGCAAAGCAACCTGGTGAAAATAATAAAAAATAATAAGGATACATTGAAAGATACATACATACCTACATACATATAATTCACGCACGAACCAAGAGGATGTCGATGACTGACTATTCCGGCTGGGCCATCCGCCGAAATGGTTCTTGCGTCGGGGAAGTCGACTGCGGGCAGACCAGAGCTCCCTACCACGCGTGCTGCCCATCCTCGACCGAGTGTCCGAGCCAGTATAACGTAGCATGCTGTCCGTTCGGCCAGAACTGCACGGCGGCGGCCGTCGAGACCCCTCGCTGCGCCAATGGGTCGTGGGCCATGTTCGACAACGCGGGTTACTTCTGCTGCGAAAAGGGTTATATAGGTTACAACTACTACGGCTCCGACGGGTGTTCTAAGTCGGGGGCCGTCTTGCCGGACGGCGCGTTGCCTCTCGCCGAGATCTCTCAAGGTATAATAAATGCGCTTAGAAACTCGAAGTGTTCTGGAAATAACGGTTGGACTGATCTTCCCCCGCTCTATCTATAGTCAGGCTTTCCTCAAGTTCGACAGCGCCGACAACGACAACATCATCATCATTATCAACCGCATCACCCACAGCATCACCCACCTCAGATGCACAATCCGACTCAGATAACCCTTCACCCGTCGGTCCGATAGTCGGGGGCGTGGTGGGAGGAGTCGCGTTTCTCGGCCTCGTTATCATATGTTTATGGTTCGTCCGGCGGCGGAAAGCCCGGGTGCAGCAAGACGTCCAGCAGAGCTTCATGCTGAACCAAGAGCCTCCCCCCAAAGAGCATCCACCCGGAGAGCTTCCCTCGGAGCCTCGAGCGGCATATCCTCCTCAAGGCCCCCCGGGCCCGCCCTCGGTCTCGATCTCGACGATCAACGAGAAATTCGCGCCGTCCGTGAAGCCCTCTCAAATGGAGATCGACGGCACCCCGCGAGCCGAATTACCGGATGCCGCTACTACGAGATACGAGCTGGCTTGAAACGTCTGTGTGCGTAGGTGGCGTCGGCGCATTTCTATATGCCTATACAAAACGCGGTAGAAACTGTAGATGGCAGGCAACCGACGCCACAAGTTTCATAAGGGGTGGGACAAGAAGGAGAATAAAAAGTTTTCGGTGACACGTTGTTCATAAACAAGGGATATTTTTAGATACAGACGGGGAAACGTCTTGTATATATCGTAAACTTCATGCGCAGAGCGATTGATTCTTATTAAATTCTTAATTTACATAGAAAGCCGTCAAGGGATGCGCTTTGTCACATATCATGATTCAGACCTAATATTAAACAGGTACCTACCTACCTAACCTAATAAACCTAAAATCACGCTTAAGCTATCATAGGTAGTAGCCAGCATTGCAAATGACTTGGTGTTGGCTTCTATCAGGTTTTCTATATCACAAGGCTCAGCTAACTCGCGTGATACAAGATCGACAGATCACTGGGATATCCGCTAATGAAACAAAGCGAACAGACCTTGACAGTCGATTGTGTTTCGATATCGAATCCCCGAGTTACGTAAAACATAGCTTAGGTAGGTACTCATACTATTCCAGTCTTTATACCTACTCACATAGTCCAAAATACTTCCCTGCGAAGAGAAAAAGGTCTCAAGGTTACCGTATAATACGTCCTCCGCTCAAAGAATAAACGAACTCGGTCTGTTATGCTTACCAATACCTATATCTTCGTAGATGCCACGAGTCAAATCTTCAACTACTCACAGCCTAAAGTTGATGAAAGAGAAGATGTCACTTCCCAAGGTAACCCGGCTACCAACTCCAAAATAAGAACTTTGGGAAACCTAGCGAGAATCATTTGACATGGACTTTGTGATTCTTTTGTGTTTTCGATATAGCTACCTAGGTACCTACAGCAGGGTGTCGTTACACAAATGAGCTTTTCGAATCCAGGCTAGAAAGGGGCTTGAATGACATGATCCAGATCATCATTATCATCAACAACAAAAATGAGAATTTCGATCATATCATCCATACAAGGAAGTAAGTAGTAGTAGTAGTGAATTAATGTCCATAACGATCCTCAGAGAGAAACAAAAGAAATCGATCAGACAAACAATATTTATATCAAACCCTCCCAACGCAAGAGTCGGTAGTAACTCGGGCCCGAAGAAGTAAGCAGACGAATCCACATTTCGAAACAGACAAGAAAAAAAAAAGGAGAAGGCGTTACGTATGCCTTATTACGCGTTAACTACCCACCTACCTAACTATTCTAAGCTCATAGAGAATACCAATTACGTGATTAAGAATCGGCAAAAAAAGAAGATTTGGGGGTAGATCTAGGTAGGAGGTATACATAGTATGTGTGGATTTGTCTTCTCGTGGCTCAGATGATGAAAAATAGCTGCGCATTACGAATCCCCCGCCGGCCCGGGCTACAGCGGGTACCACTTCGCAGGCCCCGGGAGGAGCAAACAACCGTCTTTATAGTGACATAGGGCATGGGGGTATGGTTATGGTTATGCATCATGTATAGTATATTGAAAGACTTCCCTTGACGAATCTTTTTTTTTTTTGGGGGGGGGGGGGGGGGTGAAGGTTGGCTGTCGTACAAGCCGGCGCCTCAGGGACTAATCGGCTTCTTCCGTCTATTTCTACATAGGTTGGTTGGTGTTATGGGATGATATGACATGCTGCAAATCCAAAATCAGCCCCGTCGCAGGATAGATTGCTCAAGTCGGTTGCGTAGGTAGTTTACGCGTAACGGCCCTCCTTGGTTTCAAATCCGCCTCTGGCGTAGTCGTGGGCTGGCTGGCATGGATTGCGAAACTTCTTACTTGTCTTCTGAAAGTGCAAACACACCATAGGGCTCAACGTGAAGAAGACAGAAAGGGGGCAAATGCCAAAAAGTCCTGTCCTTATAAACGCTGCGTCCTTTCCACAATGGAATCCTCTTCCTCCTCTTCTCTCGGCATCAAACAACAGTCTCGTATCATCGGATAGCAAAGTTAACCATCATCTCAACAACTCTTCCACAAAATCTTCCGGCTCTTCAGAACCGATACCATACCATACAAATACAACCCCTTCCTCAACCACAGCAAAAACAAAATGCTCTTCAAAGCCCTCCCCCTCGCCGCCTTGGTCTCCGTCGCCTTCGGCCTACCCGCTCCGCAACAGCAGCAGCCACCCAACATAACCCCAGGCGCCGCAGTCCCAACCGACCTCCCCCGTCCGGGAGGCGAGCACCCGAAGAGCGGCGCCGGCGCTGCTGTGTTTGCTGTCGGCAGCGGTAGCTTCACCGGGCTGCCGAGCGGGTTCCCGACGGCGCTTCCCAGCGGGTTCCCGGGCGACTTTGGCCCCGGCCCCGGCCCTCAGAGCGGTTTCCCCAGCGCTTTCCCCAGCGCTTTCCCGAGCGCTTTCCAGCGCACGGGCACTCCTACCGGTCCTCCTCCCAGCGGCTTCCCCACGAACCACCCGACCGGCCTCCCTTCCGGGTTCCCTACCGACGGTTTCCCCGCTAGCGGCGCTCCCGCGGTTCCCTCCAGCTCCGCCTAGAGAGTCGGTTTGCGGCGATATGGATATGGCACTGTACATAATACCTCTAGCGTCGAAGTCAAGCGTCGTACCTAGCGAGAAGGAGAATAGGAAAAACAAGAGTCTCGATAGCTGGTGAGACAAACAAAAAAAGAAAAAAAAGGGGGGGGTGAACTTGAAATATTTGTTAGATCTTCCATTTTTTGTCATCAGATTATCTCAGGGTGTCTCGCATTATCATGTACCTCTTATCGTAACTATTTTCTCGGGAGTTTCGGCATGGCTCTACTCTTGGGAGGTTTCTTTAGTTATCATTCGTTATTGGGAGTCCGGGGCTCCAAGCTAGTCTCTGGATATCACTGTAGCATTATTAGGTATTCATAAAACATTTTGGATCATACAATCTTACAATAGAAATACAGATGTGCGGGTTATATAAAACATTATGTGACTGCTTCTGGTAACCAAAGAAATACTAGTTAGTATCTTCCCATAGTATCGCATGATAAAACTTGGTGTCTTTGGAAGAGAAGAAAAGAAGCGAATTGAAAATCCATAGAGCTTAAGATTAAAATGTATACGGAATAGTATGAAATGACATGAAGATCTAAGATCTAAGATCCTTCCATGCAGATGACGCCCGCGCCGGGAATAGCATGAAAAGGGGTTAGTATGAATAATCTTGCAGCTCTTGGCAGAAGAATTGAATATGCAAAGAGAATAAATATCATCCCAAACTCATCCTGTTCTATTGCAACCCTGTCCTACACACAATTTACCTTTGTCGTCTCAGGTTCGCAAGGACAAAAACATCTAAGCACTATCGTCGATAGGCATTAGTTTAGAAATCTTTCTGCGTCGCTACCAAGGCTAACTCGAAGGCTTCGGCGAACGCGACGCAGTCCTCGAACGAGTTGTACAAGGGCGCAGGAGCGACGCGGATTACGTTTGGCCTCCTCTCGTCTACAATGACGCTTCTCGCCTCTAACTCCTTCATTACCTGATCTAGGATGCTGTCTGCCAGCAGCAGACTCAGCTGTGCGCCGCGCTGGTCCGGATCGGACGGGGTAATTATTCGGAATAGCTGTTTTGCATCTTCCGACAGGAGGGAGAGGCACTGTTCGAGAAAGGCGGTGAGCCTCTTAGACTTTTCTCGGAGGGGTGAGACTCCGCCGGCGAGTTCGAAGATTTCGAGCGAGGCGCTTAGGCTCGTGATATCGAGGATGCTAGGGTTGCTAAGCTGGAATCCGGCTGCTCCTTTTACGGGGTGAAACTTGGTTTCCATCTGAAAGCGAGTCGCCTTGTCGTTCCCCCACCAGCCCGACAGTCGCTTACCGTATCCCCTCTCGGGTTCCTCGTCGGTAATCGTGGTGTTCACTAAGCTGTTGCGCGAATTGATAAACATACCTCCTATGCAGCCCGGACCTCCGTTTAGGTACTTGTATGTGCACCAGGCGGCGGCATCCACGTCCCAGTCGTGCAGATGAAGGGGGACGTTGCCCACCGCGTGCGCCAAATCCCAGATGATAAAGATGTCGTGCTTGTGCGCAAAAGCGGTGATGGTTGGGATATCCAACAGCTGGCCGGTGTAATACTGGACGCCGGGCAACAAGATCAACGCCGTATCCGACGCGTGCTTCGAGATGATGGACTGGATGTCGTAGGTGGTGATGAGGGCATCCTCCGAATACGGCGATTCTACGGTCACCATGGAGGTGCTTGGGGAGAGACCATGATGGCGGATCTGGCTTAGTACGGCAAACTATCACGTCTCAGCGAGCGCACGTCTGTCGTCATGCGGATCATCTCTTACATGATCGCTTGGGAAGGCCTTGCTTTCAAGGATTATTTTGTGCTTCCCCTTCGGATCGGGACGATAGAAGGCGGACATCAGCAGGTGCAAGTTCGCAGTCAGAGTCTGCATGACAGCAACTTCTGATTCATCGGCGCCGACTATGGGTGCCATCAATTTGGCAGCTCTCGCGTCAGCGTCGAGCCATGTCGGTAGAGGAGAGTCGTCTAGAGGCTTGAAGTGGCCCTGGACGGCCTGGGTGGACCAGGTCTGGAGATACTGGTTGATGCGAGTTGCGGTTCTTTTGGGTTGCAGTCCGAGAGAGTTGCCGCAGAGGTATGTACATGGGGTTGTCTCGTCGGCTGAGGCGGCATCGTTACGATCTAGCGAAGTTCAGTAAAAAGTAACGATTCTCGCTCGGTTGGTGGGGACCGGAAGAGGCAGTTAGTTCACCTTGCTGCTGCTCTTGTTCTTGCTGGGGCTTCTCCAGCTTCTCCAGAGTAGTTCGTTTAATATCAGCCTTGGTGGGGATTCGAAATTCGGCCCTCAAATGGCGGAGGTGATCCTCCCTATCCAAGATTTCAGCCTGAGCATGAAGATTCGAAAAGCGCGATTGGTCGGATGAGGCGCTCATTCTAAGCTAAAAGGGAATAAAAGATGGTAATAGCGTCACTTTGTACAAAATTATTAAATATCAAATACCTAATGGGATTATGGTCCCACGCGCAGATTAATTTGATGAATAATAGTTGTTGATGGCGTACGTTGTCCCCGGGTTGTGAAGGTGGTGGTAAGTCTCTCTTCGATAACCCCGCGATCTCTTTTTTTTCTTTTTGCGGCAGTAGGCTGGTAGCGCAGTGCTTGGAGTACCTAAAAGCTGCTAAGGCAATAAGCCCAATTATGGTAGGTGGGGTAAAAAGAGACGGGATTGGGGCGATCGACTGCAAGCCATTACGTCCGTTTACCTAATACCTACATAACACCTACCTAACCTGAGACCAAATTCGACTAAGCGAAGAAAACGTTTAGTCATGATGCATAAAAAGGGACAAATCGATCCAACTTCTTACGAGACAGAAATTCAACAAGCTGAAATACCTGGAGACATGACTGGAAACATACCTGGAGACCTACCTGGCAGCCCTGGATATTATTGTAAATTACCCGCAACGTGTCCATACATTATATAGTCTCGGGTAGTACGAATTGGCTAACAAGCTTCGTCAAGCTTTCTGGGGTAGATCAAATATATTACCTTTCGGCATGAGGGAATATGAAGGAATATAGCGAAGCATGAAGAAGGTATCATTCAATCATTAATTGAAGGTATCAATTTGCTGTTTTGATCGACGCTGCAATGCAACAACGGCTTGGCTTTTTTTGCCTCTTTCTCTTTCATCTCCCTTTTCAAACGGAAAGCCGAAAGAAGAATCTCGAAAACGACGTTACGGCTAGATATATAAATGGTTAATACGAACTCCGCCAGTCGTTTCTGTAGTAATTGCAAGATCGCAATCAACAATTTGCAATTTACCGCTTCGCATTGCGTGGCCTCTCTCCATTGCCCATCGGCAAATCCAACGCTGGCGGATACGGCGTCGCATCTTTTCCTTTGTGTAGGTAGGTCGCTCAGGATAAACACCGGTAGAGCGGTTCTAACCGAAGCCTGTAATTATTTGCATGTTCTCCTACGGGCCGTCCCTGGATTAATATGTATCATTGATGATTCGGTAACCAATGCCACATGCGTCGACGGTCGACCTGCTGCTCTCTGTGGCTTATTCGGCTCTGGCTTTGTCTTGGTACATATGATTAAATCAATGTTTGGATCTAACTTCCGAACCCCCCCTGAGCCGAACGGAGAGGCAATGCATATGCGCACCCCTCGGATCATACCGTGAGATCGTATCTATGATGATGGAACGGAAGAAGCTTCTTCTGTAGTTTGTACTTGAAATGTCCGTATGAAGAAGTAGGGGGAAAAAAAAGGGCTGAGAAGGTCTAGATGTTATGTCATCTCTCGTATTGTTGATGGCTGGCCGTTTCACAACTCCACACTCGTGGCGGTGCTTATCTACGATCCAGAGGTAGGGGATGTTAGCCAGGTTAGTACATAGAGTGCGTATGCGGTACGCAATACGTAGAACTCCAGTTTTGATATGAGTGCTGTCGTTGATAGGAGGCTACATCTCTCACATCTCTTCCAGCTACGGCTGCTACAGCTGTTACAGGGCGAAAACGTGGAAGAATTTAAAAATAGCCTTGTGTGTGTCCCGGACCGTATTTATCGATCGATAGACGCTGCGTAAACCCCCAATTAACTGTTGCTCTCCGTCTTACACCAGTGTACATACGTATCTCTTGCGGTTCTTGTGGGACCTTTTACCGTATTGTAACTTTTTTTTGTTGTCGATAATTCTTTTCCCCTTTTTCTTCTCCTATCGAGATTGCCACGAAGCAATAGATGACCATTGACCAAGAACGAACCAGTAAAGTGCCTAACCTAAGCAGTACCACTTAAGCTCCCCGTCTTAGAGCTACCATCCTTGGGAATTGCGGCAAAAGGTGCCGGCATAATGCTACTCACGTTAAGTCGAAAACGAACGAACGAACGCTGAACACACAACTCCCTATCCTGGAATCCGACGATGGCAGTAGATGATTGTCCCTGCAGTGTCACCTAGGCAGGAGTATGTACATAGTGTAAAGACGAGTAGCTGTCCTGTTCCACTTGGGCTCCGCAATACATAATAGCAAAAAAAAAAAAGGAGACTATGTTTTCGTTTCGAGATGCTCTACCGGTTCCCATGACGTTGTTTCCGGACCATATGTCGCCATGAAAGAAAAAAGTGAGAGAACCCCCTTACACCCAAGGAGATGATGGAGTTACCTAACTGGACTGCTCGACCACTGATCTCACGACAAGTTTAGTAATAATAAGTCGAACCCTGGGACCGTCTATATGCACCGGCCAGGCCAAGAGAGAGGATTGTTGGAATTGTTGAGCTATCACGAGACCGTTAGAATCGCCTGGCGTCAAATCGGCTGACCTCGTGCTGCTCGATTGGGCTGGATAGACGCTGCTATCAAGTAATATGGGGGTAATAGAAAATCAGAATCGCAGTACTTTTACGTGTGCGGTTCCTGGATGACACCGTGAACACCGTCGAAATCGCGGGGCAGGTGGATTCTATACCCAAGCAGCCAAGTCACCCGAGAGGTGCAGAGCCCGGGGCTATTAGCGCTATTCCTTATGGGGGATATGCTACCTAGGAGCCGGTACCTAAGGCCCTTTAATGCTAAGTTAGGTACCTAGGCTAAGTACCTAGGTATTTTTGACTTACGTACGAAGTATCGTCATGTACAGTACATTAGGTACCTGCCTTTTACAGTACCTTTACCTGTAACTGTAAAGTATTAGTGAGGTATCTACCTGGAAATATAGGTACCTTAGGTCCACCTGCCACCTGATACGCGTAGACCTAGCGAATTTCACAGCTAGGTCGTTCAGGGTGTTCAGAGTGTCCCGTCCCGCCTTTCCAATTGATCATAAGCCATTTCGAATTTTTCCAATTATCATTTTTTTTTCTCTCTTCACCCCTTCTCCCTTTGGCTTCCCGAAGCATCGAGAGCCAATTCCATCTCTTCGGTGTCTCATCATTCCTTAACTCGATAGCGATAGGTATTGCAACACCCATTAGGTCATTGGATATAGCGGTTGCGCCACAGATCTCCAATTAAGGCCCTCCTATGTAAGAGGCGGTAAAAGACACACCTCTTATTCAAATCCCCAGGTTATTGATGCGCAAGCCTAACGCGATGAGCCGCTGTTTATTACCTAAAGACCACATGGACTTAAAATGGTATCCCTTATTGAAGAATATTAATATGATTCGTTCTATTTTGTAGCATCTCACTCGTAGCGGGTTAGGGGTCAAAGAGATGGGGAGAACAGAGAAAAGAGAGGTGAGAGAACTGGCGATTGATAGACGGGGATCAACATACGCAAAGCCAGATCCCAAGGGTTGTCACTCCGCTCAAACAAATGATTTGCATATTACCTTACCTTAGGTACTTGCCTATCCGGAGAAGATCACATTACCATTCATGTTGGTAATGTAGGTAATTACCTAACCTAGAACGAGAGCTTACTCTTGCTGTTATTATTATTATTATTCTCGCCTGAGGCGGATGGGTTTGTGGTGAGGTACCAACGAAATGTATACCGAGTATACCGAGTATCTACTAAGATGACCCCGGAAAGTTCAAAAAAGGTACCTCGTGGCCTAGATGTTTACTAAAAATCCTCCCGAGGTCATGTCCCTCGAATAGCCGTCGGTACTTGTTACGATCCATAATCCCCTAGGCTTCGTCTAAGTTTGTAATAAAAGAAGGAGAGGAGAAAAAAAAAAGGAAAACACCTCAGACCGTTGGATCGCATACTAGTTAGATCCATCACGATCCACCAAACCCCGGTCCGAGACGACATGTGATGCTGAAGTTGTTTTTCCAACGAGGTTCTGGATGCTCGCCGCATGGCTATTCCCTTGGTTGCGGGTAACCCGTTGTCACCGCCAGGATCCAAGTACCATCGGCATACAACTCTAGTTAACCCGGTACTTCCGACTATACAGATTTTCAGGTACCCAAATCATTAGACCAATGAGAGGGGGACGCTCCGCCCGTTCCAGTTAGCTGCATTGTTAGCTTGTCGCTTTTGTTCCATTTGGGTTCACCGTGATGAAAGAATTCTTCGATTGGGATTCTTCCACTGGTTTTCAATACTAATTTTTTTTTTTTAGTACGGATGGTACAGGTTGTACGGGGGAATACCAAGTCGATAAGGTACCCTTAGATTTCGAGAACAGTATTGTATGTACATTTCCCCGGGAATCCCTGGCGCTGCTAGCTGTTAGGTACCTATGGAAGCTTGTTAAACTGACAAGGATTAAGGCGACTCGCAACCTGTTCTTCGAACAGTATTGTATTGTATTGTTCAGTTTGTACTGTACAGCGTACCTTGTCTGCTTGTACAATAGGTACAATACACACAGACTGAGAGACCTAGTGCACCACGCATCACGCATCGCTGCTGAAAACGTGTTTCTAGTGTATAATGTGTAATAGTTGCTGACGGTTTTTGTCTTCCTAGTTTTTTAAACGGTACAATATATAAGAACCTGGTGGTTCCCCTTCTTAAACCCGACTTCACGATAGTTATCAATTTGCTTTGGCTATGGACGAAACAACAAATTGGGTCTGAATCTTTACAAAAGACTTTTACGTTATTACCTTACTTACTCAGGTGGTCTCTCATCGAGCTGTCATTGCCAATTGCTGTTATTACGGTTTTTGCTATTATTATAATTTCCTTATCTTTTGCGGATTCGACTACCCGGAATCCCCTATCATCTATCTCCTCCCTATCATCTTAGTCCAGTCTTCTACCCCGTCCCATCCCCATCATTATCTCTTACATCTACCCACCGTCATCGTGTTTAATACATATCAGCTTCAGGTTCGGCTTCGTCATCAGCACCAGCTGTTTATTTACGTGCCCTTTTTAATACACGCCTCCAGCCTAAACCCAATATAGTCTTTTCTATATCTCCGGGAACGTGGAACCATCTACGGCAATATCGTATCATAACGATCGAGGAACTTTAAATTTAAGCCTCGTTACAGCACTGTTGCCAAGTCTGTCAAAGCAGAAAGAGAAAAAAACCTTGAAGCGTCGAGGTTGCTTTTGCTTGCTTGCATCATCTTGATTAAGGTACCACTTCCCATTCCAGTGGCCCATTCCCCCCTCCAGCCAATCAGCTACCTAGTTGGACCACACACCTCCGAAGGTTGGCTGTTGTCTCTCTACTATGTACCTACCTGGTAATGTATTTGCCGTACATAGTAGCATTGTATTGTACCGCAGGACCTTATACACATACCTCTCTAACCCACCATCTGTATCTACAACTCTAACTAACATCCGAAGGCAGATCTTGCGCTTCACTCTTTAAGTTGACCAAGCTTCTTGTTGATCTATTTGTGGAGCCGTCCCAGAGCAACCTTCTTGACGGTTTTGTCGGTACGTCTTTTTTTATTGTTCAGCCTGTATGTGTTATTATATAGGTACCTCCCATGTTATTAGTTTCCTTGTCAGGAGCATGGCCGTTCGACTTAACTCAACGCTGCCTGAAGCATCCAGCGGTGAGGTTGACTCCATGTTATTTTTTGGTCGGTACGATCCGAGATACGATAGCGGCATTCGTGTTTTCATATCCCAATATTGGCTTCGATTGACCTCATTTGACCTGCCTGTGCTCTGCCGCCAACCCCCTTGTCGAGGTCCAATATGAGAGCTGAAAACTACCGAACCCGTTTCCTCTGTCTCATCGTACCACAGTAATTGCAAATTGTCACTTGTTGACACTTATTTGCTCATCGTACCTCGGTGTCGATCTTTGGGGTAGTCCCCCTATATGAAAAAGGGGATTGTCATTGTATGCGGCAATGACGCCTTCTGCTCTACCCTTGAACTTTAAATTCTATATAAGAGACCCATCTTTTCCCCTCCGATCTGCTCAGTTATTTTGTTTCTATCATATCCCGTTTTATGGTGGACGTAAAGTCTTCCAGTGCCCCGTCATCTTTCATCTTTTCCCCTCCCGAGTCCATAAGCCTCTTGGTTTCTTGTCTCCGACATGGTGGTCAAGATGTTGACTCTTCAGACGACTGACCTACCCCTGGATAGGTTTCCTCAGTACTCAGATCCGTTGGAGGTTTCAGAACCTAAAACACAGATCATGACGACTAATCCAGCCAACAAGCTGCTGGGCAAGGTTCAGGGTTCTGATCAAGTTTCACGGCACCCCTCCCCCCAGCCCACCCATTTCTCGGTACCCCTGGGTACGCTAGGTGGCAACGGACATAGGGTCCTCCGTTCTGCTACCGTGGGATACATCGCGCCCGAGTTTAAGGGACGCGATGAGCAGATAGAGCAAGGTCAGTAGATGATGATATCCACGATGCTATTCATGTCTCTAACGAGTTAATAGTCAAGAACATCATCCTCAAGCAAGGATGGATTCCCGAGTCACATCTCGATGAGCAAGTCTCATGGTTCTACAACGAGCTAGGTATCGACGATGTCTACTTCCAGATGGAGAGTGCCGATGTCATCGCGACCCACATCACCTCCATGTACGCTGCCAAGGTTGCGGCGTACGCCCGCGTGGACAAGCGTGAAGAAATCCGCTTAGACATGGAAGCTACCGACCACGCCATCTATATCGACACTAGCGAAGCCGGTAAGAGTTCGTTACACGGTCCACGCTTCGAAAATAGACTCGAGGCCAAGTATCTAGACAACGTGGACCCCAACAAGCGGTTCAGGGTTGAGACGTTCCGCTCTCCTGGCACCATAGCAAACGACCCTTCATCTAAGGCCTCTCTACGATGCTATTTCGTATATCAGTGCCAATTCGTAGATCCGAACCCAGAACCTGGCGAGACGCGCCTTGAGATCATCAGCGATCGTATGTTCCTGACGAAAGCGACCAAGAACACCAAGCAGATTTATGATGATATCATCAAACTCGCCGTTGCCAGGACTGGTCCTGTCATCGAGGTGTTCGATATCGAGGGCTCGGAGGAGAAACGTCTCGTCATGGCTTTCCGCTCTCGCACTGCGAGGGGTATTTTCAGCGCCATGAGCGATCTCTACCACTACTACGGTGTCACAAGCACCAGGAAGTATGTAGAGCAGTTCTCCAATGGCATCACAGTCATGAGTATCTACCTCAAGCCGGCGACGAACCTTGATACCAAGCCCATGCCGATCGAGCAGTCGATCCATCAGATCACCAAGGAGATTTCTCTCCTGTACTGCTTACCCCAGAACAAATTCCATTTCTTGTTTGCCTCTGGCGCGCTGAGTCTGCAGGAGACCGTCTACGGCCACTGCGTGTGGGTGTTTGTTCAGCACTTCCTCAACCGTCTCGGCACGGAGTACGTGTCTATCAAGCAAGCCTTAGATTCCAAGAACCCGGCACACGTGGAGATCTTGTCCAAATTAAAACGACGTCTTCGTACGGAGACGTTCACTCCGGATTACATCCTCGAAATCATCTCGTCCTACCCCAATCTAGTCCGTCTGTTGTACGCCGCATTTGCCAGCGTTCACCTGAGTGTTGGTCCCGGTTTTGAAAAGAGCATAATCGCGCCGACGCCCGCCGTGGAGGTGCTCTCGGATGCTAAGCTTAAGGAGGCTATTACTCGAGAAGTGTCTAATGAGCACCAGGAGATGGTAATGACGGCCTTCCGGATTTTCAATAATGCTGTCTTGAAGACCAATTACTTTACTCCTACGAAAGTAGCCCTCAGTTTCCGTCTCGACCCATCCTTCCTGCCGGAGATCGAATACCCCCGACGTCTGTACGGAATGTTCCTCGTGATTAGCGCTGAAGCCCGCGGCTTTCATCTGCGGTTCAAGGATGTCGCCCGAGGCGGTATCCGAATCGTCAAGTCCCGCAGCAAGGAGGCATACAGCATAAATGCCAGGAGCCTCTTCGACGAAAACTATGCCCTCGCCAGCACACAGCAGCGGAAGAACAAGGATATCCCCGAAGGCGGCTCGAAAGGTGTGGTTCTCCTTGATGCCAAGCAGCAGGATCGTGCTCGGGAGGCTTTTGAGAAGTACATTGATAGTATCTTGGATCTTCTCCTCCCCGCTCAGACCCCTGGCATCAAGAACCCCATTGTAGACCTATATAACAAGGAGGAGATTCTCTTCATGGGTCCTGACGAGAACACCGCAGACCTTGTCGACTGGGCTACCGAACACGCTCGCGCCCGAGGCGCGCCGTGGTGGAAGTCCTTCTTCACTGGCAAATCGCCTAAGCTTGGCGGTATCCCCCACGACGAGTACGGCATGACGACGCTGTCCGTCCGCGAGTACGTCAAGGGTATCTACCGGAAACTGAACTTGGACCCTTCCGAGGTGAAGAAGATGCAGACCGGAGGACCGGACGGAGACCTTGGCAGCAACGAAATTCTTCTGAGCAACGAGAAATACACGGCTATCGTCGACGGCTCTGGCGTGCTCGTGGACCCCAACGGTATCGACAAGGACGAGCTCATCCGCTTGGCCAAGGCGCGTGTCATGATCTCGCATTTCGATCTTTCTAAGCTGTCTAAGGATGGTTATAGAGTCCTGTGCGATGACAGCAACGTCACGTTGCCGACCGGCGAATTTGTTCCCAACGGCACCCCCTTCCGGAACTTCTTCCATCTCAGAGATAGCGGTCTGACGGACGTCTTCGTTCCTTGTGGTGGTCGTCCCGAGTCGATCGACCTCTCTACGGTCTCCAAGTTGATTAAGGATGGCAAGACGACGATTCCTTACGTCGTTGAAGGAGCCAACCTGTTCATCACCCAAGATGCTAAGCTACGTCTCGAGGATGCAGGCTGCATTCTTTTCAAGGACGCATCCGCCAACAAGGGTGGTGTGACCTCGTCGTCTCTAGAAGTCCTCGCCGCGCTGAGCTTCGACGACCAGGGTTTCGTCGAGAACATGTGCCACAACGCGAACGGCGAGGCGCCCGAGTTCTACAAGGCGTACGTCAAGCAGGTGCAAGCCACGATCTGCGAGAACGCGCGCCTCGAATTTGAGGCCATCTGGCGGGAGCACGAGCAGACCGGCGTGCCGCGATCCGTGCTCTCCGACTCGCTCTCCGTCGCCATCACGACCCTCGACGAAGAGCTCCAGAAGTCGGACCTCTGGGAGAACCCCAAGATCCGCAGGTCCGTCCTCGCGGACGCCCTCCCCAAGCTGCTGCTCGACAAGATCGGTCTGGAGACCATTATCGCACGCGTGCCGGACTCGTATCTCCGCGCCATCTTCGGAAGCTACCTCGCTTCCCGCTTCGTGTACGAGTTCGGTAGCAACCCTAGCCAATTCGCTTTCTACGATTTGTAAGTTTTTCCCATCGATTTTTGAACCAGGAGTGTCTAAACTAACATACTTATCTTTCCATAGCATGTCTAAGAGGATGGCTAATATCCAATGATTGATGATGACATACATCTGCATATTTGCCGGCAAGAAAAAAAAGGAGGGAGAGAGGGGATAGGAACGAATTATAAAAAGGGGGCTTGAAAGCTTTTTTTCTTAAACGGCGGTGGTGGTACCTAATAATTACCCATGAAAGACGTCCTTTTCTTATTATAAAATAAGACAGCAGTGCCAGATTTTCGTAAAGCAAGCAAGTTTTAAAACGCGTATTCGAACCGAAAAAAAAGAAGGGCAGGATTCATGACTTATGAATTATTCTCGAGTTTCTTTTTTTTTTTTTTTTTGCTTTGACTGCTACATACGTGGAGTTTGGGTGGGAAGAAGCAGCGTCTTTTTTATAGATAGGTCGTGGTAGCGCCTATATAAGCTACAAGCTACGATAAAAAAGGCCTTTAGAGATGAGGTTTTTCTTATACTGCTACAGTTTTGCTATTGCTCCGTTGATCGATTTGGTGAATATAAAGGGCCGGCTATGGAAATATGCGACGAAGTAGACATGGGGGTTAAATTTTCTAGTAAGTTATTCTTTTTTTCTGGCTCTGTCGAGGTCGGAGCGGAGAATCGATAGGCTGAAACGATCCTACAGATTGTCCACTCGTTGTGAGGTAGCTAATAAATAGACGGGACTGGAATATTAGAATTATGAGAAAGCAGCAGAGCTAGAATATTGAAAAAAAAAGAAAGTAAAGAAAAAAAAGATAGGAGGTACCTAACCTAACACGTAGCAATGGCCTCAGTGAAAACATCACCGAGATATTCAAACACAACCTAACCTAACCTCACAAATAAATAAATACCTAGGTGCTTATCGTATAAACTCCATGCTCGCAATTTAGACCCTAGCGCCCGTCGTCAAATAATCTTCGACTCCGACTCCCGAGGCTGGAGCAAATCCCCTACGTCGAATTTTCCATTCTCCTCAAGAGGAGCCTTGGCAGCGGGAGGAATAGCAGAAGAAACAACGCGATACCCCTTCCTCCTGCTGTTCCTCCTTCTCAGACGGTACAGCAACGCGAATCCGACGAACGAGATAACCGCTGTTAAGAAAGCGGCACCCAGCAAGACGGATGCCAGACACCGAGGCGTCAGCACGTGTTTTCCAGGTGGTGATGATGGTAATGATGATAGTACTGGTGGGGGTAACGGTCCCGTCCCGGTGCTGGATTCGGATTCTATTCCCCATCTCCTATTCCGCTCCGCCATAGCGAAGCTGCTGGTCGTTTGGGGCATAGGGTCCAGCGTAATGACCCGCGTGACCGTGATAGTTGGCGGTTCCTCCGTCACCTTATCACTATCACTACTACTATCACCGCCACCGCCGTCACTACTGCTACTATCAGCTCCCAGACCCGGATTCCCAGTCCCAGTTCCAGTCCCGGCATTACTATCACTACCACCACCACCACTGCCCAGCACAAGCGGAAATACCTTCCGAAAAACCGTCGCCGCGAGCGCCGGGTCGGACTCGGCGGGCACGTCCGCGGTCCAGGTGTACGCCTCGAAGGGGCTGGACGTGGAGCCGTCGGGGACCACGGTGTCGAACGCCGGGTCCCAGTACATCCAGATCGGGGTGGGCGCTGACCCCGTCAGGTAGCTCTGGCACAGCCGCTGCGGCGCCTGCCTGTCGCCGTCGGCGGTCGCCGTCGCGCAGGTCCATTGGCCGGGCGGGCAGCACCAGGCTTGCGGGTATAATTCCACGTCTTCTTCTTCCCCTACCCCTACCCCTACCGCTTGGAAACTCCCATTTCTCTCGTTTCCATCCGCGGCCCCATTCCTGTTTCCATTCTCACTTCCATTCCTATTCTTCCCCCAACCTACACCCACACCCACGTCCCCACGCATACCCCTACCCCTACCCCTATCCCTCCCACCCCCATCCCCCGCCGTAATCGTAGTCGTGCACGCCACCGTCCACCCCGCAAGACACCTGTCCCCGGGGAACGCCGCGGTCGACGCGCTCCCCTCGTTGCCGCTCCGCGGCGCGCCGTTCAGCTCGCCCCACTCGTTGTCGAACAGCGCGAAGTAATTCTCCGGCCAGCAGTCCTCGTTGTACCCCACGCGCTTTGCCACATCCCCATCTCCTCCATCCCAATTCCCATCCTCTACCCTTGTACCTTTCCCTGCCCCGTTCCATCTCCCTGCCCCCGCCCCTCCCCCCGCCTCCGTCGACGCAGCCAGCTCCTGCACCGCGAGACACCGCTGCCCCGCGAGCGGGTGCGCGTCGCGCGCCGCCGTGTTGAGCGAGTACACGTAGTACGAGAGGCCGCGGCAGAAGACGGACAGGGAGCACGAGGGGGGCATGGTGGTGATGCTGGTGGCGCCTTGTTGTTGTTGTTGTTGCGGCGGGGGGGCGAAGGGCGTGGTTTGCGGGGGCAGATGGTACGTCAGGGTCGATTGCGAACCGTCTGGGCCGCGGGTCGTTTTGGTGATGGCCGTCATGATGGACGATGAGCGATGAACGATGGCGGTATGTATAGGAAAGGGGGGAGAATTTTTTTTTCCTTTTTTGCTCGTGGTCCGGGATTAGACGAGGCGCACGAGTACGAGGATGGTAAGTAGGTAGGTATTTTTTGCTAGGGACCTAGGTAGGTTAGGTTAGGTAGTTAGAAAAAAACCCGTGCTGCTAGTTGTTGGTATAAAACGACACGAAGAAGAATCCAACAGCTCGCGAACATGAACAGGGGGGAGGCTGGCTAAAACAAAGACCGCCCAGGAAATGTAGAAGTCGTAAACGCATAACGATGGGAAATCCCATCCCAGTTATTTAAACCTACCACCACCACCGGCACTACGGACGTAATATATCAAAACCGCAGGTACATTCGCCTACGCCGGATTCGCTGCCTAAGGTTAGGACGTAGGTGGGTACCCCAACCAGCCCAGCCCAGCCCAGGCTAGCCAGAGCAACGGCGGGAGAGAGAGCGGGCACAGATTACGCCATATAACGGACCCGGTGCCACGACCCCAAGAGCCGAGATCAGGCGGTGCGGGTGCGTGTGTGCGTGCGTGTGCCCGTCCTTGTGCCTTGCGTTTACGACTTCGCGAACAGCCGTGCTACCTCTCATCCTTCCCATCCTTCATTTCCAGGTCCCTAGGTAAGGTATGATCATACCTTAGGGAGACTATAGACCACATCATACTAAAAACGTACGTCGGCGTGTATGTGTATTAGAAGCAGCAATCATCGGCCTTGTTTGCCTGTACACGATTGTCCCAAGGCGATAGTAAGGCGAAAGCTTATGGCGTGGTCATCGTATGTAAATGGTCGAGCTGTGTAATCCACACCAGGCTCGCGAACTCGAGCCCAGTGTATCTCTCTCTCCGTCTGCCCGTCCGTCTATCTGTCCTACCTGCTCTGGATACACTCATTTCCCGATTCCTGCTAATATACCCGACCCGTTGTCGAGACCCGGCGTAGGACGTGAGATTACGCTTCGTCTTCGTTAACACCAAGAGCTTACGCGGCGTTTCTTTTTTTTTTTCTATTTTCCTTTTTCTTTTTTCTTTTAGTGATTGCTACCCCAATTCGTAGTTCCTTGTGAATGATGCACTCGTACCTCCATTCTAGAACGTAAGAGGTTGGAAATGCCTCGATTGATCGGGGTATGTTTTGAGATCATTGTCTCATCTACATCATCGTACAGAATCCGAAGGCTTTGTCATCGCTAATATACATACATCATTTTGTACACTGAAGGACTACCTCGCTCGAAGCGAGAACCTTCAGGGAACCAGGTATTCGACTTAGCCGTATAGTATACCCCCCAAGACCGGCGCCCTGAGTGACTTCTAGGAGAAACCTTGCTGCTGTCAAATATGACCGATTTCTTTTAAACCGTTTCGTTTTGCCTTCTACCTTCTACCCAGGCCCCATTTGTATATCCTGTCTTGTATCTCTTCCCACGACATCTGCTTTCCGGACATAAACGGGTGCTGGGCCTCTTGTAACACCACGGTCGGAGCACCGCTTCCCTTACCGTTATTTTGTACCAACCCCCCTACGACCTGCTTCGCTACCCGGCGTAGGTCGCTGATCGTAAGGCTCTCGATCTTTCGGCACATCTCCTGAACCGGTACTTTGCGACCGTGTACTTGGACTTGCCTGCCCAGGTCTTCCAGCTCAACCATTCGGCTCTCCAAGTTCATCAGCAGGCTGGAACGTAGTTGGTTCTTGGCGCGGTTAACTTCGACATGGCCGAGGGCGGCAAAGCCGGTGTCCACGGTAAGCGCCCTCAATTCTTGGCACATGACGTCGAGCATCTGTTGGGTGCGGCCGGGGACGCATTGAGCAGAGATGCCGAACAAGCCGGAATCCGTGTAGGAATGGTTGAAAGCTATACAAGATTCTACCCATGCGTGTTGGTTAAGTACATTAGTATATAGTCTTGAATACATGCCCTTCCCGGGTCCGCCGGCGGAAAAGGAACCGCCGCCGCCGAGAAGCGTGTTGAGCGTCGCCAACGCGTAGATATCGTCCGATGCGATAGGCAATCCCTCGAAGGCAAGATGGATATGAGTGAAAACGGGTAGGTTAGGATTGGGGGAAGGGGGTTGCGGTGGGAGAGCGACGAAACCCCCGGTGTAATGCGAAGGCATGGTAAGCTCTTCCAGGGTTGGCGCGATGACCGGAGAGGTGGACATGGATGCGTTGCGGCTTGCGGAAGTGGAGATGTTTTTAAATAGGGGTAACTTAGACATTATACTAGATGATTGTGACGAGGAAGACGAGGATGAGAAGAGGGAAGAAGCTGAAGCGTCGGTATTATCCGACGAGGAGGAGGAGGAATCTATAGATGTTTCCGACCCCGTCCGAGACAAAAGAGGTTGCCCGTGAGCTTGCATATCTCCGAAGAACTCGGAAGCTAGTTGCACCGCCTCGGAATGAGGGACGCCGGCAAAGGCTACAACGGTCCTCTCGGGACGATAGAAAGTATTTCTATACGTTTTAATTACCGACCTGTCGATTTCGGGTATCCGTTCCCTAGGACATAATAGAGGGTTGCCGAGGGTATTGCCCTTAAAAGCGGCCATGTGTACCAGCTCGGGTAGAATAAGTTCGGGTTTCTTCCAGATCTCATTGATCTCGTACTCGGCCGTCATCAACTCTCCGGCAACCTCTTCATCCGTGATTCGGGGAAAGCGTATCGTATCCGCAAGTAGTTCCGTCGCCGTTGGGATAGCCGAGTTAAAGGTGGCAGCCTGGTACATGATGGATTCTCGAGAGGATACGCATTGTACGTTTCCTCCTAGCGATTCGACCGTCTCTTGTATTTGTTCTGGGGTCTTGTTCTCTGTGGAATGAAAGGCCAGTCGATCGACGATGTGGCTCACCCCGCTCAAGTAATTATTCTCGAATCTCGAGCCGCCCTCGATATATACGCCAACACCGGAGAAAGACCCGGGGAGGGCTTCCGAAGCTACTCGAACTCCATTCGGTAACCTTGTTATCTGATCGAGCTCCGTCGGTTCCTGGCTTACGTTGTTAATATACATTTTATTTAATATCCATATGTACAAATTTGCAAATCTAATGATAAAGGCATCATCTCATCGTCCGGATTTGTCAACGCACCTTTGGCCTTGGCACGTTCACACTGGCGAGCGTGCGAGTCTGAAGCGGTCTTAATGCCCTAGAGCATGTTCGCGCAGAAGAGGTAAGACCTCTGTTTAAAGATCTAGACGAGCAAGCGCGAAACATGCTGAGGACATGGGAAATTGGCGACAGATGTTTTTCACGGAAACCGAATGGAGAAAGAGAGAGATTCGTCTTTTGCCTTTCGGCTGTAACGATAAGAAAAGTTTAGGTGAGCAATTCCCTTATCGCTTATCGGGGGGGGGGGATGCTTACATACATGTATTTTTTTTTTCAGTCCGTACCTTCTCTCTACTCGACTTCTCGGGCATGCTAGGTACCTAGGTAAAGTACATCTTATCTTATCGAGACCGCCTACCAATCTCGTAACAATACGATTCTGCCGTCTGCCCCTCCTTCAAAGTTCAAACCCTCCCACCTTGGTAAAAGTCGTCGAAGTTATTGCGCGGATTGTACCTATGTACTTCTATATATAGTACCAGCCTACCTCATACATATCTCATCATAGTAATTAAAAATTAAAACGATCAACGACGTATAAACAATGTCCAAGCCAACGCACCTCGAGCCCTCGGAGCTGGGCACCAAGGAATACTGGGACAACCTGTACGCGGCCGAGATCTCCAACCACGCCCACAACCCCGCCGACACCGGCACCGTCTGGTTCGACGACTCCGACGCCGAGGCCAAGCTCATAGACTTCCTCGCCGAGCAGCAGGAGCAGCAGCTCCTCTCCGAAGAAACCACCTCCTTCCTCGACCTCGGCACCGGGAACGGCTCCCTCCTCTTCGGCCTCCGCGACGCCGGCTGGCGCGGCCGCATGCTCGGCGTGGACTACTCGCGGCAGAGCGTCGAGTTCGCGCGGCGCATAGCCGAATCCCGGTCGCGGTCCCAAGACCATAACTCCAACTCCAATTCCAACTCCTACCCGGACGCAGACGCAGACGCAACGGAATCACAACCAGCAAGAGAACCTCCGGTCGAGTTCCTCGAGCACGACATCCTGCGCACGCCCGCCTCCGCGCTCCTAGCCGGCGCGCGCCAACCGCACGGCTGGGACGTGGTGCTCGACAAGGGGACCTTCGACGCGATATCGCTGTCGCCGGAGACGGACCCGGCGACGGGGCGGCGCGCGAGCGAGTCCTACCGGGCGCGGGTGGCGCCCCTCGTGCGCGACAACGGGGGCCTGTTCCTCGTCACGAGCTGCAACTGGACCGAGGAGGAGCTGAGAAGCTGGTTCGAAGGTGCGAGGAAGGACGGCGAGGAGGAAGAAGAAGAGGCCAAGGGTTGGCGGTTCGATCTTGTCGGTAGGGTCGAGTATCCTAGCTTTAGCTTCGGCGGCGTAAAGGGGCAGACAATTAGTAGTTTATGTTTTAGGAAAGTTAGGGATACCTAGAGAAAAAGAAAAAGAAAAAAGAAAAGAAAACATAACACGGGCTGGTCCGATTAACTATAGACATCACGTACGTATAGGAGTAGAGGGCATTGATTAAAGCTAGAAAAGATACCCCGGGGTAGAGAAAGTACAAATAGAAGGCTAGAAGAGAACGTCACCGTAGGCATGTTTGACTTGAGATCTATTAAACTGCTCATGTTCTTTTTTTCGTCTTTTATCATACACATATCGGGCAACTTCCAAGGACGTTTTTTGTTTTGTTTTTTTCGAAGACCACCATCTGGTGTTCTTGGCTTGAAGCCCTTCTATAGAAGTTTGTGTAGCTTTCAAATCCCACGGGCCTCAAAGCCGGGTAGGACACAAACCCCCCAAAAATGCATTGACGATTGTGTGTGCGTGTATGTGTATGTCTGTCTGTGCCTCCCATACATCTACTCTACGGATCCTCAAAATTTCACCTTCTGAAGGACTCCTGCACGAACTGGCGCTGGACAATTCGGGACGGCTATCTCGCGAGAGGTGCAACTAGGACACTCTAGTACATGGTTGCATGTTGGAAGAATTCTCTTATGGTCTTTCATCTACGGCGATGTGTTCATAGGTTCTCCACCCATTCCGGGAATACCTGCTACTGCGGTCGTCGCAAAGTAGCGCACGTCCACGTCATCGTCCTTCTGTAGCTTCTCCAGGCTCGGGAGGATGCGCTGCTGTATGAGTTCCGTTGTCCGAGGAGACGGCGTAGTATTCGTCGTTCCGGCCTTTTCCAGAGTGTAGACGGTACCCTCTTCGGGAAGTCGTTTTAACACGTCGATGAGGACGGCGTATGTCTTTGCCACGTTAAAGCGGATGTTAGGGATGTCATCCTCCACAAGCTTCTCCAGCATAGGCAGGATAGATTTTCCGATCACATCCAGGCTGACGACGGTCGCTAGAGTCTACGCATGGTTAGAATCTTTAAGAGGTACAGAGAAATGGGGAAGCAACTTACCGAGATAGCGAAGCAAGTCGTCATCCGATATAGATAGTTGGGGTGAGAGCCCATAGCCATCACCTTCGGAATGATAGCTTCGCTGGCCCACTCCACACCGAAGACTTCCGTAAGCTTCTTCAGGTTGTGCGTGGCAGCCTCTCGGATCGAGAAGACGGTATCTCCCAACCAGCCCATGCACAGAGAACTCAATTTCTCGTCGAAGAATTTAACGCCGAGCTGGCTGGCAAGGAGCGGGATATACTCGATAATAGCAAGTCGCACTCTCCATTGCTTGTCTTCGGCAAGCTGCACGATTGCGGGCAGAAGAGACTGGGAGAGTAGATCGATGCCGATGACTAAAAAAAAAAAAAATGTTAACACAGCTGGCTTCTTTTTATAGCGTCTTCATATACATACCCTGGTTGACGAGCTCAAGTTTTGAGATGATATGTAATCGAACTTCGGGGAATTCATCCTTCAACATCTGCAAAAACATGGGAAGCAGGTGATCAATGGTTCTACAAGATGTCAGCAGCTAGAATTGTCAGGGGATGGAGCATATGAGCGTACTCTTGTTTACCCAAGATCGGGGCCAGACCGCTGATCTGCGTGCCTAGAGCAGCACGGACGTGCTGTGATGTGTCGGATACCAAGTCTTCGATGGAGCTCATGATATCATTAAGTAGCGTATTCCTGTCGACCAAAGTGCAAAAGCCGGGGATCTGACCGGCGATAGCAGTCCTGACTTCCGCTTCGTTATCCTTAAGCAGCTTGACGAACGCAGGCACTAGGTCTCGAGCAACAACCTCTTCGTCTACAGCCTTCGCAATCTGCACCGTTTGCCATTAGCTTAGACAAACAATAAACATACCATCGGAAGTCAGTACCTTTTCAAACCTATCGGCAATCATGTATCGAACCCTCCAGCTCTTGTCTTCTATCAAGTTTCGTAACGAAGTGAGCAAAACACCGTGGCTGCTCTGTTGCTCCTTGGGTACAACCTCGGCGATAGAAATTAGAATCTCCACCGTCAATAAGCGCACACTGTCCTGATCATCCTGCGCGAGATGTTGGAAAAGAGGTATCATCTCCTCCACGACGATAGCCGCGGGCATCTCCTTCACAAACTTAGCCATGTTGGTGGCAGATTGTCTTCGCACCATGGGGGTTTCATCGTGTACTAGGTGGCCGAATTGTTGGCGGAGTTGTTCCTGGACGGGAGGAGACACCTTTCCGTAAGGAGCTGTGTAAAGACCGCAACCGGACACCTTAGAGGTGAACCAGTCTGCCTTGGAAAGTCGGATGGTGAGAGGAATGAAGTACTCTTCAACCTGCTGGGAGGATAGCTCGGTGCAGATCTTGTTGAGAGATTCGACGGCCTGGGAGGGATTGTTAGTTAGATAATAATTCCGCAAGGCTGCTGCTTGAACAAACCTTGTCACGGACGACGGGCTCTTCGATAGCTGCGAGGTTCTCGAGGGGGGAGAGGAGGACGTGGCCGTATTGTGGCCCGCCTACGTATTCGATGAAGCTGCCCAGCTCCTCGCTCAAGGCTACGAGAACTTCATCTTCGTCTTCGACCGACTCTGATGCTGAAGTTAGATTATTATTTGGATTAAAAGTTGAAATCGGTATCTGACCATCTAAAAAGGGAATGAGTTCGTCACGAGTGCGCTCGGGACCTAGGGCGAGCGCGATTGTCGAGAGACGATGGATGGCATTCAATCGAAGTAGGACGTCGTCATGCTAGTGATGAGGTTAGAGGTTGACGTCTTTATATATAGTATATATAGAGAGGATATAATAATATAAAGTAATAATATAAATGCGGATTAGGGAAGGGGAGGAGGGAGAAGGGAGAAGCCTCCTTACCTTTAATTCATCTATGAGCACGGCGATAGGATAAAGCTCATCATTCGCATTTGGCGCGTCAGCCATGGTGAGGTGAGGTTGTAATTACGGGGAGGGTGGTAAATTTGAAAAGGTACAGGGAAGGCTATTCGAGGCTATTCGGCGGGTAAAAGTTGAGAAGCGGCTTGTGTGCGCTTGGTGATCGCGTGGGCGGTCTGGTGGAGTGATGCAATGAGTTAGGTCGATGTCGGGTCAATTTGGCAACTTAGAGACGAAACCGGGCAGAGATCAACGACTTATGGCTGGTTCTCTCCGATACCCAAAAATTATGTTGGTTGGATAGGCGGAGTTTAAAGAGACAAAACAAAAACAAAAAAACTTGTAATGCGAGTCGTTTCTACACGGAAGGGTCTTCAGTTTCGCCGTGGATCGTGGATCAGGTCTTCCAAATTAGATCATCGAGCATCGAGGGGTATCATGGGAAGGGTCGCTTTTGGTGGATGATAGGTATGGGATTTGGGTTTGTGTTTGTGACCAAGAGAAAGATGGTTTTGGTAGAAATAGGTTTAACGCGGGCTAGAGCTAGGTACTTTGATATTGTATCCCGTACAGCCAGCCGTACTACCTGAAGGCTGAGATTGCACCTACCTAACCTAGCCTAACCTAACATTTAGGTGTATGTACCTATTGTTAGGACTTGATGAGGTAAGTTATTAGAACGAGGTACCTAACTTGAACTGTCCAAACCTGGAAGTGAGGCAAATGGGGCAAGTCAAAAGGTACATGAACAAAGGGGGGCTTGTCTCGGCTTGTTTGATTTTGAAAATATTGTGGCTTAGGCGTTTTCTCTCCCTGGTTTTCCCTGCAAATCTCCGTCCGGATGCCACAGCTGCCCCACATGTCGTTTCTTATCCACGCACTTCCCCCGCCCTAAATTCGACTGCGCTGTACGGGTTGCAACCCCTGGATCCTCTTTTTTTTTTCTCTTATTACTTCAAAGGCCTTATCAGCTTCATGTCCTTTAGGTACCTGTAATTTCCATGCTCAAGTTTAAGTGTCTACCTACCTAAAATATATTTAATCAACAATCATAATCGTGTCTTATATGAGAATAAAGCGCTCTCCTACTCATGTTTTTTTTTTTTTTTTTTTTTTTTTTTACTATTGTACGAGTTTAGCGCTTATAGGTGCATCTTTAGACGTGTGTAGCGTAGCTCAGCGTTGGGCCGCGTATGTGGTTGAGCATTTCTTCACGTTCCAGACGATGTGGCCGATGGCGATAAGGGGAAGCAGTGATGTCACTCCAAAGCTCTAACTGCCTATGCTGTATCAGTTTCACCGCACGGGCGGTTTATAGGTCTTACAGCTTTAAATGATGGGATATAGGTACATTAGCCAAAAGGTCGAGTTAAGATGATGCTGATTGGCGGAATGGGTGAAGAATAGGCCTCATGGAGAGGTCATCCAGCCTGATAGTGTGACCTCTCCTGCTGCATCCGGCGCAGATACCATGATATATTCTATTGGTTTGTGCTTCACAAATCATTGCAGCTTCATAGTAACTATTTTGACGTTGTAACTTGTAAGTGATGCTCGTAAGAAGTACCTAACCTTACCTTAGGTAGTTCCAGTTACAGGTGATTATAAGCAGCCCGTACTTTAGGTAAAGTATCGGTTTGAATGATATCCCGCACTAAGGTAGCTCGCATACTCTATATTGCATAAACCATATCGGATGGTGGGGTTGTTGCAACGGTACCTAAACCGCAACCTCCAAATGAATTTCCAAAGTTCGCGCTGGTGACTCAAGACAACTTCAAGACCGACCAATTCCTCGAAATAACGAATTGCGCAACTCGCCCCGGCCTCTAGGCTCTCTAGATAAGACCCTCGTAAGGGGCTAGGTATATAGAAGATGCCTACCATTTCAGTCAATAAATATGACCTCTACGAGGCTCTAGGTCAAAAGTTGGTAGCATTTTACCCCTCCATCAATCCTGAATATCAAATATCACCCCCCACCACTAACGACGCCCATCCCACAGATTCACCACCGCCGAGTTTGAGGATTTATGCTTCGAGTTTGGTATAGAGCTAGATGAGGATACCGAGAATGAAGAGAGACCTATCGTGAATGGCGTTCAAGAACCTCCCCAGCTGAAGATCGAGATCCCCGCAAATCGATATGACCTCCTCTGCTTCGAGGGCATTGCTCTCATGCTTAACATCTTCCGAGGAAGGCAGCCTACGCCTAACTTTAGATTAGTTCAGCCTGTTTCTGGAGATATGCATACCATTACCGTCCTCGAGGATACCATGAAGGTCCGCCCGTTGGTTGCCGGCGCCATCTTGCGCAATGTGAAGTTCACTCAGAAAAACTACGATTCCTTCATCGCTCTCCAAGACAAGCTACACCAAAACCTCGCCCGCCAACGTACCTTAGTAGCCATTGGTACCCACGACTTGGATACCATCAAGGGTCCCTTCACATACGAGGCGCGACCGCCGCAAGAAATTGTCTTCAAGCCCCTCAATCAATCCAAGGAGATGAACGGGGAGGAGCTGATGGCTTTTTACGAGAAGGACAAGAACCTAGGCAGATACTTACACATTATCAAGGACAGCCCAGTGTACCCCGTCATCTACGATGCGAATAGGGTTGTCTGCTCGCTGCCGCCTATCATTAACGGCGACCATTCCAAGATTACTCTCAACACGAAGAACGTCTTTATAGAATGCACAGCAACGGACCAGACGAAGCTAGAAATTGTCGTCAATATGATGGTCGCAATGTTCTCCGCCTACGCCGAGGAGCCCTTCACCGTCGAACCTGTCAAGATTATTTCCGATCACAACGGCCAGACGCGAATAACGCCAAACCTAACACCGCGAAAAACTACTGTAGAAGTCGACTATTTGAACGGTTGTCTCGGCCTGTCAGAGTCCGCCGAGAACATCAGCAAACTCCTTTCCAAGATGGCCTTAGCAGCCAAGCCCTCAGACGAGGACCCGAACGCCCTAGTAGAAGTCACGATACCGCCGACGCGCGCCGACATACTTCAGAGATGCGATATCATGGAAGACCTAGGCATCGCGTACGGCTTCAACAAGCTCCCTAGAATGTCCGTAACCAAGACGGTCGGCGCCCCCCTGACCCTCAACAAGCTCGCCGACATCGTGCGCCTCGAGTCCGGCCTGGCGGGCTGGTCCGAGGTCATGCCGCTGATCCTGTGCAGCCACGACGAGAACTTCGCGTGGCTGAACCGCAAGGACGATGGCACCAAGGCCGTCAAGCTGGCCAACCCCAAGACGGCCGAGTACCAGATCGTGCGCACGTCGCTGCTCCCCGGGCTGCTCAAGACGATCCGGGAGAACAAAGGGGTGGCCCTCCCGCTCCGCATCTTCGAGACCTCGGACGTCGTGTTCAAGGACCCGGCCGTCGAGCGCAAGGCCCGCAACGAGCGCCACTTCGCGGCCGCCTGGTGCGGCAAGACCTCGGGCTTCGAGGAGGTGCACGGCCTGCTGGACCGCGTCATGGCCATGCTGCGCCAGGCCTTCCTGACGCACGAGGAGGGCCTCGGCACCGCCGCCGGCGTCGGCACCGGAAAGGCGGTCGACTTCGAGGTGACGCCCCAGCACCTCAAGCGCAACGGCTACTGGCTCGAGCCCGTCGACGACGAGCCTACTTTCTTCCCCGGCCGCGCGGCCGCCGTGTTCGCCCGCGTCGACGGCAAGTCGGCGCGCATCGGCGAGTTCGGCATCCTCCACCCGTCCGTGCTCGACAACTTCGAGCTCAAGTACCCCGTCAGCACGCTCGAGATTAACCTCGAGGTCTTCTTATAAAGGAAGAAGGATGGATAACAAGAAAAGGAGACGAGGGGCGGGGAAGGTCTTTTGAGCGTGACGAAGAGGGGAAGGGGAGTTAGAATCAAGTCAAGGTCAAGGTCAAGTCAACGTCGAAGTTAAAGCTAGGGTAGGTACCTAGTTAAAGAAAATAGGAGTACGGCTTAGCTTAGAGCTGGGATGGTACGGCTTCCCGAGAGACTAGGAAGGGAAGGGGAGAAAAAGAAAAGACGAAGAAGAAGAAAAAGAAGAAAAAGACCTAGATAGGTTAGGTACCTAGGGAGATAAGAAGAAGAATACCTGATAGGTACCTACCTATATCCCGAAACTCGCAGCTTGGGGAGTATCGTGATGAATTCTTTTTATAGGATACGATTTGATTTGATGTGATTCCGTAACGATAACGAGTCTATATTCTGCTCCGAAACCCTTTTCCTAAAACAAGATTACAGGTATCCAAATCAATCCACCCCAGATTTTCTTTTTCTACCTACATTGACAACGTCGATTCATCTTTTACGTCGGTTCGTCGTCTCGTATTGTAGGCAACGGCTCACATACATGCCTGTAGCAGCACCAGGGGCATAAACATACCACACGACCAACGTATTATCTTACTTCATCTCGTGTCTTCTCATCTCTTTTGTTTATTCTCATTCATACGGGCACCTAATAGTAATTCTTACAATGCCAATGCCAATGCCCATGCCATAACCAAAGTCCATAGCCGAGTGATAAGTATTCCACCCTCCCCTCCTCCTATCTCTGTCCTCATCACGTCGCGTTGCATCACGTCACGTCATTTCGGCGCTTTCCTTACCGTTCCCCGTAGACATATCCGCCATCTCCTGTTCCCTTCTTCCCACGCCCGTGTTTTCGCCGACGCCCGGCCCCCCAAACATACCTCTTCCTATATCCAGCCCAACCACCCCGTCCCTGATCTTAACGAGATTCGTCGTGAACGCGTTGGGCGTGTCCGCGCTGGCGTTGTGCTTGAGACTGGCCGGGTTGCTGGTTACCGCTCGCTGCTCCGGCGTCAGCGCTTCGTATGCCGATTCCACGCCCGTCAGCACGCTCTTGCTCAGGGGTAAGCTGGGCGGCTGGGGACTTTGCGACTTCCGCGGAGACCTGTTGGGTGATCCGGTAAAGACGCTTGGTATGGATGGCGTCGTAGCACCCAGGGCGTAACCGCCGAGTCTCTCGTCCCTCGCCGCAGCTACATCTAGATACTCGTTCATTTCCGCATCCGTCCTGCCAAAGAGCTGATGCCACCAGCGCACCTCGGAAAGCTTCGGGAAGATGAGTCTTTCGCGACCGCTTTGCCGATCGTCTATTGTGGCATCGTAATCTTTGTTGACAAACTCTGGCTTCCGTGATAAGAAATAGTCCCATACCGACCTCGTCCTCTCATGCGCTCGAGCATCTTTCCGGGCCTTCTCGCTATTCCATAAGAACGTGCCATACTGTCCGGCGTAAAGGTGGTAGAGAAGCCGCCGCAGGAATCGTTCGTTGAATTCGAAGCGATTGGGGTGTTGCCGTAAAATTTGATATGTCGCGTCGAGGAATTGGTGGAAAACAGGGGAAATTTCGTTGGGTCGGGTAGCTTCGCTAGCATCAGGCGTACCTGGAGCTGGCTTCTTGACTTGCGACGGATCGTCGGCTGGCGATGCTACACCGTCACCGTCTGACTCTGCGTTGGCCTCGCTGCTGCGGTTCTTGAAGAATCGCTTTGCGCTAGCGAGTGCATTTTCGAACGCTTCTCCGGCGCGACCATCCGACTCGCCGGGTTGTATCGCCGACCCAGCTAGGGAATCCCGTTCTACTACGAACCACTTCTCGTGGTTGAGTAGACCAGAACGCTGTTGGAACATGTGCCCAAAGGATAACCAATCTTTCTCGATTAGCACGATAAACCCTTCGATGGTGCGGTAATAAGGATCTAGCATCAGCTGTGACAGGGCTGATAGCTGGCTGGTACGGTCCCAACCGTCAGAGCAGTGGATCAAGACGTGCGAGTGTCTGATGCCAACTTGGCGTGCGATCAGGGCCGAGCCGTCAAGGATACCGGTAATATGTTTAAGCCAACCGCTCTTCACCAGCAGTTCGCGATTCGGGGGTAAGCGGGAGATGTCTCCATCCTTGAGGGCTTCTATGACGGTATTGAGAGATTCTCTCATGACGTGAATATTCTCGATATTTAAGTAGGCTTTCTTGGCGAATTTGTAGTATTCCATGTTCTCCGATCCCTTCCCCATTGCCTGCATAACCACCGCGTTGATAGTGGGCCGAGCATCTACGATAAGATTGCTCTGCTGTGCGCCGTATATTAGTCTCTTTCCCGTCTTTGCATCGTAATTACTCTCGTCCCCTGCGATAAGCTCATCTTCAAGTCTTTCCGTATCTGAAGTTTCCGAATCCAAGGTATCTCGTAGATCTGTTTGACTAGAAGCTGGACTCGGTTCCGTCGTATCCGCACCATGGGTCTCTATTCCATTAAACTCAACGGTGGCCGATGCGGAGAAGCACGCGCTGACCAGCTTTTCGTCTTGTATGCTGCGATTCCCCCTGAAACCGACCATAGGCTGAGAACTCCGGGTGATAGAACAATTATTTAGCGAATGGAGATAAGTTAAAACAGGTATACGCTGTCTCGATCGGTAGGAACCGGCATATTTGATGACGTTATCGGATATCTTGGAGGGGACGACGAGAAGGCCGGGATAGGTTGGGGAGAAGGTGTAATCCTTATTTATTAAGGATATCCTCCATCCCCTATCGACGGATTTGGTACTAATACCTTGTCGGCGAAACTCGACTCTCGGATCGTATATATGCCATCCATCGAACGGCTTCTCTATCTTTAGGGGTTGGTAGCTGAAGGCGTAGAGCTTTTCTATCGAACCAAGCCGACACGTTCGGTTCCGGATGTATTCGAACGCTTCCCGCGCCTGTACCTCATCGAATAAATTGAAATTTATAAACATAAAATCGCGACATCGTAGCCGTATCGAGGATGGGCGACCTGTTACGCTGGGACAGGGTCGAAAGATGCAGTTGGCGAGTATGGGATAAGCGATGTAAAGCTCGCGGGTCTTGGGGGCATTCGGTTGCGGTGGAGGTGCTCCATCCGGCTGAAGATTAGGAAATGAGAATATGATATGGTGTTCTGTAAGATGGAGTTCGCCAGAATGTCTCTCGCCGCCCCTGATGGCATCGACATTGGGTATCTGTCAAGGAGGAATTAGCAATGAAGGGGAGTAAACGGAGGCAACGGAGGCGACGGAGGTGACGGAGGTGACGGAACAAGTAAGTAAGTAATCTACCTTCTTGATTTGCATATTGAATTCTCCGCAAGTTGATGATCTACATTAAAATAATGAGAGACGAAGCGGCACGTGTTGTCGCATTTGTCCAGCGAAGGGGAACTTGAAGGTGCCCGAAAGACCGCAAGGTCTAGAATCTAGAATTCCAAGCTTTGAGAGGAGGGAACTTTCGGAATAGGCAGACAGATTAACAGGTAGATAAACTATAAGAAGTTGATGAAAGAAGAGAACAATTGTCGATATTAAAAGGTTGTTCCAAGAATACTATTATGTTTTTTTTTACAGCTTAACCAGCGGCATCGTGGTGTATTGTGAGTTGGCAGCGCATCATATGTTTAAAGAAAAAAAAAGAAAAAAAAAGGCCAGAGGTCACATTGTCTGATTGTCCGAAGGCTGTGGTTCAGGTTCAGGTTCAAGATTAGTTGAAAGGTGCAGGGTGCATTAGCAGATTTACTTAGTAGAACGAATGGTAACGCAATAGTATAAAATTCAAGTCAGCCAACGTTAACTGGTCGCTGCCGCTAGGTGGTAGCTCGGGCTTTGCCAGGCGTGCAGGAGCGTACCTAAAGTTATACTTTATACTTTTAGCAGCGGGGCAGCTAGTACAAGCTTGCATCAAGTATTGTACAACATTGATGCACGACAGAAGACGAGGCTGAGAAATGGGAAATTGGGGAATGGCAATGGCATGTGGCTGACACCGACGTCACACGAACGCGAGGAAACCTCATGTACATGGCTATTGCCAAGAATTAAAGGTTAGGTTAGGTAGTGACCCGCATCGCTACGGAACAAATCTTTATCGATAAGCCCTCTCCTGGCACACAATTCAATTCTCAACCCTAAGCAAAAAAATTAAGGGCCAAAAATCCAAGACCAAAGTTGCAATCCACCACCACCAAAACGAACCCCGAATTTTTTGCGAGACGGATCCTCTTGCAACTCGACCTCGCAACTCCTCAACCCGGCCAAAGCTGAGCGATTCTCTCTTTCTCTCTCCTCCCAAGACAACCTTCAATTACAAATCGATTCTCAGCTAAGTCGTCATCCCACATCAAACAGTCAAGATGGCCGTCCCGGGTTCTCAGATGTGAGTATTTATCATGTCCTTTTCTTTTTCCAATTCGATATTGAATCTACCCCCCTCCCCTCTTTCTAGATCCCAAAGTTTCCACGATAATTTCAACAACATATCAGCAACAATGCTAACCTAAACTTTTTTTCCTCCTTTCACAGTTCTAAGCGCAGAAAGTTCGTCGCTGATGGTGTCTTCTACGCCGAGCTGAACGAGTTCTTCCAGCGCGAGCTCGCCGAGGAGGGCTACTCGGGCGTCGAGGTGCGCGTGACCCCCACCGTCACCGACATCATCATCCGCGCGACGCACACCCAGGAGGTCCTCGGCGAGCAGGGCCGCCGCATCCGCGAGCTCACCTCTCTCATCCAGAAGCGCTTCAAGTTCCCCGAGAACTCGGTCTCGCTCTACGCCGCCAAGGTCCAGAACCGCGGCCTGTCCGCCGTCGCCCAGTGCGAGTCCCTCCGCTACAAGCTCCTCAACGGCCTCGCCGTCCGCCGCGCCTGCTACGGCGTCCTGCGCTTCATCATGGAGAGCGGCGCCAAGGGCTGCGAGGTCGTCGTCTCCGGTAAGCTCCGCGCCGCCCGCGCCAAGTCCATGAAGTTCACCGACGGCTTCATGATCCACTCCGGCCAGCCCGCCCGCGACTTCATCGACAGCGCCACCCGCCACGTCCTCCTCCGCCAGGGTGTCCTCGGAATCAAGGTCAAGATCATGCGCGGCTCCGACCCCGAGGGCAAGGCCGGCCCCTCCAAGTCCCTCCCCGACGCCGTCACCATCATCGAGCCCAAGGAGGAGTCGAGCATCGTCACGCCCATGAGCCAGGATTACGGTGCCAAGGCCGCCCAGATCCAGGCCCAGGCCGAGGCTGCTCGCGCTGCCGAGGAGGGCGCCGAGGAGGCCGCTCCCGCCGAGGAATAAATACAAACGTTTGAGCAGTCGGTGCTGGGCTCCTCAACCTGAAGAAAAGAACGGTGACGGTGGAAAGGAAAAGAGAGAACGGAGTGCTGAGTTGGTGAGGGGAGGGTGGCACGGAAACGGATGAATTCTAACGAGAAAAAAAGAAGAAGAAGAAAATGCAGTATTTATTTTTTTTTCTTCTTCTCGAGGGCAAGAGAGATTCTTCGGCGTCTTTGATGATCATCATTTGCATTGCAAGGGACCGGGGGGGATATTTTAACGGATGCCTCTATTTGTCGATTCTAGGCTGGCTAAGATATGACTCTGCTACGGAGAAAGTCGTAGACTTGCAAAAACAGCAATCGTCGCACGCAAATGATGTGGAAGTCCCCTAGATGATAGGTGTTGTTTTTTTTATCTGTGCTAAAAGTGAAATACCCCTCCCCCCTTTTTTTCTACTACTAGGCGTAATGAGTATGAATTAATTGCTACCTATCTGGTACCTGGTCTATACGTACAATTTGTAACCACCTGAGATGAAAATACGCATTACAGGTAGTCACATTCTAAATCCTCGAAAAAAAAACAAAATCGACGTGGACGCACCCCCTTCTCATTCTCGCAGGATACGTAGATTGGTGTACCTAAAAGCTTAGGATTCCTAGGTAACTTTGCTAGCTAATACACGAGCACATGAACTTCCCACCTAGGCACTGAATAGATACCTGATATGTGTGAGGTACTATGCATAGTCTGGAATCGTAGATGTACTTTTGGAATCCGACACATCCACGTTGTTAAGAGATGGCCTTCATCTTGCAAGCTACAACTTCTCACTATCTCCTTTAATGAAATGGTGTTTTGTCACACCGTCCCAGCAGCTCAGCAACGGCTGTATTATTCAGTACCGCTCGCCAACCCGTACAGACCCTCCCCCCCTTTGCTCCCAAATCCGTTTGCCCGTTGCCATCCGACACCATATCCGGCGCAGTACAGAAAGGACCATGCCCGTTTGCTCATCATATCGCTTTCGCGCGTAGTAGTCGTACAGAGATAAGAATAAAGGAAAAAAGTAAAAACAACAAATTAAAAAAAAAAAAAAAAAAAAAAAAAAAAAAAAAAAGAACAGCTTAATCCCCCCTTTCAAATTCGATATCGGGAAAAAGGTATCGGTGGTAGGTAGCTCGCTACCTTTTTTTCTCCCACCCTGACGAATCGGAACCCGGAACCCGGAGCCCCCCTCGTCTCTGCGCCGAATGTGCCCGGAAGGCTGCTTCCAAAAATAAAATAAACCTCTTTCGTTCCCCGGAACGCCGCGGTGAGATAATCTCCAACCAAAAATCCACCCCCCACCCTCCAAAAAATGATGCTACCTCTAATACTCCTTTAAGTGAGTCCCATATTTCCCTTTTCCGGCGAAGGAGAGGGGTTTGCTGCCATTTTACATCCTAAGTTCCGATTTGGAACAAGCGACATGAGAATCCTTAATATGAATCGTGTCCACCAGTGGAATTGAATGTTCTAACTGTTTCGATGAAGAGAGCCGCCGACTAAGGAAAAATATACAATGTGGTCGTAGAAGTATCAAATAGGGACACCTATGAGATACTACATATTTCGATGCTAGTGGAGAGTTCATCATTGCTCAGGCGATTTCCTATTCCGATTCTGCAATTCGATCGACTCGTGGTTCTTCGTCGAGCGTACGGATGCACCATTTAGCCTCGAGGGCGATTCGTCGTCGCTATCTTCGGCAAGGTCGTTGAGGCTGAAATCGCCTGCTGCCTGTTCCAGGTCGTATGCGCGCATCAGTCCTTCTCTATCGGAATGGCCCCGACTTCCTATGCTCATCCGCGAGCCTGTGCTTCGTCGGGCTTGCATGCTAAGACGCGTCTGCAGACTCGATATCATGTCGGTACCAGCAGCATCGGTGCCCTGTCCGGCAAGAATTTTCGTGCCGTTAGGATCGCGTCGGGACAAGTTCAAAAGGTAGACACCGGTGAAGGTTATAAGGAACCCGCAAAGCAAAGAAAGGGTATTGACAATATCGGTGGTGTTGAAACCAGAGAAGAGGATGAAGGAGGCGCAAAGGGTGGCAGTTGTAAACGTCACGTAGTAAAGGGGGTTAACTCTGCAAACAGGTTAGCTCTGTCGATAGGCATTAAAAAAATATAGGTCGTGGGCCATACATCTGCGTGCTAAACTGGCTAAGCGCCTTGTTGAAGTAGTTCATCTGAGTAAGGATGCAGAACGCGGTGAGGATCATAAAGACGTAGGTTGAAGCGTGAGTGAACTGGTTGTGGCCCGCGAAAGTGAGCTTGAGCGCGATACCAAAGGCCTTGACGGACATGACCGAGACGGAGCCGACAGTAGAGCAGATGGAAAGGTAGATCAGTGGATTCTTCTTGCCGTGAACCGGCGCAATCTTGTAGATCATGACAGTCGCGAAGATAGCCACGATGGCGCAGTACAGAAGAAAACCTTATAATCCCTATTAGTTCACGTCCGGATAAGATATTCTCTTGCGCTGCTGCTGTGCTCAAACTCACCAGGTCTAATCGCATAATTAAGGATTTGATCGATAGTCTGGATGTCCTCGTCGGGAGGTGCGTGTAGGACGATGATGATTGCGCCCAGCAGACAGATAGCACAGCCCAATTTTCCCAGAGTTCCCAGCTCCTCTTTTAAGAAATACGATCCCAGGACGGCTCCGATTAGGACGGAGAGAGCACCTAAAGGTGTCACCAAGATAGCTGGAGCGAAGGCGTATGCGGCGAAATTACAAATCTCTCCGGTGACCACTTGGAAGAATTATATGTTAGTTTATCAAATCGCCGATGGCTTCGATGAGGCGATCCTTACTGGTTACCATTCCAGCCCACCACATGGGATTCCGTAGGTAGATGTAACCTTCGCCAGAGAAGCCATGTTTTTCCTCTGCTTGTATCAATCCCTATGTCATATTAGAATAGGGGTTTTCTTCCAACAAGAGATCGAAGCACAGCTCGACGCCGAGTTATTTGGTTTGGGTTTACGGTACCTTCTTCGTTATTACAAAGCTCGTGCCTATTCGGAGAGGATCGTTAGTTAGTTGATATATCTTTTAAAATACCCTATCAACCCATACTCGAGGGACGTACCAATGGCTAAACTTGAAGATATAGCTAACGCTAATCCGATGTATCTATTCGATAATCCAAGTCAGTTTCTTTGTTATCGACGGCAGCAAATTTCGGCATAAGCTAGCAACGGGACGCAATGTCACGGCGGCGAGCCTCGAGGGGTGATCCGTACTTCTCATCTAACATCATCATTATGACGGATCTTTAGCTGCGACGGAAATCGCAGCGTTTAAGGAAATATGGGGGAGGCGAGTTTTGTGGTAGGAAATAGATTATGGCGGTCGCAAGAGTAGACAAGATAGGCTCGCACCGGGCGAGGGCAAGCAACGAAAGTTGAGTTTAGAGTAAGTCAGGTGGTCCGATTTGCGCTTCGATCAGCGGAGATGCCACGAATACCCGAAAGGAATGATCGGATCGATTGCGCGCCTTAATCGAGAAAGGCCCTGTGTGGCTGAGGATCGCACGTTTTTTTGTTTAAAAAAAAAGCGTCGCTTAGTAGAGATGAAAAGCCGAGGGGTACATTGACGAAATCTAAATCGTATAAGAAACCAATACGAGGAGAAATGATTGTTGTCTTTCTTTCTTTAGAAAAGAGTGAATGCCTTATTTCATAGTTGGTTTTGGGGTTGGTTTGGAGTGGTTTAGGGGTTTCGTGGTTAAGTTGGTGTTGATGTTGATTCGTGGTGATTTTACAGGCGAATTTTACAAACGGAGGGTTTTTTCTTTTTTTGGAAAGCTTGTTCCTTTCTTTTTCTTTGACTCTCTTGTAACTGGAACTCCAAGCCTACTTCGAAGTGGCAGAGTGGGAGGAGGTACTGGGGTTTCAGAAGAAAAAGTACGGGGTACTTCCATGGCAGCTAGCCGCTTAGAGATGCCTCCAAGCTAGCCACCCTGGCTTATCCTGGACTTATCCTGGGACTTACCCTGGTTCAAGCCGTTGCGCAGGGGCGTTATCGTCCGGTTACTGTAATTAGAGATGCGCTAACCCGAGTTTTACGCCCCGTATTTCGATCTTAGTATGTACTTAGACTGACTAAGGGAAACTTAAATAATCTTAGGTACCTCCTAGGTAGGTACCATGCATACTTATCCGACTACTATGTACATAACGCAATCGCATGTACGAGATGCAGCAGCAGCATCTTTCCAACCCTTTTCTTCAGTGGATAATAATTGTTTAGGTACCTAAGGTAATTCTATAAATTACCTAACCATGGGTGAATTTATATAAAGTGGGCTAAATGTAAATGCCATACATTGAGTTACTACCTAGGTAGGTACCTAGGTATCTTATGCATGTTCTCAGGTCTTACGGCGGACCCCGAAATGTACCTTACATAGTACATAGGCAGTACACATATCTTGAAACCTTCTTGGATGGAATTTAAACCCGCACGTAAGAATCTTGGAAGTTTGTTACCACTTGCGCACACTACTACAAACACTGTACTGTAGATACTCTTTTTTCTCTTAGCTAGACCCACCCGATGAGGCTGTGCCTCCCCTTCTTCCCACGTTCCCTCGCATCCGTATAAAAAACTGGTAGAACACGTACGCAATAAACCTCGATTGACCAATTTCGACTAGTGGGTTTGTGTATATTTCGAGGCTTGTGCTCAAAATGAAATAAGGAAAAAACATGGTTCTTTCGAAGCCTGTGTGGGAACTGAAATCTAAAACATGCAGCTTGTTTCTTATTCCTAAAAGGTTGATCATCTCCAATCCTGTCCATCCGTCTATTAATCGATGGCCAAATTGGGATGGGAATATTGAAAAAGCTGGATATCAAATACCAGTTCTGGATCTTAATCTGTACCTGACTGGTACATGCATCATTAACACGTTTTTGCATATTTTTTTATAAGGAGGCGCAATATGCTGACGGCAGAAATTAGCCGTGTTCGTGATCTGGATTAAGATGCATTTGGAGATGACGACGCGTCTCCACCTCACCTTAAGCTACCTAGTACCTACTACCTCGATAAGTACCTATGTGTATGTGTATCTCTTATCTTTTTCATCTTACATCTAGAAGGAGTTAGGGTATCGTATCCCCGAAAAAAATACGAAAATAAATACGAAAAAAACAACAAAAAAAAAACATTGATATTGTTCTGCAAAAGCGAACGTAATGTGTATTGCTACGGAATCCGTGATTATATTTATCGGAACCTAAAAGGTCCATAACCAAGCCACAGCAACAGAAGGCATCTCCTATTCCACTCGTCGAGGGTTGAGCTCGACTGGATTGGGATCGCCATTGAAGCTTCAGCTTTCTTCCACAATACATAAGCAACGCGGCGCCGACTCTTCACTGTTCTTGTATGGGCAGTCATATAAGCAGCCATGTCGTGGTGGCTTCCTTAGTATGACACTTGTACCGGTATCCCCCCTAGATTTTACCCTTTCCGAAACTCCTAACATCTTCGGAACCTAATATCCCCCAACATAGCGCGCGTCCCTTGCTAACAACCGTTGAGCGCCGTGGGTATCAGAAAAGAAAAGTAAAGGGGTCAAAAATCGAATTAAGGAGTCCTCATCACCGTATCGGCTCGCGACGGATCCGTCGTGTGTATCCTTGCGGGCTGCAACTTTTTGTCTTCGTTATCAAATAAACTTACCATTAAAAATACCTGACCGTTTCTAATATCCCTCGTACCTGTATGTTAGTATGTCGAAATCAAACTACGTCCCTGGGGCAGAATCGCGTATCTGTAGGTAGACTGCAAATGTGCGAGTTCGACATCAGCTCATTAGTGATGCGTCCGAATATGTTGTATGTCGGAAAAGGGGGGGACAGAAATAAAGAGAAAATCGGGTTGGAACATTCGGAGAAATCATGACGGACGACGACGCTTGACATCTGGAGCAAGTTAGCATAATAATCGGTGACCAGGAGAATTGAAGGGTCCGCCGCTTACCGTTACGCTCAGTTGCGCCTTCTCCCAGGTCAGAATCTGACCGGTTACGTTTTCCAGATATCGGAGACACTTGTACCGTTACCTTGGGGACCGCAGTGGATTCATCCTGAGCGTCTTCGTCTTCCGACTCCCACGTGATCTCATCATCAACTGGCACCTTAAGGGTTGCCGACACGTTGATGCTATGGTTCAAAGTGACATCGTTGCCAGCCGCAACATCCTCTCCATCATCATCCGAGTAGTCGATTTCGTCTTTATCGTCGCCGTTCAGGGTGGCAGTGGCGCTAGTAATATCGGAGTTGGGAGCGTCGACTGTTCCGTTCGTCGGTGATGGATGCTGATCCGGATCATTACGTTCGGCTGTGGCAAAAGCATTCAGCTCGTTCACAGTCTCGTTTGTATCATCGTGCCGAAACCCGTTTAGTTGTTGATCTTGAAGTAGTTTCATGTTAGTAACTCTTTGCAAATTTTTGAAAGACCGAAATTCGGGAATGAAAAAGTGCTGTGTGGTACGAGAATTTGTTTGAAAGTCCATATTGTCCTGGTCAATCTGGAAATCGAAATGCTGCTCAGTTTGGACGGTACGATCAGATGAAGCTGCCCTCATGCTGTCAAGATGCCGCCAACTAGCTTCCATTTTCCTGATTTCATCCGTAAAACAGTCATCGCATATGCAAGTTCTGGTTCCGGTACAACGAGTAGAGAGTGAGGGGTTGAAAGGAGAAGTGTGAGAATTACCCTGCTTCGTTGATGAAAGGTCTAGTTCGTCATCAGAGAAGTCAATCAGGCCGTCCGCTGTAGTTCCATCGGCATTGACGTCTGCGTTATCATTCGGGTTGCCTCCGGTCTCTCCAGCTTCATCGGCTTTTTTGGCTTCGGGGTTTTCAGCCCCGTTAAACTCGTCGGCTTCCTCGGCTTCGCTAGCTTCGTCAACAGCGTCATCTTCGCCTGCTGGGTCTTCAGTGGTGGTACCCACGACCGAGCCATGTGCCAAGGGCGAGTTAGACTCGTCATTATTTTCAGCTTCTCCCGCATCATATCGGTCGGCTTCGTCTGCTGCGGGACTGCTCTCTTCATAGTCATAGGCCTCATCTTCTTCGCCAGAGAGCAAGGCATACGGAGAGTGGCCATCGAAGTCGCCAGCTTTCTCTCCATCGATTGGCGTATCTTCTCGATATATGGCAATTTCGGAAAGGCCGCGGCCGGCGTCTGCGCTATCTTGGAGCGCCCTAAAGCGTTGTTTACAATTAGGCCTTACCATGAGATGTGTGTAGAGATCTGGTGCTGAATCTGCTACGTCATTTTTTACCAGCCTGTCATATAGGCTTAGGATGTCGCCAAACGTGAATTCTTCTAGTATATCGGCTGCCGAGGACTATAATACTGTTAGCTCGTGTCAAGAAAAAGGTGGCATGAAAGGTCAGACATACCTCGGAAAACTCCAGTCCCAAACCATCTACGTGCATGACCAATTCGTCTAAAGGAGAAACTTCCTCTGAAATGACATCTCGCAGACTTGACAACAATTGGCCGAGGGGAAGTTCCAAGGCCGCCATGTCACTCAAAAAGTACTGGTTAGGATCATCGGCTTCGGATTTAGCGAATAGCCTGTAATCCGTATTACCGTAGGAGATGTACATCTCGTGGCGTGTAGCAATAGAAAGAGGATGCTCTACAAAAGTTTTGCTAGCATCGGATTCTTTCTCATCACGAACGGCAACCTCGTACCCTTCGGGCTCGGAATCGTGTTCATCCAACCGACTTTGCGTATCATCGGCATCAGAATCTCTAGTCTCTTCTTTACTGGGGTCTTGATTACTAGATTCATGGTCATTGGCGGGCTCGTCATGCGAGTCGCTACCTAACTGATGCTTAGGATCCCCTACGTGAGGAGGATCTTGTTGCCCCGCTTCTTCCTGCTCTTGTTCGGCAGGATTTTCTATTGTGAATTCATGATTAGATGGTATAGGAGCAGAAGGCGGCTCTTCATGCTCTAGAGGGTCATCATCATCGTCATACCCAATTTCCGATACATCATCACCGTTACCGTTGGCTTGATGTGATTCACCTTCTTGAGCTTCGTGGATATCATTACCTTGGCTGGTGTATCCATTTGGGTGAGTATCACTATTATCCGTATATTCGTGTTGCTTATTGACAGTCGATTCCTCCGTAGGCTCTTGGGGAATATCATCAGCAGGTACGCCTTGCTGTTCGTGATACGCATCCCTCGCCTCCAGTTCTGGCTCGACGTTATTATCGATTACGTCAAGAGCCTCTGCATTGGTGCCTTCGACCTCGGCCACTTGCAGGTCTTGGGTGACTACGCTGTCCCCCAGAATGATTTGATTATCTGGAAGTAGATTGGTATCTGTCGTGTTAATCGCATCGACCTGACCGGCTTCTACTTCGTCAGGCTTGCTAATAGAATAGGACGATGATTCTAACCAGCTCCCTTGGTCGTTGCCAACATTCTCGGCGTTGACATTACTGGCGTCAATGGTCTCGGTAAATTCAACTTCAACAACAGCCTCAATATTCTCTTCGCGGGAGACATTCTGTTGCCATAAGTTCTCGTCGGTGTCGCCGAGATCAATCTCAATGTCGTTGGCAGCTGCCACAACCTCGTTATGGTTAACGTCTTCAGCATCTACGTCTATCATACCATACGACGCATCATCTCCTTCGGCCATTAGCTCATCTCTCGTGTCAGAGTTGAAATTCGGGATATCTTGAATTTGGTCGAAATCTGCCAGCTCCATGTCCTCATCAGGTTGTCCGACCGCAAAATCTAGATCTATGTCGATATCTTCCCCAAACCCAGCATGACCGAAATCGGTCGTTATCTCCATTTCTTCCCCAGGCATTTTGTTTAGAAGGCTTTGAATACAAGGCTATCTTTGAGGGAATCTTTGTGGGAATCTGAAATTGGCGTTAACGGTAGAATCCCTGGGAAGGGAATGAGAGTAAATTCTGATATGTCAGATTGGCAATATCGTGTGGGTTAACCAATTCGTGAGGGAAATAGGCACTAGGGGCTTAATAGCAGTCCGTACGGAACAAAGGGGTACGGGAAGCCGGGTGAAGAACGTTCTTTTTCCGGAAAGAAAGAGACTGTCACTCCACTTGCTCAGTGTTTTAGAGCCCGCGCTAAGCTTACAATAATATGTGGCAATAGCTTCGCAAACGCGGGGCACAACTGCGGTCGGGAATTTTGACGAGGCTTAACAGTTTGCCACTATTCCTTTACGTGCTTCGTTGTCCTACTATGAGACGTGTCGGGGCTAAAAGCTCATCGATTGATGGTGAACGCCGTAGGTAATGTGGACGGTTTGGAGAAAAGTAAGGATCATTTGTGGTAAATCGAAAGTTCACCTATTAAAAGATCGATTTTTCCCACGAGGCTGTGGTAGATGCAGTAGATGTGATCAATGTGACAGACGCGTCGTGATGTAGGCTTTCGTTGGTTCCTAGGCTGCCTCGTAGACCACGATCCTTTGTTAAGAGGTAGGTATGGTACGTTGGAAAAGTGTCGGAAGCGTTGGGACAACAAGAACGGATCAAGAATATTAAAGTACCTAGATGTAGGAAAGTACGAGATAGTCGGGCGTTGTTGCTGTTGTCTGTGATGAATCTGAGGTAAAAAGGATATCGTGGTGATTCCAAAGTGCACGTCGCGTGCTTTAGGCGGGATTTACGAAGCGTATTGTACGAATTACGAAACGAAGGACGGTGCGATTCCTCGTCGAAAATATGTCAAGAATATGACGGACAAACGACCAGTCGAAAACTTTAAATTCAAAGTTTGGGGTTTGCAATATTAAACTGAGGTCAACAGGTCGTGGTGAAAAGAGGAAAAAAAAAAGGTTGAAAGTCGTAAGGTATAGTGAATTAAAGATTTAAAACCAGTTCGTTCTACTAGTCATCATTTCTAGATTGACGAAAAGCACGCCGCGAAATACCTAATAAATTTGGGAAGGCTATTAGGTAAATTTGGGTTAACAGGACCCCACCTGCCGGACAGCTGAACCTCCCGCAGCTGATTAGGCAGGCACGAAGTATTACTATGTACTAGAGTTAAGCAGGTGAAGAGGTGCATGTACCTAGGTACCCTCTGAGCTGGATAAATATCGGAGAAGCAGTTTCAATCAGCCAAGTTCAGACATGTGGCTTGACAAGGGGCACCAGTGAATTAATTGGCTTGATTGTAGAACAGCTGCTAGCCTCAGGCCCTTCAGCGCAATACATAGTACTACCAACATGTATGTACCAACTCCCAAATTGGCAGCATAACTGGTCTCAACTTAGCCTTAGCATAACTCAATTCATTGCCTTTTAATTCTGCAGAACAGAAATTCCAACGTCTCTGCAGACGCAACACAGAAAACAAAATGGTAATGATGATTTCCTGCTACTCTGCTGCTCACTACATTTGGTAGCAATCTCTCTAACTTATACCAGGTCGTCCTAGCCGCATCCATATGTACTCGAGGCGGGAAAGCTGTCCTCTCCAGGCAGTTCCGCGAGATGCCCAGATCGCGAATCGAAGCCCTCCTAGCATCCTTCCCTAAGCTTGCTGACTCTGGCACCCAGCACACCACCGTAGAGCAGGACAATGTTCGATTCGTCTACCAGCCCCTCGATGAGCTTTACATGGTCCTCATCACCAACCGCCAGTCCAACATCTTGCAGGATATCGACTCCCTCCACCTGTTTGCTCAGGTAGTTACTAGCACTTGCAGAAGTTTAGACGAGAGGGAAATCTTGAAGAATGCCTACGAACTACTTAGCGCATTTGACGAGCTGGTTTCGCTGGGTTACAGGGAAAACCTTACTATTAGTCAAATCAAGACTTTCTTGGAGATGGAAAGTCACGAAGAGCGCATCCAGGAGATTATTGCGAGGGTATGCCTTTTGTCTACACGAAATCTACATCCATATCCACATCCACATTTCTCTGCTGACACCTATATAGAACAAGGAACTTGAAGCAACGGAGGAGCGCAAACGAAAGGCCAAGCAGCTGGAGTTGCAACGAAAGGAATCCGCGAGAATGGGCCGTCCTGGTGCGCCTCGAACGCCGGTATACCCGACCTATACACCTCCTACGCGTCCCACGCCCGCAGATACCTACGATACCTACGAAGCTGAGAAGAACAAGACACATAAGTATGAAAAACCCATAAGCTTGTTGGGGTGCTAGACTGACACGGACACAGGACAACGGTTATGAAGGGCAAAGGAATGCAGTTGGGTAAGAAGTCTAAGACCACAGACATGTTTGAACGTGTCCGAGGAGATATGGGAGCCGAAGTAGACGAAACACCTCTCGCACGTGCTCCTCCCACTCCGACTGCTGAGCCTGCAGCCCCACGAATCTCGTCGACCCTGGACCGCGATGCGATCCACGTAACTATCAACGAATCTATCAACGCCAAATTGTCCAGGGAAGGTTCTGTAAACTCCCTAGCCGTCACTGGTGATTTAAGTTTGAAAATCTCGGATCCCAGCTTGACCAAGATCAAGCTCGAACTTGCCGCAGTCGCCTCCCACGGTGCCCAGTTCCGTACGCATCCCAACGTCGACCGTGGCCTCTTTACGAGCTCCAAGGCTATTCAGATGAGCAACGTTGCCCGTGGCTTCCCTGTCAACAATGCTGTTGGCGTGTTAAGATGGCGAGCTACACCAAAGACCGACGACACGAGCGCCTTGCCAATTAGTTTCACCGTTTGGGTGAATAAGGGCTCGTCCCAACATTACACGATAACGGTCGAGTATGAACTTACCGGAGGTGACACCTTGAAAGATGTTACTGTTGTCATTCCGTACGTTACCAGCGAACCGGAAGTGACCAGCTTCGATGCTACCTACGAAGTATCTGGCGATAGTCTCGAATGGCACATTGGAACCATCAGCGATGACAACCCCAACGGATCGTTTGAATTTAGCGCGCAGGCGTATGAAGAGGACGAGTTTTTCCCTATGCAAGTTCGATTCTCGAAGACGGTACCTTTCGTCGAGATTGATGTAAGTACTTATCCCCCCAAGTTGACCCGTTCATCATGTTGACAGTCTATATAGGTGTTATCAGTTACGTTGGTGGAAGAGAATGAAGAGGTGACCTTCTCGAAGGATATTAGATCTGTCGCTGATTCCTATCTGGTCGAGTAACGATTCCTGGGGGTAGGACGTAATGAATTTAGCATGGAGCAACGGCCACCAAAAGGGGGAGGGGTTGAGACAGCATGTTATATAGAGCCATGGCTAGGTACCTAAGATAGGGCATGCTAATTGATTGTGAATGATGTTATCAATTTTATATCTGAATTAATATAAATCTACCTTGATTTATATAAGAGTGCTACTTATTTTATTTTTTTTGCGGATTTATAATTGAAGTTTATGAAAGTGGATGTCATAAATCATGTAAATCATGTATACCGTGCATAGATACCTAGGTAGCTTTTCAATACACTGTACGGTGCACCACTAAATAAAGTGGTTAAGCAGCTTCCCACACCGTTCGACCGCACTGTGGTCTCATTAACATTAACCTTTACAAAATCGTAGCAATAATACAAGGTGAAGCTCTCTCTCTGAATAACAACGCCAACTTCCAGAAATGCTACGCGATGATTAAAATTGAAATTCTTCCAGATCTTTCAATATTTCCTGGCCTAAGGAATAGCCATGCTTGAACCAATTGAGCTCACTCTCCACAACGACTTACGTCTCGACCCTAAGCCTCACAACGGCCTTCTCACTTATAACCCGACTATCGAACTCTTTGCCGGTGCCGCTGGATCGAGAACCCTCCAGATATGGCGCTCAAATGGTCAAGCTGTTACTAAAAGTACTCAACGTGGCGAGCGGGACACTGTCGAGGCTCTCCGCTGGAAAGCCAATGGTAAGTTTTCTTTTGCTTCCAGATGAGATAGTCATTGGCTTGTCAACTAACGCGTATCAGGCCAATTTCTAGCGGTTGGATGGAGCGATGGGGTAGTAAGGCTCATGGGTTTAGAGACCAACAAGGCGGTCCACCAGATGTCAGTATGCGAGACGGGCAAGTCTCGAATCACCTGCATCGGCTGGGCTCGCAACAACGCAGGGAAGCGCCAGAATTCAGCACCTGCATCTTCTACCATACCCTGGGAGGATATCATACCTCGCGATCTCTTTCCAAGCGGTAGGAAGGCCGCCGTAGACCTCCCTCGGGAGCTCACCTTTCTCGAGGTCGAGAGCGCCCTACCAAAGCTCAGTCCTTTACCCGCATCTGGGGGGTCAGGGTAAGGAGGAGCAACACTAGATACATCGTTTTGATAGGTGCCTTGCTAATAGCATGCCAGGGACGACTCGTTCGTATTTACCACGAGGGCGTCGTTGGAGTTCCTATTCCAACCATTCTCTCCTCACGACAGCGATAACGTCGATGTCATGATTGTAGGCACCGACGATGGGCAAATCCACGTCAGCATATATAACTCTTTTGTCATCGGTACATTTAGGTATGCTCCGCCACTATCTCACGGGAAGAATATCGACCTACAGCTATGTCACCATGCCTCTCATCCTGACTCTTCGACACACATGCTCGTGTTCAAACCGTCCGGAGAGACTAAGACGACAACTACCTATCTCGTGCCTATAGACCTGACTTTCATACACTCGTCACCCGAGAATTTATCTTTGTTAGCATCAAAAACGACTACACTACAAAAACTATTGAGATATGTAAAACAAGTGCAGATACACATGATACACGAGTGGCAGTCGACTCGGGAGCTCCCAACTCGGTTTTTGAACAGCATAAGCGAGACGTTGCGTGAATCAGGTAACTACGGCGAGATGGGTATCGGACAGGCATTGTACCATTCTGTGGTGACTGGACATACGTTCCCAGAAGTCAAGGAATGGTTAGTCGACCAACTAGCTGAACGGGTACGTATACATCTACTAGAAATATCAGCTCGAATTACGAGACTAAAAAGTAGCGTAGGGTCATAAACGATGGGACAAAGCCGTTTCATCAGGCCTCCACGCCCTTCGTAATCTTGTACATGAAAACTTCCTTCCGGCACTGGAGCGTGTGGGTATAATTCTGAGCCGTTTGCTCGGGATCGCGCGCTTTCACGAGTCGAAGGAAGAGCCTGGATTTACCAGCGCGCAAATTACCAAAATTATGGATATCGTGTCCTGCTTGATGCTGGTAGGAAATAAGATTCTGTTAATCGTCATGGAAGAGCTAGACCTATTCCAGTCGTTTTCGATCTGGCTTCGACACGAGATCGATAGGCTCGCGGCTCCGTCGGCGGTAGAGGAGCTCTCGGAGAAAGAGGCAACAATGGAACACGGAAAAGTACTCGCATATATCCAACAGTATATGGCTGCGAGTCCCTTGCGAAACCACTTGAGCAATGTCCCAGTAGAAAGCGCAAAGAGAAGTCGCCAGAAGGCTGAAAGCGGGAGCTCCCTATTGGAACTCCTTAGTAAACAGCTCAACAGACAGGAAACCAAGCAGCAGCCTGACGAAGATGCGTTCGCCCAGGTCGAATTCTTATATGGATATTTAGAAGGGAAGGCCGGTGCCATTTTTGAAGGCATCGCCGAGGCTGAGAAGCGAAGCGTGCGGTTTGGTGAACTAACCGCTATCAAGCTGCCGAGTAGTATCTCAAAGTTCGATGTCATAATGTCGGCTCAATTTAATGTGGTATGTCTATATCTGAGCCATTATTCATACAATACTAACGGTCTCCTTCAGGACAGAACCCAGGCACCAACATACACAGCTATGGTAACAGAAAGTGACAAGCACAGGGGTACGAACTACTAGCAAAAGTATCCATAACAGAACTGACTCCTGTTTTTAGTATACATTTTCCGAACGACCGTGAGCGTGCTAAATGGGATTAGTAGTGCTGCTGCAACTCAAGTCTCATGCATGGTCCTCGGTGAAGGGGAGGTTCTCGACCTGAAGTTTCTCTATAACGATAGCCTCCTCGTCCTATGGGCACAGAGCGGTAATTTAAGCCAGTTCATTCACATGTGATTATCACTAACTCCCAACAGGCCAACCGCTGCGCATTGTCAGAATACCGCACGCATCTGACGACTTAGGATATCAGCCATATACATCAGGCGGCAAGATAACGCCGCACGTTCTCAGCGACGAACAAGTTCTCAGCGCGTTTAGGAACGCAGTGGTGCCCTGCGAACCAACGTTTGTACCAGCTCGGATGGAAGTGAAAGAGGCTAGTTCCGAACGCGACATAGTGCCTATTAGGGTCTGCCTGCTTGGGAGCGATATGCAAACGTATAAAGTGTTTTCCCTGCCAGAGGAGCTAGTAAAATAGCCGACGAGATAGTTGCACGCCAATTGCCGAATAAGGGGCTACGATTCTAGACATCGTAAGACACTAATGATATATTATTGAAAGAACCCCCAAATGACTGCCCAAATGACGCTCTGTTTACTTCTGAAACGCCTGGGAAGTAAATAGTCGGTATAACGGGGCCAGGCCAATCTTACCACCTCGGTAAGGAGACTTGTTGCCTGGTAACCAGAATATTGACACATTCTTCCTTTCTCCCCCTTTTTCCTTCAAAATTGTGGAGAATATTAATAGATTTTGACCCATCTCGCGTGAACAAGTGGCTCAATTAGGTACTAAGCGACATCAAAAGAATTCGATCAAGCGAGACAAATTGTCTCGGGCCGGCGCCTTTGATCTCGCAACTATTCCCCCTTTATTAGTTACCTGGCACAGGTAGTCAATCATATGTGGTTCCAGAACTACTACGTGTTATCCCTCCTGTTAGGACGACCGAACGGCAACAGCTGAGACGCAAACGCTCGGGGCTGAGATATATGGGACTAATACTACCCATGCGGCTCCCTTGCATCCAAAGCCTAGATCACCGTTGGCGACTAGGCTATACTACGTACTTTGTAAGGTATCCAGTCTATGGACAACGGATACCACGAGGCATCCACGTGCAGTTTTGCGGGTCGCAGGATGTCGTGCCACGCGGTAAATCCATCCCGTAGTTCCACTACCCACCCAGAGTCCCACTCAGAGTCCCTGAGGCATAATAGTAACAGTGTGTAGTAGACTGGCTAACCGTAGACGATTGTACGGGCATTCTAAATTTATTTCTTTTACTCCTCGTCCGTTTGGACAGATCTACGATGCACAGACTTCCGAATAGCCCCCATGCTCCCTTGCCTCGCGGTCGACTTCAGAACCCTTTCCCCCTCCATGAGCTAACTATCAAAATCCTTTTGTTCTCCTCGGAAAACGCCGACGTCTCGTATCCCATCATTCACCTCCTCCCCCCCGTCTTGGCCCACTGTCTGAGCACGGTCTTCTGGATCTTGCCGGTGCTCGTCTTGGGCAGCTCCTCGACAACCTCGACCTCCCGCGGCACCATGAACTTGCTGATGGCGCTCTGGTCACGCGCCCAGTCGATCACGTCCTGCGGCGCGAGCGTCCTCCCCGCCTGCACCGTCACGTACGCCTTCGGCCGCTCGCCCCAGTGCGAGTCCGGCACCGCGACGACCCCCGCCTCCAGCACGTCCGGGTGCTGGGCTAACATGGCCTCGAGCGCTACCGAGGAGATGTTTTCCCCGCCTTTTTTGGTTTGCACTTCTTAGTATTTGTTTTACTTCAGGTACGCATACGAGTAAAAAACGTGTTTTTTTTTCCAAAAAAAAAAGGAAAAAAAAGGGAAAAGGTGGGAGAATAGGAGGTAAGGTAGATGTGTAGTGCAGTAAAGTGCAATGCAGGATAAATCTTACCGCTGATAATGATATCCTTAGCCCGGTCCTGGATCTGCGCGCTGCCGTCGGGGTGCCACACGGCGAGGTCGCCGGAATGCAGGGCGCCGCCGGCGAAGAGCTTCTTCGTGGCCTCGGCGTCCTTGTAGTACCCCTTGCAGCAGATGTTGCCGAAGAAGACGATCTCGCCGATCTCCTTGCCGTCCCTGGCCACGTCGATCAGGACGCCCTCCGGCTGCTCCGTCTTGACGATGCGGATAGGCAGGCTGGTGATGAAGCCGTGGCCCTGCCGCGCCATCTGCACGTATCTTTCGGTTTCCGGCAGCGCGTCCCACTGCGGCAGGTGGTATCCCTTCGTGATGGGCCCGTATGTCTCCGTCATGCCGTATACGTGGAGGGGGTGTAGGTTTAATTCGGTCTAATAAGGCCAATTTAGTGGCTTGGATCCACGAGAAGGGCGGGTATGTCTCAATAGGTTAGGTACCTAACCTAGGTAGTTAGATACTTACCATTTGCTTGAAAAGATGCGGCGTTGGTGGACTTGCGGCCACGGTGACCTTTACGGGCTGCGGCAACTTCTCTGCTTCTTTCGAGTTGCAAAGCTGGATATTTACCGTCGGCGCCGCGCTAAAGTTGGTGATGCCTTCTTCCTTCAGGAGTGTCCAGATTAACGGGTAGTCGATTCTCCTCAGGCAGTAGTGCGTGCCTCGAGCCGCGGTAACCGCCCACCTATAATACGAGTAAGCCCCCCTGGCTTCCAAAAGAAACACTTGTTTTGCAAAAACTTACGGAAACGTCCAGCCCACAGCATGGAACCTAGGTTCGTTAGCGACAAAATTAACGTCTTCTAGAGTACTTAGGTAGGTAGGTAGATAGCCTTACATCGGTAGTGTCCATAAATATTTACACCTCCCTTTATCAGGGCTCAACCCGGATTCGATTACGTTGGCTAGTGCTGCAAGGTACGCGCCTCGGTGGGTGTAGACGCATCCTTTGGGTTTTGAGGTCGTCCCGGATGTAAAGGGGATGGCAATCATGTCATCTTCGTGGACGTCCTGAACATCCAAACCGGACCATCCTTTACTACCCCGTGCCTGGTCATATTTCAACCCTTCCAGCACGGCTTCGTCAAATGGCCCGCAGAGCTCGCCCTCCGTCGCATCGGTATCCTGGGCTGATTAACACATTTATTCAAAGTCCGATATAGAAGGTTCTCTAAATGAACTGGGTATATTGGGTACTCACTAGGTCAACGATGAATTTCACTTTGGGATGGGTCTTTTTAAAGTCGTCTAATAACGGTAGATATTCATTATCCACGATAATGGAATCCACTTGAGCGAAGTCAAAAATATACGTGATATCACCGGGTTTTAATCTATGGATTCGTCAGTTTTTTTTTTTTTTGCTTTTAGACTCACGCTCTAGAAGGGCTAGATGAATTTCCGGGTGCTCTAACCGATAATTCACAGGGACGATAACCCCGCCAGCGGCCACAATCCCGAATATCGATTCCAGGAAAGCAGGCGTATTAGTCGCTAGTACGCCAACCCTCTTATAGTTGTGTTTCAGGAGGTAATACGCCAACCCCCTAGCACGATCCGCGAATTCGCTGTACGGCCTCCTCAAGACTTTGTTGTTCGCGGTGACGTGATATATGGCGGGAGCGTCGGGTTCGATAGCAGCGGCCCTCGGCAAGAAGAATGTTGGGGACAGCTGGTGGATGTGGTAGGTATGGTCAACGCCAACGGGCGACTTGGAGGTAGCCGGTCCCAGATGGCCTAGAAGGTTCCTCAACCTTGACGTCGGTCCGGACATATTAGTAGTAAAAAGGGTAAATGCGGAAAACGAAGAGAAAAAAAAGAAAAAAAAAAGTGTAACAACTCCGCCCGAGTATCTGAACCAGACCGGACGGGACTGTAGAGTGAATTCACACGAGATACCTATTCGTTATAGGTATAGCTGGTATCAATAAAACGAACAAGAAACAAAACTGGGGAAGATGACGATCTTCAAAGTTCACGATGATATTTGGTTGAGGAAGGGTATCCAGACTTATAAGAGTCGGTACAAGAGTACCTCTTAACCTACCTAACCTAAGGTTACCTTACCTATTAGGTACTACCCCGGGTAGATAAGAGATAGGTAACAGGTAGGTAGGCACTAGGTTAGGTAGAGGGCAACCACTACCTACCCTGAGAGGGCGGGTAGGGCAGGAGGTAGGGAATGGGCAAATTGCGGGGCAGTAGCGTTCCCCATAGGCGCCCGTAGGCCGTCCCTCCACGCCGCTAACCCCGGTTTTGTTCGGTTAAAGACTTAGCATTACCGGGGAATCAAGGATTAAGCATAAACTAGTATTTACATAGTACCATAGTACGTACGGGGTTGTCCAATATGAAAACGGAAGCTAAGCCGTTTCAGCCTCTTGAGTCTTGAAGCCGCTGACGTCTTTATCTTTACTCACTTGTTCGTCGTGGAGTATTTTTTTTATATAATATAGCTAGTTAGATGGAAATGTAAACCTTAAAAGGTAAGATGTAATTTACCTAGGTATGCTCAGTAACGAGATGCTTCTATAATAGAAACCTTAACAGGTAGGTAAGTACCCGGGCAATTTACAATTTTCTTGTTTATGTTGGAATTCATGTCGGACTGCAGTTATTAACTATAATTACTGTGTACTCAATTTTGCTTCTTATTCCCAGGGGTCTATGGTTTACGCAAATTGAGATAACTGAATTAAAAAAAGAAAAAGAAAAAAAAGCAAATGAAATGCTAGACTTACTAAGAAGAGCGGTAAATCCCTATTGTTAAGCTGAAAGGATCAAATCATAGGAAACTCCATGGGGAACTCCATAGTAGGGTCAATATTTCACCGTAGACTAGCTGACGAGCCGATTTCACAATTTTATGGTGCTATGGTATAAAATAAATACCTATCAGGATCGACGACGCCCAATGCGCAGGTTATCACAAGTTCGTAAATGCCATAAATGCCATAATCCACCATAACGTCCATTCAACCTTTCCGAGCGACGCAAATCCAGGCCGACATCTCCAATGTTCCCGTCTTCTTCTCCGTATCGCGCAGCTGCTTTCGTATCTCGCCATTCCAACGGCCTATCTCTTCATGACTCCACCCCTCGAAGATCTTCGACGTCCACAAGGGCGAATTCAGCGCCTTGACAATCCCCTCCTCCGAACCACATTCCCAGTTCGGCTCGGCTTCGAACGTCTCGATCTGATCCTTATGGAACCCGCCCGCCTCCATCACGCTTGACGGCTTCTCCTTTGTCAACCACTCAGGGGGCATATACATGGGTTTCAACCAGCTATTTGGCCGGATGGCGTCCAGTGCACCCTGGAGTATTTCGACAACCCGCCGAGTCTTCCACGTCGTAATCACGGCGTAACCGCCAGGCTTGAGCACCCGGTACATTTCTGCGGCGCCCGCGACCGGATCGCGTAGGTTAAAGATTCCCAAATTCATAACTACGGCGTCGAATTCCGCGTCTTTGAACCTGGAAAGGTCTTCCGAGTCTTGCACGTAGGCATCGGCTGTAGTCCAATTTAGCGAGGCTTTGTTTGCCTTGAAGTGCTCCACCATGGCGGGAACAAGGTCTATGCCGGTAACCCGCGGCCGCGGAGAAACCGGCAATTCAGGGACTGAGACATCTGCTGGGGACGGTGATAGGAGGAGCTTGGTTACGATGCCCGGCCCAGCCGCCGAGTCCAAGATGTGGCTTGACGAAGAATAGCTTCGCAGGGGTAAGTAAGACAACGCGGCCGCAGCGAGCCGAGTGCTAGTGGCGCCGGCGTCCTCTTCATACGAGGATGCATTTTTCTGGAAATGGAATTTCTCAGATATTTGACTTAAAGAGTGATGAGTTACGTTGATTAAGAACATGGCGACTAACTGGTAAGAATTTGGACCACTGACATGAGACCTGCGGAACTGTAAAATGCAGGAAGATAATTCGAGGAGCGATAGGCTTAAATATTAGAGGTGCATTATATCAGGTAGGTTAGGTAGCTACTGTATGCTAGTTAGAAAAGAAAAAATCATGCATTGACTATTGGCCTAGCCGGCTCAACGCTACATGGTTTCGGTCTAGCTAGCTGAACAGTGATATTATTTGCAAGAGACCGTAATAATACCGAACTTTTCTACTATCTATCGAAGGGTCCAAACAGGGGTCGCTAAACTGAACCATAAAGCAACTTCTTGCTAATTGGCGTTCTGCTCAGATCTGATTGAGGGAGGGCGTTGAGTGGTCAGTTTCCGTAGTTGATCTAAGCACATGTCATATTTAACGGAGAAGCTATTCGACATTGTCTTTCGATACCTCGGATATTTGACAGGTACCTGAAACTTGTTGGGACCCCCGAGAAATAATACCATAGGTATTCTCTGAAAAAAACAAAACAATGGAAATTAAGGCACGGAGCAACATGCTATGCGGTTTATTTGTTAAACTCCAGCTTTGCTGAGTTTTCGTCGATGGGAATAAGCAAGCTACCAACATATCATATCCCCTTGACTGGCATATGACAGCCAACCCCCCCTGTAATACATACGATACAAGAGGGAAAGCAATCTCATGCCAGTCAAGGGATACACCAGAATTTCCGATATATACATGTGTTTCTCGGGGGGTGCGGCATCGCACGCCAAGACTTGGCATGTCTTTATACCCAGCCCGGACCACCAACGCAGGCCTCCTACGCATGGGAGACGCGTGGGAAGTATTTATAGGTACCGGTCCCCTGTCTCTTACCTTGTCCACTAAGTAACTTGCAAGGTAATTTCTACGATGAAAGCACGTTGCGAGCTCAGTGTTATGGGCTTGTGCATAAAAAGGTATCTTAAGAATCTTAAACTGTAGATCGGCAAGTATAAAAGCTAGGGGATTTCCTATGCAACACCCCCTAACCTACCTAGTAAATATTTGCGAAATATGCATGGGGCTAATGGAGCCTCTAACCCGTGCCCTCTAGAGGTGCTCGGTTTACTATTCCCAACCTCGTTAACAATTGCAATATCCGCCTACCTCGGCTACCTCCTATTTTTCCCTAGGTTACGTATCGAAACTGTACTACACGTTAGCCATGAATTTACCTTAAGTAGATATAGCCTCGGGTGGATGTCATGGGGGCTTACGTAGGGGTTTTCAAAGTCGGTGTGGTCTCGTTCGCCCATTTCCAAGCCAGCCTTATCTCGGTCCTCTTCCGACATTCCCAGCCCACGCATAGTCGCATCTCTCCGCCTGTTGCGCATGACCAGGATACTCCTCCACAAAAGGATCAACGCCATTTGGAGCCCCAGACATGAAACGCAGCCGATGGTCCCCGGGATATATCTTGGCTTCATATTGTCAGTACCTAGATGTCAGGACAACCAATCGCATTCTTTGAAGTTGACGTACTGCGTCCTTGGCCTGGAAGATCTGAGTCCCCGTCATATTTCCAACGCAATAACCTACGAAGGTGATCGAGGATACGACCGTTCGCTTTGTTCGTCCCGCTATATTAGACGGGATAAGCGACCATGAAAAGAACGTGCCTACTACATAGGTAGAAGTCATGAAAAGCCCGCCCCATTTGGTCCACTTGTATTGCGGCTCATTCGGAAGGAGGGCGATGATGAGGAATCCAGCTATTGGCGGTAGTGCGGAGACCGCCATGGTCCACCTGGAGGCACATAACTCATTAGTCTCATTAGTTTATTATGTACGGGCCGAGATCCCATGATTCTTACATGCGAAGGTCCTTCTTCCTAGTAACCAGCAACCCGATTGCCACGAAGTATAGCACCGAGAAAATCATCTTTGGGATATTCAAGAGAATATTTTGCAGACTCGCTATATGAAGAAAGTCAGTTCTTCAAGTTTCATCTAGTACAACTATGAAAAGATTGGGTTAGGTACTAACTAAAGCCATAGCTGGTGGTCAATATCCCAGAAAATGCCGTCAGAGCACCGTTAGGGACTGATCCTAGGAATGCGTTTGCCCCGGCTATCCAAAACTACGTGTTACGAGTCAGTTTCCTGAAGAGTGATGGCAATGGATGATGGAGTTGGGTAGGTAGTTTACATACCACTGGGTCAACCAGACATTCTCTGACCTGCCCCCATTTCCAGTCCTTGATGCCTGTTCGATCATGACCAGTGTTGTTAGACAATATCCGAGCTGTGGCTATCTTTTTCTCCTCTGCGGAAAGCCAGCGCACTTCCGAGGGTGTACCAAGAAGTAGAAAGCAAAATATTCCCGCGACGATAGTCAGACTGCCTAGAAACTGGACGGCATTGTTAGCCTATGTCTTGTTTCCGCTGTTGAATAACTCACATAAGACATGTACCGCCAGGCCTCAAAATCCGGGTTCTTGTTGGTGACAGTGCCGATGCCGTAATTTATCGAGTCGGTGATAATGCTTACACCAGCGTAGCCGCTCTGGAAGACCAAGGAGCGAGAGGGATGTTCTCGCGTGGTATACCAAGCCCCGACGACCAAGAGGAATCCGGGACTTATCGAGCACTCGAACACTCCCTGCAACGCTCGAAGCGTGATGAGATGGACGAAATTCTGGGCGAACCCAATGCTCAGCACGACGAACCCCCAACACACAACGAAAATGGACAGGATCCGACCCATCGAGTATCGCTGCAGCAAGATGATAGACGGGATCTCGAAGCACATGTAAGTGAAATAGAAGACTGTCGTTAGCCACGAGAACTGCTGTCCGACGAGGCCTGTGTCTTCGCGTAGCCCGAACGTGGCTTGAGTACCGACGCAGGCCTTATCGACTTGCTGGAGTCCATGACAGAGCCACATGCTATAGCAAGGGGATTAGCCACCAGTCGTAGAGAACTGAGCTGTATAGCTCGGGACCGTGATATTTCTTAGAGTAAGGATAGTAAATTATTAGAAAAGAGGTACGTAGCCCCGAATGCGACTTACAGCGGAAGAAGATACCTATCCACCTTTCGCTTTAGGTGGTTATACTCTTCGTCGGTATACTGAGGTATCACCTCTTCAACATGGTGTATAGTGACTTTCTCATCGTTTGAGAACTTTTCGCTGTCATATGATGCCATTTTTTGAGCTGATATAGCCGATAGTTCTAGGTATTATGAGTATCAGTTATCTTCTCGTGTAATCTTATAATTATCTCCGTTAAATGATCATGCCAGATTCCGAACTACACGGCCGGCAGACGCGACTATAAGTAGTACACAAGGCATATATTCGTGAATACAGACGGATGGGAGCACAAGGAATAAGGAATAACGTCGAAAATACGAATGAACACTCTCTGAACCCTCAAGACGCCAACGGTGGTCGGATAGGAAGTCCAGAACACCTAGGCAGGGCATCGGCCGGGAAGGCGCACGAATCAAAGGGCAATCAAAGGGCAGATCTCAGCGCAGGCATGACGAAGATTGCTCAAGTTTCCACGACATTATCTCAATTTCTAGTTTCCAAGCCACAATTTCGGCACTCGTCAATCATCTCAGATCCCGGAGTTGCATTTGTGTAATGCAAGTGTCTCAATGATGTAGAACAAGAATGGTGGTGGGAAAGATACCTAGCACGCGTTCTCACACAGGTTTCCGCCATCAGAAGCCGTGTAACTGCCTTAGCATATATCATGCGAAGAAGCAAAATGTCTATTCAGATGGCACAGTGTCTAGCTTCGCCAGGGTATCTGACCCCGAGAAGGCTGCCCTTGATACCATTATATTTGGCTAACCTACACTTTATATTCAACCACTAATGACAAGGGATGGTAAATATCTACCTAAGGTACCTAGATGATTAACATATAGAATACTTGCGTGCCTTGTGAACGCCTCAGACAATATTGTACATAGTCGATTTTGGGGTAGGGGTTGGCTTGTAAGACAACAATGAAAAACACGTTAGAAATGTGAATATCAAGGTGCCCCCTCTTGAAAATCCCGCTCGAGGTTTGATAGTACGAATCGGCGAGATTATGTCTGTCGTGGTCATGGGCCTTTTTATCATGTAGCTATCCGTTCTTATATTCATCTTGACTGGGGATGGGGAAGCAACACATACAGACATTATACTTGCATGTGGCTTGGATCAATCCGGTAACAATAATCGTAGTACTCTATTATGGAAGCCTCTCTGTAGTTGTGAGGACCGGGATGCGGATAGCGGATTACAAGATAGGTATAGGTAGGTACTTACTTTACTCTTACAATAAAATCCGAGACTGACTGACACATGTCTAAGACCGTATACTTGACGGTTCCTCTATATGTCAGGTAGATAAGTACACCAAAGGAGGCTCAAATCGTCAGATACCTACCAACCAATTCTCGCGTGTTACTCGACATATGGTTGGCGTATAGGAAAAAAAGCCGGAGATCTAGACGGGACTGTCCAGTTAAATGGGATACCATGCCGGGGCCAGAAATTCCACGAGTGGAAGCGGGTCGAAATTTCAACCGAGTGGACGCCCATTCCTGCAAAAGGGAGGGGTTATATACCTCCTATATGTCAATCTAAAGAGCGTAAACCTGGGGGCCAACGCGCTGTGCACCCCCCTGAAACCAATGGGTGAGCACTTTTGGAAGGCCGCAAGGCAGCGAATACATACCACCTATGATCCGCTTCGAGGCTTGACGCGTGCATGGTTAGGTACTCGTGATGAGACGTTTCTGCATGGATATATTGCTCGCAGATAGGGGCCAAGAGAAGAAGATCTTGAATTTTACGAGATATCGCTTGGCAAGCAATGTCGGGATTGATGAGTCTGTTTGGGATAAGAAGCCTTTAGTGAGAATAAGCGGCATTTTGTTAATAGCCCGTGCCGCCTTGGTACACAAGTGGTATTTTCAACGACAGTCCCCTTCATCCCATTAACCACGCCCCCCCTAGGTATGATGCCCTTCGTCCCCTTGCCCCCCCTAGCTATACCTAATTCTTTTGTTCTCTTAACCACGATCACCTTAGCTACAAAAACCCTAACTTAGGTACGAATTCTCCTACCTCCTTAGCCACAATCCCCCGTAGCTCGTGGTTGGTAGCTAGTTGTTCCCTGCGGCTCAAGATTTGCGGCACATAGCTATAGCGTTGATTTCCCAAGCAGGTTTCGATGACCGGATATTGCTAGACAATACCAGAAGGAAATAGCTGTTGGCGGGGTCAACACGTAAATATGTATATATATATACCTCCTATATTAGGTACATTCTAACCAGCAATAGGGTGACCTACTGATTAGTGGTGGAATTATAAGGCTTGGTATAAGGGTTCTAGAACCAAGCAGGCTCTCAGTAAATATGTGTAAGGTGGCCTTGGGTACCTCATGGCCTTCGAAGACCAGGTCTAGGGTACCTTGCGGCACAATTTAGGATGTTTTATACATTCCACGTTCGCCTAATAATACGCCGTGGCCACATGCATGTTTAAGTCTAGGATCTCGGACATATCTTATGAGAATTGCAGGTTATCAGGTCACGAAATGAGGGTAATTGTTTTCTGACGAAAAAGAATCGAGGGCGGTGGTGGTCACATTGATCATACATGCTCTCCGGAGGAAAAAAGTATACCCCTATACTTACTACCTAGAAAGAAGAATGTAAGTATTCGCGCTGACCGCTTCTATGTCTATGAATCTAATCTTTCGGGAATGTCTGACGATGATCGTGGGGACATATCCTGAATTATAAAAAGGTAGGTACATAAATTTACTATATACGGTGACATACAATGTCGTGTTTATACTACATGATACACAACTAAATGAGTATATACAAGAAGATTCATGTCTTACAAAGACGGATATCATATCACAGGTATCCTTAAGATCGAACTGCAAACTCCGGTGCGTTCGCCGCCAGAAGGCTCTGGACTGCTTCTAGAGCACTAAGTTCGACACCCAAATTCGACTGGCCATCGAAACCGCCGGTGTACCATTGCACACCGCAGGTAGCATTGCCATAACCAGCGCAACTAGTAGCAGCGCCCTGAGCCGTCGCCTCGAGCAAAGCTTTGATGTCCGATTTTAGACTAGGAACCAATACTGCCGTCTTTCCCAGCCAACGCGCCAGGCTGGCCTTGAAGCTCGTCTGGTCGATGTTGCACACCGAGTCCAGCTCGCACTTCTGCTCGTACATCACGCCGGTAGCGTTGGACGTAGGGCCGAAGAAAGTCTTCTGAGCTGTGCGGACTAGACCCTGGACTCTTGATTCCCAGGCCGAACTGTTGGTAAAGGCATACATATGGGCCGCGCCGTGGATGTAAGAGGCAATGTTATAGCTCCATTCGTCCTTGTTGATCGCCGTACAGTTCGCGCCCTTCTCATCGCCCGCACCGTCGAACACGTGGAAATCCGGACTGACGAAGCCGACGCTCGTAGACCAACCCCAGACCTTGGCCGCCCAGTCCCCAAATGTCTGATTTCCGGTGTACCGAGCGAGCCGGGCGGCGGTCTGGAAGAAACCGGCATTAGACACGGAATTTTTGTAGTAATAGCCGTTCGCTGTCTCGGTAAATTGCCACTTGAGCCCACCTCCGCAGGTTGCGCTGTCTTTGTTCCAGCGCGCCACAAACTCCTCAAAGGCGTTCGTGCCGATGGCCAGCCAAGAGTTGGCACAATCGTCACCGCCTGCTTTGGTCTTAGACCTCTCGCACGGCAGGGCTGGGAAGTTGTACTCCATGGCTGTCAAAGCGTTGTAGACCCAGTAGACCTGATCGTCGTTCGCCTCCCACGCCGCTTGCTCGGCTGGGGCAAAATCGTAATTGGGGCCGACGTTCTTTGCAAGCGAAGAGAGAATGTCGGCTTGGTAGGTCGTGTCGCCCGTATACACGGTGTAATCTACCAGACCGTTCCATGCCGAGCCGGAGAGCCACCAGAACCAGGACTCAGGTTGTTTGAACTGACCTGCAGTGGAGCTGGGATCATGGTAGACGTAGAGGCCCTTCGCTATCTGGGCTGCGGTCTCTTTGATAGCGGCATGGTCTTCTATGTTGAGGCTTAGAGAAGATACAACGGAAGCGAATGTTGATCCCGCAACAACTTTTGATAATCTCGTCATTTTGAACACTAATAATCGTCTATACAGAATTTACAGGATTGAGAAAAGAATAGTAGACGAGATCCGGCCCACCGAGTCGAGCGCGCGTGTTCTCCGTCCATGTTAAAATATGTATATTAGTGTACCCCTTTTTTGAAGTAACGTTGTCTATCTAAGCTTCTAAGCTGACAATGGGTTGCAGGAGTGCGTCGTCGATCATTTCACCTTGCAGCAAGTTAGTAAGTGAGAGCGGCCGTCATGGGAGAAAAAGGAAGTTGGATTACGAAGGGCCAGGCACACGCGAGTGGCTGAGCCAATGAATCGACCGCGACCTCCATGATCCTTGGCGGCCTTAAACTATTTACAGTTACCGCAACGAAAAACACAACTGCCCATTCGGAATTTTCTTTTGAGCATTGTCATCAGGGTAAATAATCACCTGCATACTTACCTAGGTAGGTACTCTTTCGGACTTATTCAGGAACATGTGAAGGTTCTATATTTATAGCACCATGGAGTGTACGCGTCGAGTTTCCAGGGACGTTAGATGTGATGGAGGCCCCCATGGTCGCCACAAACAATAAAAGTCGATCTTTTCTTTTTAACTCGATCAGGCGGTGATGAGCGACACCCTCTGAAAATGATTTTTAGGGACTAAACAATAAAGGAAAAGACATTGATTCGGCTGCACAACTAAGGAGAAGTAGGTTTCAATGAGGTTCTCTTAACCGAAACATGGGGAAGATTGGAAGAACCCCGGTTGCTCCGGGAATCGAATATCGGGCCACACGTGCGCCAAGGAAATTGAAGGAGCCGTCCTAATAATAGTTTAGGTAGACATCCATTCGGTCGAACGTAGTAGTTTGAGTATGTCTATCATGGACTGTCCCCGGGGGTTTTGAGAGGTTGGAGAGATCAGAGTTACGATAGTTGCGAGGAAGAGGTCCTATAGCTATTCCAGCAACGGTTGTCTATATTAACTATTAACGAGATTTAGCTGCCGACCCCAAAGTGCCCAGAATCCAACTGGGACTAGGACCTGGGGTAGAGAATTGGCCTTGGCGGTCTGGTTAAGTCTACGCCGGAGAGCTTGTCGGATGGATGACTGACTCTAGCACGATTCAGATCCGTCACCACCGCCTTACTTTCCGGTTTTCTCTACGCCATCGGGTGGGTATATGGCGGCCAGCTGGGAAGGCTCTGAGGGCGACGCTCTGGGATTCCCTAAGGATGATACTTAGGTAGGTTCTTAAGCATGAGAGTATAAATTGGAATCGGCACTAAAAATCATAATAAAAGTAAATAACCGTATTTTAATCTTATGGAAACCTTTAAATATCTTGTATAACGATTGTAGAGCCTCTTATTGTATTCAAGGGGCCGGTTCATACCGCTTTTAAGAGTGGGATCGCAGCCATGATTTGCCACGCGTAACAATAAAGCCAGCGGGAAGACCAAAATTAACCACCATCATTGGTAGTTTTTATAACTGCTATCTTAGATTATTACTTGTTCCGTAGTCTGTTGCGCCGTTGCATATCTCGAGTAATTGGTTGCATGACGTAGAAAGGCGGAAAAGGGGGGTATAATGGTGACATCACGATAGCGACATCAAGGTGTTTACTTTTCATCTACCTGAGGATAGCAGTCCATACCAACACCTCGATATCATTTACATCCATTTCAACTTCGAATTCGCGTCAAGAATCAACCTTCGTATTGTCACCAAGTATCCTTACAAACGCAAGAATCAAAATGTCCCAGGAAAGCGGAGATCTCAGCCAAATGGCCAAGGACGGCACCACCGGTAAGTATCTTGAAACTTTTATTTATCTATTTGCTTGATAAAATGGTTTCTCTTCTTCGTCCGTTCGTAGCCTCCGAAGCTCACACAAGACAAAATCACAGTTCCCGGTGATGCTGGAAAGCAGAACCTGCTCCCATCGGTGCCCAACCCCGACCAACTACGAGATACTAACGGCGGACTCGGCGCCACAGAGTTGCACAGCGCAGCCGATAACCCTATCGGCACAGGCAAGGACTCGGACGACAACGCCATCTCGGCGACCGGACACTCGGTACCCCCGTCGACGGCCACCAAGTACAGCGGCCGCGGCGGCAAGGAACGGCGACCCGAGAGGTTTAACCACTACTAAAAGACGACTGTCTGTCCATCACGATCGGGGCGATGCGGAATGTCTTGTCGCACAGCGATCTTATCAACAAATCATTTTTCATAAAACTGTGTTAAACCAGACTGAGAGAAATACACCGAAATCTAGACGGTTGAATAAATAGAATAAAATGTCAATGGAAGCTCAATTCCGCTCTGTGCGAGGTGAAGATGGGATATATCATATACAAAGTCACACCAGGTATCTCGATCTCGAATGATATCGGTGAATTATAAGTCAGATAGTTATATAAATCTTAGGTATTTTCCATCCGCCAACAAAAAAAAAGTAATCCCCGAAAACGCCCCAGCTATGCGAAGCGGATATATGTGCGTAGTAGTAATAATAGAAAAAAATAGGGGGGAACAGACATGTCCCCGCCTTTGAAGATATCATGTCTTCTTCCTAGATAATCATTTTATTTTATCCCACCGCCCCACCCTCCGTTACTTCTTCGATTCTCACCGGGACCAACCCAAGAAGTTGAGGAGGTTGTTTCGCGGGTCGCCGTTAACCTCGACCTGCAGGGCCGCCTTGCGCGCTCGCTCGACCTCGGGCGTGTTCTGCTGCGAGAAGATGCGGTCCATGGTACCGGCTTCGTGGTGTAGCTGGGATCGGACGTAGGAGCCGACGGTGTAGGCCACTCCGATTACCACGAGGCTTGGTAGTATTCTAACATCCAACACCCAGTTGTTAGCGCGTATTCTATCACAACTCCACATCGATTCTAGAACCCCTAAAGTTTCGGGGTTTTTGGGTGTGATATGGATGTGGATGTGGATGCGGTGTGGAGTGGAGTAGTATTTTGTATCCTTACCTTGATGATACAGGGCCGAGCTTCGGTGCTGCGGGCGTGGCAGCTCGAGCAGCTGCATGCATGTGCGGGCGGAGACCTTGAGGGTTTGCGCTGGCCATTTTTGTCTTGATTGGGTGGACAGGGGCTTTACAGTGAAGTGGTGTCCTTAATAGCGAGTAATGAAGGTACATGCAATACCTGTAAATGTAACTGGAAGCCGAATAGATTGCCTTGGGCTTCGAATGAAATGTGTTATGTGATATATGTGTGAATGTAAGTAATATAAGCTTGATTGTGTTGCAGGCTGTGGTGAAACATCGTGGAAGACGGCAAGGCTTAACGGCGACATTATAAGCTTCTCCATTTATTCTGTATTCATCGTCGTCTATTCCGCCTTCTCATCGCCTCTTCCGCCTTCTCGTCGTGTAAATCGAAGAGCTCTTAGACGTGGGGTGATTTTGCGTAGTAGATCACGATACGATGGTATGATGTGGTCTCACCGAAGCCCTGACTTTCCTGACGCCTTGGCCGAATTCAGTAACGCTCAATCCGTCCAGAGCCAACGCCTCTCAGAATGGCCAGATCACAGCGAGAAATCAAATTAAACAAAATCACCCCCATACCCCATTCTGGTAGTCATGACCCCCATTGGATCCGTTCTGCCGGTTCATTATCGCTACCAAACATGGCTTCTTTCGTCCTGTCGTCTCCGAAGGCCTGCTTCATCTGTTCATCTTGAGGCTTCAGCCGGGAACCGATAATGGGTCGGGCCTCAAATTAACAACAATCAGCTGGCTAAGTGATCCTTCTAGCCATACTCTCAGGGCATGTGAATAAGCAGGTCATCTCCGACTTGATGTTTTCAAGATATCGAGGTCATCGTATGTAATACCTAGGATACGTACCTAGGAGGTAGGCTCATTATCACAGGTCAGATTTAGTTCAATTGAAAAATCACAAGCCAATCGAACCGTAGGTAAATGTAATTTTGACAAGCTTGACAAGTGGATATCTTCAGTAGTCTACCAGCGGGGATATCCTGGGGAAGTAAACCATCGGGGGACTTTGTCCTGTATAGGGGAATTATTCCTCCTGGTCGTCCTTAGTCGTCCTTAGTGAGAGTTAGGTCCTCCATTATCAGCTCATGCCTAGGTAATGAGCCTCATCGCGATGGAGTCACCTGAGCAGCCCATTACCGGCAGTGTGGATGCGGGTTACGCTAGGGTAATCCCTACCACGTCGTAGAATAATAGGAGTAATAATATCTTTCCGAAGCCTGATGACATCAGATGCTATGGTGTTCGTTAATACCCGGCGGATATTAACGAACATCATGACACCGCGGAGATTTACGAAGAACTTTGAAGAATTATCAAAATTCCGAACGAGAAAGAAGATTAGGAAATCTGAAGTTGACACGTCCCGTCGCACACTCTGGACTGGGTGATAAACAACCAATAATGTCTCAATTGCTTGCTGCATACAGCCACCTGGAAACCCTTACTACTAGGTAGTATGGTACCCAAGGTAAACAGACACACTCACAGACCAGACTTACAGGTTAGGTACCTCTTAACATGTTCTCATTAGAAATGGGCTATCAAGTATTAAAATTAAGAGAAATTAGCAATCTGCTGAGCCGAATTTACCTCTCCCATCTCTTTCTCTCATCAAGCTCATTACCGTCTATTAGTAGGTACCTGTCATGATTCACCAATGGCTCAAACTCAATATTAGAAATTCCTGAAATCCCAAAGGCCATACTACCACTCAAAGGGCAGATCTGTCATCATCCCTTAGCTTAGAGAAAGCTCTAAGCGTATAACTCGGGGTATTCGGCCTTGATCATATCGGCGCCCTGCAAGATACTCAGTCAGCTTACAAGCTCAAACCAAACGAAGAGGTTCTTATATTTAGCAGGACGACAAAATACATCACATACCTTCTCGGCAATCGCGTAGACCGAGTTCTGGATTCGACAGTCGGGTATCACGGGGATTACCGACGCGTCGATAACCCTCAGATTCTCGACGCCGAACACCCTGAGCTTGCCGTCGACAACACCTTCGCCGACGCTCGGCGCCATGCGCGCGCTCCCGCACGGGTGGAAGCCCGTCTGCGACCGCTCGAGGATCATCTTGTCCATCGCGGCGTCGGACGCCCGCGGCATCGGCCACGGGTAGTCCTCGCGGACCATGTCGCGCATACCGTCCCCGTGCATCAGCACGTCGTCCACCCACCGGACGCCCTCGCGCAGCGCCAGGACGTCCAGGTCCGACGCGAAGAAGTTCAGGTTGATCTGGGGCTGGACCAGCGGGTCGGCGCTGCCGAGCTCCACCGTGCCGCACCGGCTCTGCGGCCGCAGCAGGTCCACGATCACCGTCACGTAGTCCCCTCGCGCCGGGGTCGGGATGTGCCACTGGAACGCGTCGCTGAACATCGGCACGAAGTCGATCTCGAAGTGCGGCTGGCCCGCGGGCCCGAACGGGTCCAGCCCCCCGTTGGCTTCCTTCGCCGCTACGTACTCGGGGTACTTCATCAGGCGCTCGTCGATGCGCGGGAGACCGACGAGCTCGAGCAGGCCCGACGTGTAGGGGCCTTTGTTGTTCCAGCGATACGCGCTGACGGCTGCGTCGTGCTCGAGACCGGCCCTGAGGAGGTGCTGGTCGAACCCGTTGCCGTCTTCGATGCGGAAGACGTGCGGCAGGATAGGGTGGTCGAGTAGGTTCTTCCCGACATGCGGCGAATCGACGATGGTCTCGATGTCGAACTTGGCCAGTTCGGCCTTGGGCCCGATTCCGCTGAGCATAAGCAGCTTAGGGCTCTCGAACACGCCGGACGACACGACGGTTTCGTACTTGGCCCTGAAGCTGTGCGTCTCGCCCGAAGGCAGGATGACCTCTACGCCGACGCACTTCTTCGTCTCGGGGTCGATGAGCAAGCGCTTGGAATTGGTGCCGGAGAGGACGGTGACGTTTTTCTTGCCCTCGAGGTAGAGCCAGCTCGAAGAGCGCTTGCCGTTGTAAATGCTGTTAGTGCATTTCCAGAGGCCGCGCATGGTGCCGTTGTGGACGTCTTCTGTTAGCTCCCCGCCTTTGCTGGTCCAAGCCTTGGTCACGGCATCGCGAAAGCCCTGTATCTCGGGAACCAGATCCGAATGCGAGACGGGGATGGGGCCATCGGTACCGATGTATTTCAACTTCTTATCGAAAAGACTGTTGTCGTCGTGGTAGGTCGCCGGCTTGTAAAGGTACTTCTTGAAATTGTCCCACTTCCACTCGTCTCCGCCGTAGGCAGCCCAGTCGTCGAAAGTTCCGGCCGAACCGGGAATCCAGGTGTAATAATTGAGACAGCTAGAACCGCCGAGGGTCTTTCCGCGGGTGTTGGGCTTTTCGACGCGTGTGTAGTCGGGGCGGTCGATCATGGTCGTCTTATAGGCCCAGTCGTACTTGCTGTCGCGCAGCTCGAAGGCTCGAGCGGGCGTCGTGATGGCGTCGATATCTTTGGGATTGCTGATACCGGCCTCGATAACCAAGACACGGACATTAGGTGACTCGGCTAGACGACCAGCGACGGCGCAACCGGCAGTGCCTCCTATAGGTTGTGTCAGTAACAAGTCGGGATGTCTTCTACTATCCCGCGAAACTTACCTCCAACGACGATGAAGTCGAATTGCTCGATAGATTCAACTTGAGTGCTCATGTTGTTATGTGCTACTGATATTCGGTTTAGATGCGGGTGTCAAGAATGGTTATTTGAGATTATTTATGTTGGAGCGAAAAAACGCCTGAGAGAGCTCTTCTTTGAATGATATTCGAAATCCGATAGGAAGGTTATTATACTCTTATTGATACTTATGGATATCTTAGCTTGGTTGACTGATGATGAGGTTGATGATGATGGCGAAAACAAATCTCATCTATGACGACCTCCATCTCCACCGCTTTATATCCAGAATGCGATGCGGGACTTCCACTCTTCTTCATATTGGTAGTGTATCCCTTCTGGCACAATACCAGGTATCTATGCATGAAGGGGTATGTGCAATGAGTAAGCGTTCATTGATAGACGTCTACTAGAGGATCTCCGAAGCTCCAAAAAATGCGATGTGTTACTTTAGAACCGGTATACTGCCGGGTTGCTGACGCCAACGTTCTATAGAAAGAAGCCGAGCGGATTCCCAAGGGGATTGCCTAATTCGGTATATAATAGAAGGGCTGTATGAAATGCGAACAGTGCCGAGCAGTAAGTCTGAGAATGACACCGGAGAATCGGAGTCCTCTCCAGTATCACTTGTCATTTATTCAATTTCTACAAGGGTTTGACCCGTAGGTCCAGATGCCGAGCTAAGTGCGGCGTCTTTTGACTGCAGTCTTGAACAGTGCGGGCAATGCTGCTTCGGTGATAACCCGGAGATCTGGGTGATAGTCAGCGACGTCACTGAGGATACCAAAGTTTGACGTAGGAAAACCATCATGATTAAAAAATATCCTATCTAAATCTTGGAAAAAAGAATGATAAATTAATAATATTCAACATACGAAGCCTTGGTGCTTGATGTTAGTGTTGATAGGCACAGCTCCATGATGTAAACCAAGCTGACAATATGATACTTTAGAGCGTACGGCTATGCCTTGAGCTTGGAATGCTACCTCAGCCCGCCGAATAATTTGTTGTCGTCTCCCCTTTATCCTCTACCTATCACATTCACTCGAGCCGCTTCGCGGAGCTGATACTACTGTGCTGTCGCAACCATTCTCTTCAGATATCATGCCGAGCGTTTTTACTCATGTGACGAATCCTATGGCCATACTGCCTCTCAATTAGTTCCGTAAGGAGGAAACGGGGAGTCAGGATCATGCTTACTCGATAGAAGACGAAAGGAATGGGAATGAAGCAGATAGCTATCCCGCCAAGAAGCGAATTCCCGGGACCGATACCAAGTTGGCGAAATAATTCACGCGCCTAAATGCATTATATTAGGTTAGGTACCTTTTCTGAGTCTCGTGGTAAAAAGCGTAGGTAGGTTAGGTAGGTAGGGAGTCTGCAACTTACGAAGAGAGGAAACGATGCTCCGAACGAAGCTCGGAAAAGCGCGTTCCCCGCAAATATCGACGCGACGTATGCGGGATAAGAGATCCCCAGGTAGTTGAATATCGTATTAAACAGCGTGACCACGCCGACGGTGAAGATGCTAGAGCCTACGATAGGCAGGATCCAGTGCACGCTCTCCCGCGCCGTCCACCCGTACCAGAAGAGGCAGATCGGGAGGGAAACGGCGCCGACGAATGTTGGCGGGAGCACCATCTCGGGCTTGAACGACGGCTTGGCAAACATAGGAACCACGCCGCGCTTGACCCACAGCAGGTATAGAGGTACGGTCACAAGGGCGCCGACGAAGATCCCCAGAAAAGCTAGGCCTTGCGCGCCGGTGCCGATCCCGTAGATATCGCCAAACACGAGAGGGAACGACTCGAACCAGAGGAACAGAATACCGTACAGAAGGGCCGAGTACAGGTCCATGAAGAAAACGATCGGTTCCGAGAACGTCAGCGTGAAAGCCCTCCCCAGAACAGCCAGGTGGTCTATCAGCTTGTACCGAGCGGCGTCGATCTCGGACCGGCTCCTGAATCGGGCGTCGCCAGTTGTTTCCCTGAGCCTCTTCGCCCTCCTATACAGGATATTCGCCGCGCTCGTCTCGGGGAGCATGAAGAATAGGAGTATCAGCACCAGCGCGCACAGCCACGTGAAGATCCAGATAGTCCAGCGCCAGCCCTCGGCGGGCGCGGCGAAGCCGCCTATTATGGGGCCGAACACGGGGCCGAGGACGCCGAACGAGGATAATATGCAGAGGCCGTACCCGGCGCTGGCCATGTCGTACATGTCCACGATGGTGGCGCCGCCGGTCGCCAGGGGCGGGCTGCCGAGGAACCCGGTCAGGACCCGGAAGACGAGGAACATGGGCATGTTGACGGCGAAGCCGGTGGGCAGCTGCAGGAGGATGAAGGCGAGGAACGTCCAGAAGTAAAGGGGGCTACGCCCGAGTTGGGGGATCTCGGACATCGGAGACCAGAGCATGGGACCTAATCCATAACCACTGATAGTAACGGGGTGTAAGTTAGTGATATTCTCATCATCGAGTTGGGTTTCTTGTGGGGTGCCGCCAGTTCTCACATCGTGAAGAGGGAGAGCCCTAGCGTGGCGACGATCTCGCTGACGCCAAAGTCTTGCATGATACTCGGTATGCCAGGGACATATATCGAGCTCGCGATGTAGAATGAAAAATTGAGAATACACATGAGGAAAGAGACTAGTAGTTTCCAGTTTCTGGACCAGTTCTGAGGGTTCTAATCCAGGTGTTAGCTTACACGGTGTCTTTTTTCCTTTTCTTTTTCGAAGTAAAAATACGATAGGAATAATACCTCTGGATCGTCAGGCCCATACCAATCTACCACATAGAAGTTTCCATTGTCCACGGCTGTCTGATCCGCATTGGAATCTTGCACAATAACTCCTTGTGTGGCGTTGGTTTGTTCTGTTAGAGACTCGAGTGGCAAGCCTTTATCTCCCGGTAGCAACTTTTTCCATATAGATGAATCGGCTTCGTCAGGGAATAGGAACAGTTTGTTTCTAGAAAGAAATCGTACGAGGTGGCCAAATTGCGTATCACGAATCTGAGTAGCCATGTTATTTTGGGGGGAGCTGTTTGAGCAGAACTGTTAGAGTTTAGCTACTTGAGAGACCACGACTTGCATGAGCTTTGAATAGGTATATATTGCCTCTAGCTGCTTAGGCGATACACATGAGGTAGTCGGGATATATATAACGGCTTCAGAACCGACAACATGCTCTTGATCTATTACCACCAGCGACATCCATGCTTGATATACGATTTGTCAACCAAACTTCCCCCGTGACAAATCAGGACTCTATACCATATGTACCGTATGAAAAAAAAAAAAAAAAAAAAAAAAAGGACGAGATATTAACCGTTCGCTATGTTGCGAACGGACGTTGTAAAGGTTTGGTTTGAATTTGGCAATATGTCTATGTAATGCAAGATCCGGAATTTGCGTGGAACTAGACTTTATCCCCGAGGTCCTCTCGGTGAATTCTGGCATATGACGACCGGGGTTAAAGTAGATATCTGATAAACATGGCATCTTAACTGGTAAGACGTTAGGTCCAAACGCCGAGACTGCTAATGCTGCTGACATAAATGTCTGTGATGCCTACCTAAGTAAGGTAAAGGAGTTGTGAAATCCCGTCTTGGCACGGCATTTTCTACTTTTTATTTGTTTACCTAAGGTACGATATAGTATAGGAATACAACCCCGACCGTACCTACAGATAAGCTGCTCTGAGCCCGTAAATTTATAGTTCCGATGGGTGAAAGGTGTTATTACTTGAGCGGAATCGAGGTGCTGTACTGATTTGCTCTGCGCGACCGACCTAAATAGGGGCTGTTTCTCTCTGCGTTCTGCGTACCGCCAGGTCATTGTCTCATCTAGATGTTAATAGATTGGAAGACTTACGTTTCTTGCTATTTCCCGGTATAAGGGTCAACCTGTCAGCAACAAGAATTCCGAATATTAGTAAAGAACTTAATCGGAAGAAGGCGATCTCTGTAGAGGTCTAGTAGTGATTGGCAGATGGGGTCTATTGATCTATTGTGTAAAAAGAAAAAGTCCTTTTTTTTTCTTTATAAACGATGATGCTCTATGAACGAAGGTGAAGGGGGGCATGAGTGGTGCACCAATAGTACTACCTAACCTAAGGCACCTGTAAGCTTATACCTTTCTTTTCTTTTTTTTTTATCCTTTTTTATTATTATTATGACACTTTGTCCTGTCAACAGAACTTTAGAGGATAGGCATATATATGTCGAACATAAGAAATAGAGAATTGCATTTATTCTTTTTGGAGTCATGTTATTCCTTATGTCCGATATATTGTTGCATTGGCAACTAAGTGTATATGTAGGTGTTTGATACCTAGGTATTCAATTGAATTACGACTAAGAACGGTATACTCCCGTTAAAACAGGTACCTATATTTAGCAGTACCCAAGCTTACCTGTCAAACTCAAGCCATGATGAACTTTTACTGAGTGACTGTCTCTTAGAGAATGCGGTGAGTCTTGGTCTAAATAGAGCAGGATATCGTTGCCCCTCGTTTGTAAATAAGGATGGTGTCAGGCCACATCGTAGGGGAAGCGAAAGAACGCGTAGAGAGAAGTACCGCGCCATGGATTGCGGCTGTGCCGAACACAAGGGGGAGGACAGGGGGTATTTGAAATCGTATGGTGACAGCGCAACCATCCCTCTGCCTCTATCCAGTTATCGATTATAACGTTGTCCAATCAACATCTCGCCCCCGTCTCGTGGACCCTCGTTCCTGCTAGGGATCTACGTAACAGCTTAGCCGGCAGCGCCTCGCGGGTCTTGTCCCAAGATGCTCTAGCTCTGCCTTGAGCCTCGTAGTAAGACGTTTATAATCTAGGCAATAATCAACGTCTTTCGTGTATGACAGTGACGCACACATGGATTAGGTAGGTATATAAGCCTGCTTGCTCTTCTCGGTTGAGGTTTCCTTCGTTTTACACTCGTCCTACCCGGCCCACCTAAATAACAATCATCGAGGGCGAAAGGACATTACCACCATGGGCCGCTCACTCGTTCTCGCGCAGGCGTTCACCGCGCTCGCGACTGTGAGCTCGGCGCTCACCGTAACTATTCCCGGAGCGCCTCCGTTCAAACCAGGCGGAGCAAAGCTGCTTCAGAGACGGAGCGCGAAGTCAGGCAACACTACTACGGATAGCATCTCGTGGGGACCGTGTCCGGATTCGTTCCCGTCTAACATCACGTGTGCGACTTACACCGTGCCTCTGGACTGGGAGCACCCGCAAGCCAACGAGACGATCGAGCTGGGCCTGGTCCGCATCGAGGCGCGCGACAAGAGCAACCGCATCGGGAACTTATTCGTCAACCCGGGCGGCCCCGGCGGGCAAGCCTCGAGCCTCGTCGCGTCCCTCGCCACGGCGCCGTCCGCCGTCGACCCCCAGATCCTCGACCGCTTCGACGTGATCGGCCTGGACCCGCGGGGCGTCGGCCTCAGCACGCCGGTGCGCTGCGACGCGGCGGCGTACAACCAGCGCGTGACCTGGTTCCCCGAGACGCAGGGCCAGTTCGACGCGCTCGTCGCGTACAACAAAAACCTCGCCGAGAGCTGCCGCGCCGAGACGGGCCGCCTGATCGACTTCGTCGACACGGTCAGCGCCGCGCGGGACCACGAGGCCGTGCGCAAGGCCCTCGGCGGCGAGAAGGCCAACTTCCTCGGCTTGTCCTACGGCACCCAGCTGTTCGGCCAGTACGCCGAGCTGTTCCCCGAGGGCGTCCGCGCCCTGGTCCTCGACGGCAACCTCCAGCACTCGCAGTCCGAGTCCAGCAACCTGCTCATCGAGAGCGCCGCGTACGAGGCCACGCTGAAGAACTTCTTCGCCTGGTGCGCCGCCGCGCCCGACGACGACGAGTGCCCCCTCCGCGGCCAGGACGTGCGGGCCAAGTACGAGAGCGTGGTGGCCAAGGCGCGCGAATCGCCCATCCCGGCCCCCGGGTGCGACGACAAGACGTGCCGCTCGAACGTCACGGCGGAGGACATCCGCTTCAGCGTCCAGCCGTACCTGATCTCGCCGGGATCCTGGCCGTCGCTCGGCAAAGCCATCGCGGCCGCGGCCGACGACGACGACGCGACGCTCATCTCGCAACAGCAGCCCTTAGCGACGGGGGACGCGTACGAGGACTCGCTGCTGTTCGCCGGCACGGCGATCGCGTGCCAGGACTGGACGCACGCGTCGTCGTCGCTCGCGGAGGTCCGGGCGAAAGCGGCCCTGGGGCAGACCTTCACGCCGCTGACGGGGGGCGCGTGCCAGAGCTACAAGATCCAGACCTCGTGTGTCGGGTGGCCGGCGCCGCTCTCCAACCCGCCGAAGCCCGTCTCGTACGACGGCGCCGCCAAGATCCTCATGCTGCAGTCTACCTTCGACCCCTCGACCAGCTACGCCTGGGGTCTGGGCCTGCACGCGGAGATCGGGGACCGCCGCTCCGTGCTGGTTACGCGCAACGGCACGGGGCACACTAGCTACCTGCTAGGCGGCGAGGCCGCGGCCGCGGCAAACGCGTATCTCGTCAACTTGACGCTACCGGAGCCGGGGACGATTTTGCAGTCGTGAGGCGGACACGGCCTTGCTGGGTAATGGTAATGGTTGTATGAGTTATTAGTAGGAGTTCCAAATTATATATATGGATTTTTGAGTGTATATGATAGTTAAGCGAATCCGGTTTACTGAACTTGAAATTTCAAGAGTATAGGAGGTACAGTACCTAATACATTAGCCGAGCATCAACGATGTACATATTTCTTGGTTCCTACTATGTTATTGGCCGTCTTGTCGATGGCGGAGTGAAACTGCTTATATACCTGGCTTACTTCACAAGGTAGTAATGAACTAATCAGACACCTAGTTGAGTCACAGGCCAATACATATATCACTAATGATGATCTAATAATGCTTGTAACGCCCGTATAGTACTACTAAGTGAAATTAATAGAAAAGACGATCGTATTTTGCAATACACTAATGTGTTAGTCCTACCTACGGCGTGATGAACTAGGCGTAACAAAAGAATCAGGCGCGAGCCAGAGCCCTCATAAGCAGTAAAGCCATAAAAACGTTTCCTGCGTCCAGATCGCCTCGCAGACAATGCAATATTCCGCCCCCTCGCCAGGCAATTTCCTCGGACCCTTCGCCTCTAATACTCTTTTTTATAATTACATAACGAGGTCGACTTGCCTCGTTCAGATATATCCACAAAACTCACCGTCTCTAAAATCATAAGAAGGCCGGTCGATATCACCGATTCTATAGACAAACTATTGGCTCGGTTGCAGCATCCCTTGCATCGACTCGATCTCGTTGATAGCTTCATTAAAAACACGTGTGATCGAGTGAAGCACTTTCATGCGGTTATGCTCGCCTCTCGTCCGCCAGAGCTCTACCATCATCTCGCGGTAAATGTGTTGAAGCTGCTCGATGGTGCAACCAGAGGTGCGCTCCGTAAGCATCTCCAAGAAGTAGTAGGCCTGAGAATCGTCCAGCTCAACCTGCTGCGAAGCTGACGATACGCCCGACTGGCGGTGCGATTGTGATTGCGAAGGTTCTTCGAGGGGAGCGTCGTTTAGCAGGTTTGCCATGCTCGGAGCGTGGGACGATTTTCCACCTGCGGGTGATGCTTGAGCGCGCGACCCGTGGGATGAGCCGGGTTGGGGAATATATCCCCGCAAGAGACCGTGAGCTTGAGAGTGAGGCCACTGCTCGTCGCTAGACGCACCCTGGCTATTTCCTGGATACGGTTGGGTATCTGGAAGGTTGTCGCCGGGGCTAGATTGATCGTGATGGGTTCCATTAGTAGCCTGCGTACTAAAATTGGACGATCGGTTGGAAGGATCCGACGTCTTCGTGGTAGACGCATCGTTTATTAACGCCGACGGTGATACGCCTGGCGGAAGAGATTGTACAGCCGAGGTCTGGGAGAGCTGGGAGAGCTGGTTCGTACCCCCTGCCGTCGCCTGCACCGATGTGTTCAAGGATTGAACTGACATGCGAGGCCACTGAGAGGGTGGCTGCATCGGCAGGTTCAGACCGCCGGGGGGTGGCTGGCTATCAATATCAGTCATAGTAGCATCGTCGTCGAGAGCTCGAGACGGTATGGACGTTCCGTTTGTATTGTCGTGATGTAGCGAGCTCTCTCCGTTCGTGGTGGTTTCCTCGCCAATAACTTGGAAATGAGCTGTCGTTGTATGAGACTTGTGCAAATCTAATGCCTGAGGGCCCTGTTGAGATTTTTCGCCGTTTTGCTTGGCAAGCGCCTCCTCTCTCTTCTTGGCTCTCTCTAATCGCTTCAATTCTCTCTTCCGGTACTGTTCTCTCCTCCACTCGGCATCCCAATCGACTCTCTGGAGCTTATCATTGATATCGGAGACGTCCACGCTCACGTTAGTAGCGAGTTCGTCAGCCTTAAGCCAGAGACCCTTGTCTCCGAGGTTCTTCGCGTCATGCACAAAAGACTTGCAGTCTTTCAAGAACACCCATGGGTTGACATAGTAACCGTGAGCAAGTCTTGTCTCGATCGTCACGGTATCGAGATTATAATAGAACTTGCCCGTCGCAGTCTCGAGCAGTCCTGGGGCGCCTTCCGAATCTTGAGAAATGACATAGGGACGTGGAGGGGCATCTGCCACATCGGGTCTGACATAGTTCGGGTTTGCCTCGTCGAAGAGGTATTGATACTGTGACAGGGGTATGATGGGGGACCGGAAGGCCTTATATTTGCGCTTGATCTGATCCATGATAGGCTGTAGGTGGATCTTCAACAAGTTCAAAGCTTTCCTATAGAGTAGGTTTTCGGTCTCGAGCTCTTCCTTGGTCATCTGCTTAGGCGGGGGCGGCGGGGCCACGGGAAGCGCTTCTAGTACCCTCTTTTTACGATTAGTCGGATCAGGGAAGTCTTTAGGGAGCCTCCGAATATGACTGAGGATCCTATCGAAATATTCACGTCGATTTTCCTACATTCTGTTAAGCTTTGCTCTCTTCTTCTGCATTCTGCAAAGGGGCACAGGCTTACCTTCGCTGGACGGGCGATCTCCACAAAGTTAGAGTTAGACCATCCAAAGAGATCGTGCTTGAGATCGAAGCTAAGCTGGTCCAGCTCCTTCTCTGAGGTGCCGATAACCATGATAGAATCCGTAGGCTGTATTGTTCTGAGCATGGACATGAACGCGGTAAGCGCGGGTCCAGCCAGTGTCTCGTACCACATGTCAACATGCGGAATGAAGATGACGCTCGGTTTATGGCGTCTAGCTTCGGCGAAAAGCCCGAACATGACTTGCTCGGCGGGCTGTAGATAGGTTAACTGTTAGCATAAAGGTAACCGTTTATAGACGAGTTAAACAACCACTCACCAATGGGTCACCAAGTATATTTGCTATGTCAAAATTCTGAACGTTGACACCTTCAAGGTAGTGGAGGATAGCGGCGCTTATGTAGACCTGACCCATCCCCTGAGAGCCGCAAATTAAAAGTCGTGGTCGATAAACACGAAATCTGTGGAATTCTTGCTGCAACGCCTCTCGACCAAAACCAAAGTCTTCGTCGTCGTAAGGCTCAAACATAGCCTCGTCTAGAGCTGTCACCTTCTTCTTGCGCGGGAAGACGCTATCCAAGAGGCTGGTAATAGTCTTGAATTGCTCTCGAAGAAGCGGTTCGATAGGTTTCGGGAAGGGCGCGGCTCCAGACACCGCGGATCTTTCCGAAGAAGGCACTATTTTGTTCTTAGAGAGCATAAAATCGGTCATGTGTATGTTGATCTTCTCCGGGTTGACGACGAGCTTCTCCTTGGACATGTATATCTGCGGGTATGTTCGCTGGATCGCGTTGAGAGCAGCCTCGGTACACATAGCACGCAGGTCAGCACCACCGTAACCCTTCGTTTCCTTAGCCAGAGACATCTTGAACTCGTCGGTAAGGCCCCAATCCTTGGTATGAATGTCGATGATCGCTTTGCGACCGTCCACGTCAGGCAGCGGGAAGTAGAACTCTCGGTCAAAGCGACCCGGTCGGCGGAGGGCAGGATCCACGCTGTCCGGTCGATTGGTAGCGCCGATTACGATAACCTGACCGCGACCATCCATACCATCCATCAGAGCAAGCAAGGTAGATACAATCGACGCATGAATCTGCTCCTGTTTACTAGAACGTACGGGTGCGAGGCCGTCGATCTCGTCGAAGAAGATGATGCTAGGTTGCGTTCTTCTGGCTTCTTCGAATAGGAGACGCAGCTGTTTCTCAGCTTCTCCAACCCATTTACTGAGGGCGTCGGCACCCTTCCGCATGTAGAAAGTAATCTTCCTGCCGCCAATGCCGGCTGTATTCGCAAGAGCTCGAGCCAGCAAAGTCTTTCCCGTTCCCGGGGGGCCGTGGAATAAGACACCTCTCGGCGGTGTGACGTGGAATCTGGTGAAAAGCTCTGGGTATAGTAGCGGTAGTTGCACCATCTCCTTCAGCTGGTCGATATGGCCCTGCAAGCCACCAACGTGACTGAAGTCGACGTTCATGTCCACGCCAAGGGGGTCCGCATCAGCAAGAGCCTTCGGGTTCTTAATTCTGCCGACATTCGGCGCAGGAGCGAGAAGACCACCTCCCTCCGCGTTCGTAAGAGAAGGACCGGGAGGAGCCGCCGAAGTAGGTGTCATCCCTACGATGCCAGCCATTCCTGATCGATTGTTCATCTCATCGTCACTGCTATCGGAATCCACACCACCCGCGGCACCAGTACCCCACGGGCCACCGAGCAACGAGCCAACAAGGCCAACGCCGCCTAAAGCGCCAGCAGTCGTATGAAGACTATGATCCCAACCACCACCGCCGTTTGCACGTCCGCGGCGACGGGCCGGTGTAGGAGCCGGATCGTCGTCGTCTTCTTCCTGCTCGACAGTGAACGCATTGAGCGGTGCGATTGCATAGTTTACCGGCTGGCCTCTACGGCGTCTTGTTTCGGCTTTCTTCTCAAAGAGAATTTGCGGTGAGCGGCGTTCCCTGCGCGAACGAGAATCTTGTCGGAGATCTCGGAGTTCTTCTGCTACTTCGTTCTCATCAACCTCGTCTTCGTCGCCAGATACACTACGTCGCTGCGATCTTCTCGCGGATCGTCTTCCCTTGCCTCTAGACGATCTTCGTCCGCGGGCACTAGGACTTGAATTATCCTCGGCATCGTTACCATTGCCGCCCTTGCGAGCATCAGAATCCGATTCGTTTTCCTCTCCGGACTCGTTTCCGGGCTCGAAATCACTACTTGGTTCTTGAAGAGACTTTCCGAATCGAGATTTTCGAGTTAGTCGACCGCGAGTTCTCTTAACAGGACTTCCATCATCGGCAGGTGCATCTTCGGTAGTGGCCACAGCTTGGTTAGCCCTTGCGCTGCGCGTCTTGCGGGCGACAGGAACGTCGTCATCTTCATCATCGACTTCCATCGCGTCATTTTTCTCCACCGTCTCTATAGGTTCTTCTTCTTCATGAGGGGCATCTTGAGCTGTGTCATCTACTTGATCAACGGTGCCTTCCTCAGCGGCACCAACGTCTTGAGTAATAGGATCTTGCATAGCGTCGGCTTCCGCTTCCGCTTCCGCCTCAGCTTCAGATGGCTTACTTTCTTCTTGGATATCCTCTTCAATTACAGTGGGGATCGTCTTTTTGATGCCTTTTCCGCTACGAGTTGGTCGGCCACTGATGCCTAAGGCTTCTGGGCTTTTGCTCTTAGAACCTCGGGCTGGTCTAGCATGCCTACCCGAATTTGATAGCTCAACCAGCTCGTCTTCTGCTTCGACTGTGCGCGCTCTAGTGACTCTTCTAATGCCGATTGGAGCGGCCGCATTGGAAGCTGTGCGCGTTTTGCGCAGCTGCGGCTGCGGCTGAGACTGCGACTGCGACTGCGGGGGAACTTTGAGAGTAATCAACTTCCTTTGGCGCGGCGATTTCTTGGGTGGTTCTTTAATTAGATCGTCCTTTTCTTCGTCCGAATCTTGAATTAAATCATCCTCATCTGAACTCTCCTTGTAATTCTGATGTTTCGTCGCTGCTTTTCGGACGCGGCGACCGGTATTTTCATTGATGGGAGGTTCAGGCTCGTCGTCCTCTAGGTCTTCTTCACCAAATGAGTTCTCTTGCACGCTATCGTCAAGCTCATCATCATCAATATCAGAACCCCGATACTTGGCCCTCCTACCGCGCGTGCTAGACGACTTGTTGGTTCCGTGCGGCCGAGTCTTTTTGCGTGAGCGGGGCCGGTCGACCTCGGGTTCGAAGTTTTCGTCGTCAGAATCAGACTTGTTAGGGTCGAAGTCGAGAATATCCCGCTTTCGTTTGCCACCAGCCATTTTGAAGATTGTGTCTTCGAGCAGTAGGTGGAGAAGGCTACAAAGAAGAAATAGTTAGAAAGAATTCCTTGAGACTGCCATAGAACTTAAAGGCTGATTGAGAGGAAGTGTGGGTGGGGAAAATTAAGAGGGAGGAAGATGTTAAATCCAAGTAAGGAAGGGACCCGGGTGTCAAACAAAGATAAGGTGAGCGCTTGGGGAAATCAAAGATACAATATGGGGAGTGTAAAGGCTATTGGCACTTACTCTACCTTAGGTACCTAGGTAGGTATCGAAAAAGTGGAAGAAGTTCACCTTGTCGTGATCCTAATTAGGAGTAACACGAAAAAGTATGGTAGAGGCAATGCGTGGCCTAGGGTATGGGTTAAGAAAATCAGCATACACCTTCACACTTTTAGAATGGAATATGTAATGGAGCAAACATACCAAGTAATTGCCTCGAGGGAGATAGACAGAGCTGAAACTATTGTTGTTGTTGTCAGCTTGTGTAAAGTTAGGCTTAAACCAGAGGCGAGTATAGTATTACCCTCCCTATCGCCGCGCGAACTTACCCAGGAGTAACCTAAGGGGTTAGTTACAATGAGGGTGAACACTAGAGGCTCATCACCACTGTTCACAAGAGAATGCGCCCAAAGTTCAATATGAAAACCCTCAGCTATCCAGATAGATTCAAGGCATATGGTAACGCGGTTAACCGGTTCGTCAGGGAGAAGGTCGTCAGGGGAGAGGTCGTCAGAATCGTATAGGTCGTGTCCGTCAACGTCCCAGTAATGTGTATCTGGGGTATTCCTATCCCACCCTATCAGACAAGGGGATCGACACGGAACAGACTAATAAGCCGATGCTGAGACGCGAATTCGATGGAAGAGCACGACAACGCGATAGGCTCGGAAGGGTAGGACATAGAAAGTCGAGATTGATGGATCGTTTTAAGATGAATTATCTAAAGGGGCTCTTCACGCCGATTAAAAATCAAATGACTATCTAAGGAATATCTTGGACTTTCGGGGAGAACAGACGTCTCAAATGGTATATGCAAAAAAGAGAAGAAAAAAAGATCTATGGGGGGGGTTTAAACGTAAAAGAAACACAGAGTCGCGTTAGACACAGGCGGACTGTGAGATAAAGTGAATATACGTAATCGTAACCGAGGACGTGAAAAGGGGATGGGATGAAAGTATTCCTCTCTTTTTTTTGGTGAATGAAACGAGGCGTTGCGTGAAAAGCGCAAAGCTGAAAGGATGTAGGGACGTAGGAGCTTCGGGGTTTGTAAGGTTTAGGTAGTCACTCGTCGCGTTTCTGCGCCCCCCCTGCAACAGGCTGGTTTTGTGAGCACGGTCCACTGCAAAACATGATTGTCCCACAGTACAGCAACTTATAGCCAATCAAAATTGTCGAAATGTACCTGCCAAGAATTATCTGGTGTCATACCAAAAAAAATTACCATAACAACTCCAACCCTGACAACTCCGACAATCCGTTCATCTTCACTCCAATTTTTCAACATCGAAACTCAACATTCTTAAGATTCCATATATCTCCCCGTTCTAATGCCAAAACGTAGCTTCCATAACTATATATCGAGTCGCTTACAGTTTTAGTATCCAATTGACTAATTTTCAGCTCACCCACGGCCCATAATAGATACATGTAGAATCAAATATGGAATTATAAGTTGACCATCTTCGACTCGAATTATCTCCAAGGTCCATCCCCAGATTTGCATCATATCAACGGCGCTACCATGCGGCTCAAAACTCAAGGTCAGCCCTATGAGCCGCTCATAGGGGGCAGGGGACGTTGGTTGCGTGGGTACGGCTTGCTAGGTACATGTGTACACAAAGTATTGTAGGTACGTGGCGGACCCAATGTTTTTTAGGGGACGTTAAGGGGCCGAGGGGTTGTTGCCGAATTTGCAGTGTGGTTTGGATGCCTGAGGCAGCTAAAGCCGTACGGCATTTTGAAGCAGCATTCATTAATAATCACTGCATTCATTCTATTTTTTACACTATCAGTTCAGGTTACAGTGCTATCTTACAGTGTCAGAAGACCGCAAGACAGTACAACCCTTACAACCAATCTCCAATTGGAAATAATTCTGGTTAGTGTACGAAGGTCCGGGCCAAAAGTCTTGCACATCGTAGCTTAGGTAAGCTACCTACTTAGGTATGTGTTAATAAAAAAAGGCCATACGGTATCAGATCTACCAATAGCAGCTAGCTCCCCTGTGGCTATAGTGGTAAGCCCCCTAAAGTTTAGCGTACAAGCCACTATCCGGCCCCAAACCTAGTACTAAGCCAATACAGTGCTATTATAATCGTGCACGTTAAATTCCTGTCGTTAAAAGCTTGGCAAAGCTTGGCATGTGCAAGACTTTTGGCCCGGACCTTCGTACTTCGTACACAAATTGAAATTGAATCTGTAGAAATACAGTATCACTCAAAATTACCTGGACCACCCTTCACCTCATCTAAAAAAACCTCATCTAAATTTGGCTACTCACAAGATGCGTTGTATACACAATTCCTCGATATTTCACGAACAAGTATTGGTTGAACATAAATTTCCTCAGGTAAGAGTCATTCAACTAACCTACACGAATGAATATCAAGATCAGGTACCTACCTAAACATACATGTTATCTGATGTGAAATAATTCCATTGGATAAGGCGATTCCCGCTTCCCCCACATGAAATGAGAAATGAGTGTGGGGAGAAAGGATTCCTTAGCATCCGTCAACGGCCAGGCATCAGATGGTTCGCGAACCTCATAAGGATTCAAAGTACCTTGTGTCATTTATCCGTAATTCGAACCGGCAAATTACTTACTTACTTACCTACCTCTTAACCTACCAACTTACGATATGCCATGTAGCTCATCTGCCCTGATCTACCATACGTAGGTATGGACCCTGAAGTGGTGGCTTGCAGATGAGACTCGTATATAGATCCATTAGAAGATATTTCTCATGCGTCAAGTTACTAATTATATAGGCTAGATACACTCCCGCCATTTTGAATAAGGTAAGTAGCAAGTCAGTGGCTCTCGGAATTGTCCCGCGGTTGTGTCGTTTCAGGCGAACAAAAAAAAACATTATCAGTTCGGTCAATCCAGGGCAGCCTACTCGAACGTGGCCATCGACTTCAGGCAGCAAGTGTGGAAGCGTACAGATAAAATCCCCAATGTTAAACCACTAACCAGATTTCGATACCGACCTGATCAAATATGCGTACATACAGATACGTACGATAGATATCATGGTGTCTTGGCTGCGTGTCACGGCACCGCTGATTTTAATAGGGCTGACCAGGCCTGTCCCACTTGCGACGGAAGATCGCTTGCGGGGTGAGTAATAGCGGTGCTTCTGGCCTCAGTCATACACCGTCTGTTGCTCATCTCCCTGCCCTACCCGCATTAGAGCCGCAGACCCATTGGCCACGAGGATGGATAGCTCATCCTCTAATTGGCCTCACAGAAAGGCCGTCTAACCGAAGACCCTGCCTTCTGTCCTGTCTCTACATAGTATCCTGTCCCTATCCTCTAACCTATCCGTATCACTCGTAAGCATGCTAATCAGCATTCTTCCCTGTGTCGATATATGCTTGGCTCAAGTGCCCTTTTACTTGAGCCGCCAAGCTCCCCTGTCTAAAATTCATGTATATAAGGCTTAGCCCCAGGCAACGAGGATTTGTTTCTCATCGTCGAACCCCAAAATCTGTTCCGAATAGCCGGGCTTCTTCAGCTGCCATAATATAAATAACTGCACCAGGAGTGCGACACTAGCTACCCTGGGGGGCATTCTTTTATTTCATCTTGTCCTTAACACAGCTGTCAAGTCTACAGCCCTATTCGAGCTTGAAGCTTACTACACATCTACAAACCGATACCGACAGCTTAATTTAGATCAGAAGCTCTCTACTGGAACTAGAGGTTCCTTTATCTACAGCTCTGGATACCCATTCTTCTACTTCAATCACTTCATCACACCAACCTCGATCCAAGATGCCTCACGGTGCATCTTCATCCAGGGACTCTAGCGAGTCTGCGCATCGCCGACAAGGCAGTATCAGCTCTTACAATTCGGAGAAAGACAAGGTCGGTAGAATCGCTCGTTGTTCGCAACGAGTCATTGCCCGCAATTGAAGTCAAATTCTAACTCCTAGCAGGACAGTCCTAGGGTCAGTCATTCCGACGAATGTCGCAAATTATTGTCCGGCTCTGAGCAGACGCACAAGTCACATCACCCGAAGCACCACGCACCGACGGTAAACGTCTACACGCACTGCGGGAGACATACCGACCAGTACCTCTTTGGCGGCTGGTCCAACATCTTCAAAAAGCATTAGTCTTAACTGTCTTTTGAAGCAAGGCTATCCTCGGGCGAAATCATGTTGATCGCTTGCAATTCTGTTTGATACAGTTCTCACTCTACGACGACTGTATGATTGGAATCATTAATTGGCAGCGGGCGGCGCAATTAGATGGTATGCGTAGGACGAATCATGTTCCAAGTAATACTTAAAACTACCACTCCGTATAATGATGTAACTAATTTCATAGAATGAGAAATGAGATACGAATTAAAAAAGAAAGAAAAAAGTTGGCTAAGCGTACCTGCAGACTTGTCATCATTATCCCCCTTTGCCAATGCCATTTCTTACCTGGTGACGCATCTTCACGGAGAGTCCGATCTCAAATTACCCCCGGTTAGCGGACCCGGGGTGCCGTCATAGCCGGCCAGCCAGCCAACTGGGCACGTAGGAGAAAACGCCCGTTCTATTGGTGACGAATGACACAGCAGACCCTTTTACCACTTATGGTTATTTATCTCTAGGAAGCCCAAGCGTTACATCCCTTAGTTTAGATAGGGTTTTATTTAGCGTGGAAAAAAAAGGTGCAAGTGTAAAAAAGAGATAGAAAAAGGAAAGAAGAAGAAAAAAAAAGTTGCTACCTAGTATGTTGTTTGCAATTCCTCGGATATCGGCAGTAGGGGTGTCGTAATCAAGGGACCTCGGCGTCACATCGCTCTCTTCAGTCGGACCGCGTCATTCGCTTTAAAATCGCTTCGAAAAAGCTACCAAGTTAATACGGTCCACACCGCTACGCTCAGCTATTACGAATATAAAAAGGTTCTACGAGTCCAATGGCAAGATCGTCTAAGGATGAAGTCTATCCTATCCGAAAAGCGACGATATTATGTATAGGGGGAACGAGGGATGGAAACCTATCGGACCATAAAATAGGAACAGGTACCCTCTGCCTTACACATTCCGAGTTACATCCGGATGGATAGAAGATGTGATGATGGTAAGGCTCTCTATCTTGGGCTTCTCTTATGAAACAAGCTAGGCGGATGGGGGTTTAGGTTGAAATGCTGCCGTCAAAAAGCTAAAGAGTGACCGGATGATCTATCATGTTGAAAGAAGAGGCCGGTGCACTTCACTGGACAATACCAGAGACGGCCAACCATATCAGTCTGTTCTTTCTAAAATGGAAGTAGTCAGCATCTATAATAAAAACTCCGAATGGACGTGTTAATCCTATAACAATGCTCATACTATATAAATCATGCATAAGGATCTTCTAATTGCAGACGTCATTATCTGAGTACTGATTGAGTATATTGAGCGTGTGGTATATATTAACTCTTTAAACTTAGGTTGTCATGATCCTAGTAATTACCTCCTATCATACCTTTCATAACTTGGGGACGTATATACCCTCTCTTCACTGGTGTAAGCTATAGGAACTCTTATCCGTCGCCATTATTAAGCACCTCTAGGTATCAACGACCGTTTCAACTTCAAAGTAACGGTATGTAGAGAGGGATTCATACTCAGAATCGGGATCTGCATGGCCCATATCCATAAGGTAGGTACCTATCTCATCGAAGTCTTTTAAATTCTTCCCGTGGTATCTATAAGTATATCTTAAGGGTGGATTTCTTTCTGATACATATCCCAACGGCCATATCCATATATCTATTATAAAGTGAGGCTCAAATCCCTAGCTAGCAACACTTCTGAAAAGCGGCGCTCTCGAGTGCTTTGGAAAGGTGCCTGCTTCATTAGACTCGGACCCCAGACGCCAGCGATTTACGTGACACACGGTCGGTACTTGAAGGCGACAGGCTGTAGGGAGCGGGTAGCTACCTACCTAGCTCTGGATGCCAACTTAATTATCCCCAAGCTTCGGCATCTACTTACTTCTTTGCTTCCAGCCGGGCATGCATGCCACCTGCGATCTAGCTGGGTTCGTACATGTACAATACCTGAACAATTCTCCTGGGGAGCTTCCAACGGGCGAATAGAATGCCTGCTTCATGTACTTCTCGCCGTGCTACCTGAGGCAAGCCGAATACCCATGAGCTAGGTAGGTCCCCTATCTAATGTATTGTGCCTTAGGTAGTAGTGAATGCCCAACAGAACATCGCTACCCCTGAAGATCACGCCTCGTGCCTAACCGCCGCGAGTACAGTGCCTCTAGACTAAACGCGGGAGCGGTCCATTTTTCGAATGTTTAAAAAATAAAAGACAAAACTTTATCCATGGCGACCTACCAGGTAGATAATTCGGGGTCTTCCGGAAAATGACATATCGGAGGTACCTATCTTAGGTACCTAACCTCCATAAACCATTTTTCACTCATGCTCCGACGCCCCGATTCCCCGTATTCTGGTACAGTAGAGGTGTCTAGCGGATGCCGGCATCTGCCCATTAACGCATCGCGCGGTAGGCGACGCCCATTTCTTCATGCGGCTACCCGCTTCGCTCATGGGACTGGGACTGGGACTAGGACTAGGGACCTAGGCTGTAGGTTAGGAGGTCCCTACCTAGGAGGCAGACTTGTCGGTGCGTCGGCGTCGACTAGGCATGTATGTATGTATGTATGTATGCGGTACATAACGCCACCACGCATGAAGTACGCCCGGCACGCGAGTCCGAAACTCGGAGCGGAGCTTCAGGGCAAAAAAACATATATATATAAAATTTAGAAAGATAGAATAAAATTGGTAGAGGGTAGGTCGTCTGCTGTGGTACGAGCTGTGATGAGCGTTGCTATGTGCTCGGATACATGGGCGTCTGGGTACTGTTTGCGTGCAACGGAGATCCATCAATTCAAGACGAAACGCGAGAAGCCCAGATACACAAGCAGACAGGTAAGTAGGTAGGCGGTCCTGAGGCAACTTCGGATTCGGATAAGATGCCTACCTAAATACCATACCTAACCTATGCCGTACGCCCAGAATACAAGTAAAGCGAAAAAAAAAAAAAAAAAAAAAAAAAAAAAAAGGGTTCCGCAAAGCTCTCGCGACCAAGTCGTCGGCGTCGAAGCGTGGAACTCGACCAGGTTGGTTAGGTAGGAGGTAGTTTAGGTACCGAAGTTAGTAGAACCTCAACCTACCCTTTCCCTAATTTTGAATCTCCGAGTGGCTGGAATACGCGAAGTTGATTCGAGAGGGCTTTCGAATTTCTTAGATCGGGGTTTTTCTTCCTACTTCCCTCCCCGCTTCCCCCCCTTGGCCTTTAAGTAAGTCGCACGGGCAAAGGCTCGGCTTCTGCAGAACTCCCGATAAAATTCATGATCCCGAACCTTGGCGCGCGGGATATTCGTAATTATCTACCTAGGCACCTAGACCTAAGGTAGGTAGGTATTTCGTATCCATGGACCTGTACTGGGTAAAAATTGTTGCTGCTGCTGTTATTATTCGCGATGGGGGTTCGCGAAATGCTCTTTTGTGCTTCGCGACGACTTTAGCGAACACAATGCCGCTCACATGACTCGGATTGATAGGAGAAAAAGGGCGCGGTGATCTTGGGGTTGCGGTCGAGATCCAGATGGAGTGTGAATTCCTTGTCTGAATAATATGCATTGTTTGCTCGTTGATAGATTGGAACACGGCTATCATCACGATGGGATCTTACAGACCTGCATACCTCATACATGATGCATGTATTCGTACTTGCTTGTCGTACAACAACATACCACTAACGGGCTGCAGGTAACGGAACTATCTATATACGAGATATGTATACGATGCCCGGTGTTTTGGATCTTGGGGTAATTCTTAGCTGTCCAGAATTGTAGATGTTACTATTTTGTTAATACCTCCCCTGGGGACTGATGCTTGTAGTGAAATATAGAAGGAAAAGGAGAGCCTTTACATGACACGATAAGCTTTGAATTTATCAGAATAATCAAGGGGCACCTCTAGGTATAGAACCTATTACCTAGCGGAGAGTTAGAAATGCAAGACTCCGCAATGCAGATGTAGGAACCCTTGTTGGGGATGCGGGAGTTGGTTTAATTCTTAATTCTATGTTAATAGACTAACTCCCTAGGTAACATTCAGGTTAGAGCAAAGACTGGCACTGCAGTTATAAGCCGTAAACTAACCCATAGAGGGTATTTCGGAGAGAATTGTGACAGATACGAGTCGAATACTTTGCTCCCTCCAAGTATTATAAATCGATGAAGCACGAATGCTCCCTGGCGTTGGAGAACAGCCTCTCAAAGCATAAACTTGGCACCGTCTTTGTCGCATATCGCCAAGCTTGGGAGTTACAGGTAGACCTTCCCTGCTGGGACGCTGAGTGGCGTCTTACTGGTTGCTAATTTCATATCTAAGACGGCGTTGGGTTACACTTGATACATCTAGAAAATCGAACTGCCGTTTCGAAGTGATACCTTCTTTTCGAGGCAAGGAAAAAAATATATATCTTGAACCACTCACGTTGAATACATCGTAGTTAAATGCTTGATGCTGTAGGATTGTTGTCTCCTTGCTTCAGGTACATAATGCGGATGGAGGCTCAGCAAAAGATATCGAGCCAAGGTAAGCAGTCGATCGAACATGCTAGTTTGTCTTTTCCTTCCCATTAATGTCCCTAAAGAGACGTTGTATGTGATTTGTGATGATGTAATGTAGACTAACTCTTTAGTATAGATTGGTATACGATGCGCATACGAGGTTTATACGAATACACGAATTAACACGCACCGTTCGGTATATTTTCATCGGAGCAAAGAAATATCTACTAGGTACCTATCTGCCTATGTAATAATAGAGACTGTTGCTCTAAATAGTATTAATAATAGTAATAGAAATCAGGTACGTACTTGGGCGTGGGGAAAAGGGGGTCTTTCCACGGATGACGAAAACAGAAATCGACCCGTCTATGCTGATGTATTTTTGCCTCTAAGCGATTTCAAATAGCGATTGGGATCACAATGGTATTTGCTAGTATCTGCTATTAGATCGTCAGATCGATCATCATATCGTTAGTGGAGCTGGGTTGACGATGTGGACACGGGGTGATGTAAGTATACGTATAGGTACTGTATTAGGTACATAGCGTGGACGTGATGTCGCGATAGAGAGATAATACTCTTCTTGTGTTGTCCATGGCGTTCTAGAAGATATCTAGCACGTTACAGACATCACGATACTAATAAATTCCATTGGAACTAGCCAATGAACCCGCTTGTCCCATGCTGGATTATCGCATAGCTACAGTTTCGGTTACTGTGCGGATACCTCGGGTATTGAAGTGAGGCTATGTAGCTAACGTGTTCTTGTTGTTGTGTTGTCTAGGTAAAGTTGTCTGTGTCATCTCCATGCCATTTTAATGGAATCGCGTCTGCATAATTATTTGGTCACTAGCTAAAACGAGTAGCGAATGGCATTGATCGCCAGCGAGAGTTGGTTCCTACGCTCCTTTTGGACGCTTGAAATGAGCGATCTCCGCCGCTTGTCCCGCGAACTCCTAAATAACCAGTACAGTATTAGCAATATCTCGTGCTACTGTGCCCACAGAAAGCAGGGCATGTTCAAGACATGGGCTTTAAACTATCTAATGCATGGAGCGACCCTACGTTGTGACCACATCCAGTATCTCTTGTCGTAGATCTATCAAGATATCTTTTTTTCTCCTGCTGATCCACACTCATTGTACTATTTGGGGATGTGTACCTGAATCGCTTGGGGTGCTTCACTTCCTATATTCCTTGGGGGAGTGCCGGGCAGCACAACTTACAAGGGCCGAACCCTTTCAAGGTTTCGAAGACTTCAGATGATACTGAACTCAACCAACCAGTAGCGATAAAAAGGGACGGGAAGCAACACGGTGTTCAAGGGCGTATGAAATAGGCGGTGGACCTAACCTATGAGGTATGATGTACCTCGGTCCCCCAGAAGTTGCAAGCATCCATCTATCGTCTTCATTCATGAGCGAGTTAGTGTGTGTATGAGCCTCCACGTATGGCAAGTCACGTCATTGCCCAGGATCGACACAATGAAGAGTGCGCTATGTCCACCGAGATTCGATTCCTTTTGTACGACGGTGGTTGCTTGCTGCAAAGATCCAAATAAAATAACTTGGCTGCTTCAGGTATTCTCGAAGATCGCTAGGGCGGGCTTAGGTACCTACTTTTTGTCTGCCACTCCCCGCGCGCCGACATAGTTGTACATACTATTGTACATACCTACCTAAGGTAGGTAGTGATCGCAGCACCACGTATGGATACTTTGGACCATGAATTTTTTGGACTATGGGCAAATCGAACCATGGTTGCAGAATGATGTGCGGCGAATTCTCTCCGGCGCTGAGGTCCTTTACGTCTTTAAGTACTCTCTTACCCCATACCTTGAAGATAGTGTGGTGTAGTGTGGTATAGTGTAGTGTAGTGTAAAATATTTCGTCTGGTTGCCGCGTCATGCTGCAAAAGCACGTAAAGGGTACCCGATTCCTTGTCGTTTCTTGTCTAGCGCGACGTCGACCTCAGCCAATCGTCATGTTGTAGCTCCCCTTGTCTCATCAACAATCCCGCCGGGGTGGAGGCTAATTGGCATACACTACAATTGGCATACAAATTAGCATACGGGCTTGATCGAAAGCGGATTAGCCATCATGTTTAGATGAGAAGAGCCCTGCAATCTGAGATACCTGGCACGGTCGCGGTACCTGAAAAATGTCTGAATGTTTTTAGGGGAAACACGTATCTGCTACAGGCAAACAACAACAACAACAACAACTGGAACAACAATGGTCTTTCGACGCTTGCTAGCTTGCCCCTTATCCATCCTACTTTTGATCAATTTCATCTATTGCATGCACGTGCGTACTCGGTAAGTACCTAACCTAACTTAAGGTAAGCTGGTAGATTAGCACTCCCGTTCATCTGATATTTCGTAATGGCGAAAGCGACGGCGAAGGTGTAATAATTCTAGTAATATGTCATGCAGTCCGGACAGTTAAGGCACTTATATCAGCCCATATCTACATGAACTGGATTGGCCTTTGGATAATTGGATAGAATCTCGTGCGCGTGGTTTCCTGCCCTTTCGTATAAGAATGTTGTAGTGTTGCAGTGTTGCACGCTCATCCACTTACATGCGTTGTTCCATACAATACATGTATCCTAGGTTAGGTACGTTATGTACTTGGTAGTCCCTGTGCCACTTCCAATTTTGAGTCGTAGTTTAGTAGAAAGATTGTTTTATTAACGACCTAGGAATTTAATGCCAAATCGTCTGATAACCTGGGAGATAAGAGGTCTAGGTACAAACTGGATTTGCCTACTTAACTAAACATGGACATGCTTAACCTAACCTACCATGTACAAATACTGGCCTTACCCATATTTGGCTAGTTCGGCTGAGCGAATCTGCAGTTGCTCGCGTTCTAGCTTTGGCTGCGATCCACTGTTCGCTAACCCATATGGCCTGTAGCTTGTATGCACACCACCCATCCCCATACCCTCATCCTTACCTCCTCCTACCTAGGTACATATCCCTACATTAGGTACAATACAGTTAGGTAGTAGCAGCACCCCTAGGTACCTCCTAGGTTAGTCGAATTGGTTTAGAATTGGATCCAACGCTGTAGGTATTGTACAATATTATGCTACCACCGTACTAACTACCTTAAACCTACTAGGCAGGCATGTCTTGTATTGCATTGTATTGTACTAACCTAGGTACAATAGCTACAATTATTAGGTTAGGTACGCTACGCTAACCATCTGATGGGTAGCTGGCACTGCCAGAAAGACAGATTTCGAACCTCAACTTCCAATCTTCTTTCCCTTTCCATCCCTATGCCCTTCTGAATAACATCAACTCTCTTTCCCCCCTTTTACACCTATCTCTCCTTCTTCCTTATTCTCCTCGTCATATTCTCTATTTACTTGACTACATAGTACATAGCGTTATTAAGAAATTGCACTCTGTTTTCTATTTTTTTATTTTAATTTTTTTTGTCTTGTCACCATCCCACGGTTTTCTCCCCTTTTGTCCATAGCCCATCCCTTTCCCGAATTTTTTTTTTCTCTAGGTCTTCTACGTCTCCATTCGAGCACAAATCTCCTTTGGTGCTTGTCTTAGACTGCTCAGCATCATCAATTGAGGAGTCTTTTACATCTCTTAAATCCAGAAACTCACAAAAAAATAAAAAATAAAAAACCGAATATCTTTTCCTGGCCGGCAGCACGGGTAAGGGTGATCGTGACGACGTTTTCCCATGTCCTCCCACTAGAATTTCGTCTTATCCCCCCTTCGTGTCGATCGTGGCACCGAACCCGAACCACCGCTCCTCCAGAACTAGTTCGCCGTGAGATAGCCGGCGTTCTAGACAAAAAAAAAAAGATCGCTCACGGTAATAGTGGGCTTCTTACTGGAGATCATCACTCGTTTTTCCCTGGTCGCAGGCGCCCTTCCAATTCCCCGACTTTATCATCGTTAACATCCCAATACGTTCCTCGTCATCCCTTCGACCGACATTTCTACGTGGTTAAGCGTACAATTTACGAGACGTCGGTATTTTCAAGGTGTGCATTCTTCTACTTGGTTAGGATTTATTTTTTTTCTTCTGGGCACCGTGGACTTAGCAAAAGTAGAATTTCGGCTATCACAATTTGTCGCTACTTGTGTTTCGTCACTATAGTGTTCCTACCTGCTAACATAGATACGCAGCGTCATCTTTTTACGTCGTTCACGGAGAGCCTCTTCTCATCGGAATTTCATCATCGTTAATAAATAAGTTGAGCAGGCGAATCGAACCGAGTCACTTCGCTCGTTAGCCCATTTAGCCGACCGTTTGGGCCTTCAGTCTTTGAATATGGCTGCTCTGGTCCAAACCTATCCTCAACAAAGTGGAACAGTAACGTTGCTTCAGACCAGACCCAACACGAACTCAGGAATAATGCCGCCGCCCTCGGGAAACCAGCCTAACCAGGCATACATGGGCAATCAACAAAGGAATAACTATCATAACTTGTCTGGCAGCGTCGGAGGAGGATCAAGCTCTTATCGTGGCAATGCACCGACTTCCATTCAACCATATGCCTTCACGGCTACGCCGAGTCTAGCTAACGGCGGACAATGGCAACAATACGGCAATTACCGTTCATCGTCAAGCATACCCAATATGCATATGGTGGACCCGAGTGCTGCGGCTCGCTCTCGCTATCCTGCGAACTCGAACTCGTCGGGGAGTAGTAGTTCAGGCCAAACTACAATGTCTGGTGGGCATTCTCAAGACGACTCGCGAGCTACATCTGTACCTCGACCTCAACTACCTCCCTTAAATCTCTCAGCGAACCAGCCTACTTTTGCCCAAGTTGCAGCTGCGAAATCCTCCCCGGAGCGGTATAGACGACCATCGCCGAGGTTTACAGACTCGGCTCCTAGCGTTCCGCAGGTGCAACAACCGCATGGCTCGGCAATGCCATCGGGTTCCGGTATGGCTAACGTGGTCCATCTCTACAATCCTCGAGCTATGCCAGAAAGGAAAGTAGGAATGTCTAGAAATCCTGGAGCCGTTGCGAATAGACCGCATAGTGCTTACGGAGCTGGGATTGCGATGGATGATATGCAACTATACCGACATCCTACCGAGGAAGAAACTAAAAGATATCGGCGGCGTAGCATACATTCGATCAATTCTTCCGATTACCCAAACCCCCTGACCCCGCAGGAATTGAAGAAGCAAGCGGAGGAATCATTCCGCCCTGAAGCACTAGCCGCCTTAAAGAAGCAGGGCGGTTTAGATAAGAATCAGAGAAACGCTGTACGGAATGTTCCTGGTCTTCCTGCGATAGAGAAAAACACAGTGCGGACTAGCAACGGCAGTTCAGAAAGTCTCGTCTCGAGTGGAAGCAGTAGTTCTAGGCCATCATCGGTGAGTTTTGCGGCATAACAAGGGTCAGAAGGAAAGAAAAAAAAAGTTCCCAACCATTATCCAATCAGATAACGGTCAGGGGTTGAATTGCCACAATGAGATGCTAACTGAAGGTGCTGTTATAGTCTGCCAATCGAAGCTCCAATACCTCTGCCCCCACGGCCAGCCCCGCCTCCTCCACTTCTACGGAACGGAAGTCTGGGCAGGATCCATCAAAGCAAGTAAATATACCGCCTCGCGGCTCATCATCGACTGATGTCGGCAAACGAACTATTAATCCATCTCCGTTGTCGAAGCCGGTAACCATGGCTCCTGGGTCATCTGACGACTCAGCACCACCGGCTCTTGCACCGCAGCCGGCTTCAACCAAGCCTGCCGCACCGTCCACTTCGATGGCTGATAGTCCGGCAGCTAAACAACTCGCGGCCATCAACGAGAAAGGTGGGAAGTCGAAGGGCAAGACGTCGCGACTAAGACGAGCTTTTTCCTTCGGGAGCGCAGCCGAACTCCGAAAGGTTACCGGACAGGATATCCCCGACGTGGGAAAGAAGTCCCAAAATGACCCGTCGAGATTGCACAAGAATCCTCAACCCGAGGATCTTTACGAGGCAGAACAGGCAAGGATCGCGCAAAAGCAGGAGGAGAGCGGTATCGGCAGCAGTATCTACGCTGGCACCAGACTGTTCTCGGGATCAACGGATAACCTTTCGGTTTCCTCGACGGCATCTTCTGCGTCGATTATGCTCCGCAAGATGGGAAGGGGAATGAAGAAAGGTGGCAGGTCACTAGTTGGATTATTTAGGCCCAAATCGATCATCGGAGCGCCTGGTGAGGAGACGATACCCGAGGGTTCCCAAGCCGCTGTGTCTATGGTTACTGTCGAAGCTGAGCGCGAGCGAGCTAATGCCCGTCCTGCCACTTCACAGCAAGCCCCTACTCTCCCCCCTCTGGAGACTAGTCATGCGGAAACCTCGATGATTGACGGCCATCCGTCCGACTTTTTGGGCAACTCGAACTTGGACAACTCGGCCGCGAGGAAAAGCATTATCGGTGGTGAGAGGGAACGAGCGGAAGTTCTTGCTACTATCCGGAAGGGTATCCTGAAGAGTATGTTGAACATTAAGACTTGCATATGCTTTATCTAACACGACTATAGCTCGTAGCAACTCGCCTAGCCCCTCGGCTCAAGGTACCGGCTTGGATCTCCCAGGAATTCCTAACGTTTCCAACTCCCCTAGCTCTACTGCTCCAAGTACACCAAACGACGACGAAAGCCAAGCGCATAGACGAAACGAACCCCTTGCTATTGGCAACGAGGATTACTTTGTGTCGGCGTTACGCCTTCGCCAAGACACGAAGAGTGCGCCTACGACGCCTCAGGGATCATCCGGCAAACGAAATGCTACTTTCAGCCCGCGCATAGTATTTTACGATACATGGCCGAGTGGAGAGTACGATCGTCGTGGTGATATCGCGACTTGCAATCGTCTAACTCCCATGCTGGCTCAACAGATCAAGGAAGAGTTGAACACATTCAAAATGGTAAGCAAAGAAAAAGAAAACGAAAACTATGTCATTATTTTAGGAATCTCGCTCACATATAGCTATAGGAAATGGAGGTTCATGAGACGTCCAAGATTTATACGCACTTTTTCTAACGATGATAAGCGTTATAACACGAAATCACAGTAAAATTGGTTCCCTTCTCGATTACAGGCCTATAGACCCGCAATCATGTATTTGTCACTCTCGAGAGTCTCTAAGGCGTTTTGCGCATGGTCAGCATAGTAAGGTGTCGCGGCGTTTTTCGAATTTACATTATGGAGCTATTTTCTGAGCACAAAAAAAAGAAGCTGTTCGTTGCTATAATATCCAAGTAGTACCGGTAACGGCGGGAACCTGACGGGTCCATTGAGAGGGCATCACTTTCGTCGGAACATATCTGCATCAGCCATTTACCCCTGGCCTCGACTTAATTCCGTGATAACAAGCTTCTGGCTTGGACTTGAGTTAATGGCGGTGGTGTGTCCGATGTGGCAGGCGTATCATGGGAGACGGTCAGATATCTGGACGGGGGATATCCCTAATAGGTAGAGAGATATGCTGATCCGAAAGCACCTCGTGTTCCTCGGAGCGGAAGGGAGGAATACTGCAGCACTAGGGCTAGCGCGTGAAAAACAAGGCAGAGACCCCTCCAGCTCCTCCGGTTGGTGATGGATAACGGTGGTACCTGTCTGCATTGTGTCCTTTACCATTTGAACTGGAGTTAGAGAGACACCGATCCGACGACACAACCAAAACAAGATGGATTTTTTTGGGAACCAATCATAGATTTATGTATCTATGTTGTATTCTGCCATCCTAATTTTTTAACCAAGGGACATGAGGGAGTTATCATTTGAAGTTTGAACGAGAGAATAACAGTCTATTTTGTCTTATCGTTCACGACTTCGAGGTGTTATGATAATGTTTGCTCTCTAACTAGTGGATGGAAGTAATGTACTATTAAGGGAAATATTTGACCACTAGGTATTCGAAACCGGGAACAAGAGTGAATATCATTTTAGTATCGAGCAAGTTTTCCAAGTTTACGGCCCTATACATTTATTATTATGCATGTTAGTTTCGTTTTGTCTTATATTGTATAAAAAAAACGAAACAATTCATGGTCGTACCAGGCAACTTGGGCAGAGGCGTGTGAAAGGGAAGGAATAATTCAAGCGAAACCCCATTTCCTCGATGCTTGGTTCCCCGACGTCTTTCTAACCCGTAAGGCGTTAGGAGGGTTGCCAAGAGGTTACAACGGCGAACCGCGATCTTTCCAGGAATGCCAGGATTTTGGTGCATAAAAAAGGTACCTCGGACGATTAATACGAAGAGGGAGAAGGGGAGACTAAACGAGGCGCAGCTCGCTTGGTTCGTTTTCCCTTATGCTAAGTCTTATTTAACAATTATTTTTTTCCCCACAAACTCTTGACTTCAAGGGGTCTTATGTAAAGCTACGGATTAGGTATTATTTCGGATTTTGTTATATTTCGTGGGAGCCTATGAAGTCTTTAATTACACGGTGCACCTAATTCTTTACTATAAATATTCGAGACTACATGCTATACGGTATGTATTATACACAGTATTACATACCCAACTTTAAGCACCTGGGTCCCTTATAAGTCAACAGATATATAGTACGTGATAACGCTGCTTATTCCAGCTATCATGTAACTACCTCGGTACTCTTATAGCTTCGATGTAGTAATTAAAGCATGAGTCGGACATTACCAATAGGAGGTACCTTAGGTAACCTGATGTAATAGTAGCCGTATCTCTGATAACCTTAGTCCAGACACCGATAAGCCCCGCCAAAATTATTGTACACCAGGTACAAGTAGAATTTCTCAGCTGAACCAATCATTCTCTGCTATGCAAACCTCATTTTCATCATACTCTTCAAGTCCCAAGTCAAAAATAATAAAAACCAAAATAAAAAAAAGATATAAAATAAAATAAATTACTCGCAGCCATCATTCTGGACATTGCTACGAAAGTGCGAACGCGCTGGAATATTCCCAGCCTCGCCTGCAAAATAATCACCAGAAAGCACGTCGCAATGGCTTCAAATACGGCCCATGGAACCACGATGGCGGCTAATACCAACACCAAGCCCAAGTTGCACGGACGGGCGTTCTATGAAAGCATGGGCAGTCCCAAGTTTGTGCTTGCTCCTATGGTCGACCAGTCAGAGTTCGTATGTCTTTTATTTACCTACCTACCTAACCTGAGGTATCCTATAGCGAGAAAGGCCGAGCACTGACGAACAAACTGTTAATCCTAGGCCTGGCGCATGCTCACTCGATCGTTTCTTACACCAGAGGAAAACTCGAAACTCTTAGCTTATACGCCTATGTTCCATGCTCGGCTATTTAGCGAGACGGCCAAATATAGAGAATCGCATTTCGAAGCAACCCGACCTTCTTCCTCTGCTCCCGCGCCCGAAAATACCGAACAAAGTCAAAGCCCCCCATTCCTTGATGGTAATCCGGCGTTCGATCGTCCCCTATTCGTACAATTCTGCGCGAACGACCCTGAACACCTGCTAGCCGCAGCGACCCTCGCCGCACCTTATTGCGACGCAGTCGACTTAAATCTCGGCTGTCCCCAAGGAATCGCGCGCAAAGGCCACTACGGCGCATTTCTACAGGAGGACCAGGAGCTCATTTACAAACTGATTAACACTCTCCACAACAATCTACCCGTACCTGTTACCGCAAAGATTCGTATACTGGAGACTAAGGAGCAAACCTTAGCTTACGCCAAGAACGTATTGGCTGCTGGCGCGAGTATCATTACCGTCCACGGGCGAAGACGAGAGCAGAAGGGCCACATTACCGGTGTTGCGGACTGGGGATATCTGCGCTACCTGAGAGAGAATCTGCCTAAGGAAACCGTTATCTTCGCCAATGGCAATATTCTTCAGCACGAAGATATAGAAAGGTGTCTCGAGGCGACCGGCGCTGACGCTGTCATGAGCGCGGAAGGAAATCTAAGCGATCCAGCTATCTTTGCGCGACCACCGCCCCCCGGGCAAGAAGGACGAGAGTATTGGCGAGGTATAGACGGGAAAGGCGGGTATAGAGTAGATGCCGTGTTCAGACGGTACATGGATATCATACACAAATACGTCCTGCAACAGGATCCACCGGCGCGCAGACCCCTATTCGTCGTAGGGGACGACGAGAGCTGGCTATCCGAAGGCAAGCAAAAAGACGCAGATCAAGAAGAAGAGGGCCCAGCGCGGAAGAAGCGGAAGAAGGATGGCGGTAGCAAGAACGAGAAATGCACCTCGCCGAACCTCGTCGCTGTCCGCCCTCACTTATTCCACCTCCTGCGACACTTCATCTCCAGACACATAGATATACGCGACGCCCTCGCGAAGTGCTACGCCGGCGACGTCCCCGCCATCGAGAATATCCTCGATATGGTTGAGCGGCGCGTGGCCGAGGGACTGATCGAGTACGAGAGGACGGGGGGCAAGAGCATAGAAGAGCCGGAGCCGGAACCGAAACGGAAGCCGGTACCGGAACTCGAATCGGGACGGGAAACCAAAACGGAGGAAATCGAGGCGGATACCGCTACTGCTGCTGAAGACGACCCGGAGAGCTCGGTGGCTACGGTTAAGAAATGCAAGAGGCCGTGGTGGATCGCGCAGCCGATCGTGCGCCCGCTTCCGAAGGAGGCGCTGGCGAACGGGAGCATAAGCCTGAGCAAGAAGGAGAAGAACAAGAATAAGGAAAGGGAAAAGGAAAAGAATAAGCAGGAGCCGGCGGCGAAAGCTGGAGTTGAAGAGAAAGGAAACGGAAACGGAAACGGAAACGTAAAGGGGGCTGAAAACGAAGCGGGTGTGGAATTGGAATTACCGAAGACGGATGGCGTCGACGGGATTACAGAGCCGTCTATGGATGCGAAGAAGCCGGGGTTTACGGCTGATGAGCTCGTCTGTGGGTAGGGGTAGGGGTAGGGAATATAGATGGATGGATGGATAGACAGGTACCTAAAAGATAGAAGGGGGGCTACTATAGATCACGGCATCGTACGAGCTGCACGTTGGATGTAAAGCATACCTACCTATTTTTATGAGTCTAATCAGATGCGATACGAGAATCACGCTGCTTTGCATGCCTTTGCGCAGCAAGTTGGAAGAGTCGCTGAAGATACTGTCCTAACCATGAAATTTGCATGAATCGTAGACCTACTCCTCGCCGAAGGGTTCACTGGCCAATCGCCTAGCCGACGAGCTCGATCTGGTACCTATCCGGAACGATAAAAAGGGGCGATTGTAGGATGATATCTCAGGTAGGTAAATTAGGTACCTAACTCCTACCTAAGGTTTATCATCAACGCCAACACGAGATTTAATGGCCTTGATTGATGGGCTTTTCATTTCAGGAATGAACTCTGTAGCGGAAACCAAAGTATACATATTATTTTACAGGAGAATACGTTGCTCCAAGGTCCATAGTCAACCAGATAGTCTTCATGACCTATACGGAGCTTAAAGGCCTTCCCCTTCCAGATCCAACCACTCCCCGGCATCTTATCTCTCCATTGCTTTAATGACCTCTTCAATATCATCGATCAGCACGGCCATCTTAAACCTTTTTGCGTACTTCAGCCCTTCTTTTGCCTCGTCTAACGGCGTCAAGCCATCATCAGCTTCCATGCTAGCGTTCACTTTCCCCGTCTTAAGGAGGATTCGAAGAACGAGTCTTCCACGTGTACCAAGGATCCTCGTCGCTGCCCATCGTAATGGGCTTCGTCCTAGATTGTCTCTTGCATCTGGGTCGACGCTTGGACAAGCAAGCAGCTCTTGGACTATCTCTATATTCTCCCACTCAACTCCGCGAGATAAAGCGGTGCGGCCCAAATCGTCCTTAGAATTAGGATTTGCTCCTATGCTTAGAAGCATTCTTATGATTTCTGGGCGTTCCTCCTTGACTGTGTAAAATAAAGGTGTACGTCCTTCGTTATCCCTAGAGTTGGGGTCTGCCACTATCTCTAGAAGTATTCTTGTGATTTCTGGATGTCCGTGCGAAACTGCGTAAAATAAAGGTGTACGTCCTTTGTTGTCCCTAGATTTGGGATCTGCCCCTATGTTTAGAAGCATTCTTGTGATTTCTGGGCGTCTGTGCCTGGTTGCGTACGAAAGCGCTGTTCTTCCGTCTATGTCTCGCACGTTCACGATAGATGAACCTGTATTCCCACATAACAGACGGCATATGCCGACAGCAACTTCATCGTCTCTTCCTGGATTTAGGAATAGGTGCATTAATGCAGTCCGGCTCTGCTTGTCCACAGTGTTCGTATCGATATTTTCACACGAGAGGAGCCATCGAGTCGCCTTGTAAGACAGGTTGATGATGGTATGCATCAAAGGGGTCTGCCCTCTCTTATCTGATTGATTGATGTCTTCTCCTTGTAGAGCCAGTGCCCTCATAGTTACTGCGCACCCAATTTGTGCTAAGCTGATAAATAAGCTTTGTTTGTCAAGGTCAAGCTCGTAGTACTTGGGGAGAGGAAATTGATGTTCTATCTGAGAAAAAAAAGCTTCTTCTTCCTCATCTATTCGAATATTGAGACCTTGATCTAGGAAAACCTGAAAGCCAAGGTATCGAGCAACTTGGTCATGCCCGTTTCCTAGTGCTACCACGAGGGGTGGACCGTAGGACCTCTGGCCTCCGAGAGTAGTGTAATCTAATCTATGAGCGGATTGTTTGACGAGATGTATTAAGCCATGATCAGCTAGGATATATATTATTTTTACGTTGGTATCGTATTGGAACCACCCCGACGGAGATACCTTAAGGAATCTAACCCAGGCGGATACTGGGAACTGGTCAATCCAGTCTGCCTGCTGCACTCCATATGACTGTGCTTCGTTGGAATGGAACAGGACATAAGTGATTGCATAGTCAAGAAAAGGATAAAATTGAGCCAACTTATCTCCCACATATCTGCCACCAATACCGACATTGGCCATCAAGTCGTCGTCTCGTGTCCTGAACATTATTTCAGCAAGACAGGCTTCCTTTATAGCATCTTGACCTTTGCCTATAAAGTTGGCCTCAAAGTCTTCGTCTATAAACTCAGCCTTCAAATCGGGCCAAATCCCCTGGACGACACTTTGGAGCTCATGATTTGAGTGCAGAAAAAAGTCACGCAAAGATTCGTGAATGAACCGCATAACTCCATCGGAGACTTCTTCTATTAAACCTTTGGACGAATGAAGAATGTAATGGCGCATCATCTCGTCTATGATGAGAGAACACTCCGAGATGGAGTCACCGAGGCCGGCTTGAATAGCATGGTATAGGGTTTTGAAGTTAAGCGGACGACGTGCAAATAGTACGAATTGAATACAGAGTAGCATTGCTTTGTTATCTTCCGAGTCGCGTACCAGCATGTCGCGAAATAGGGTGCTTAGTTCGGACGGTAGTTCGTTCAATCGCTTATCTAAAGCCATTATGTTCCCTGAATCGAAATCTTTGTTCAACATTGGAACTACCAGAGCTACCCAAAGGAATACTCTAGAGGCCTTTTCAAGAATCTGAGTTTTGATATCCTCGCCATAGTGTAGCGAATCGATCATGAGAGTGGTGTCAACGTAATGCTGGATATCGGCCATATGACCACGTTGACCATCTATACGGATATGTAACCCCTTTTTGATTGATATATTGGGGTAATGCCGGCTCGAAAAGCATATATTCAGTCGATCGCCTTTTCCGACGGCTCCATGGCCGATATCTTGGAAAAGTGAGACCATGGAGCGTACCAGGTCTTCCGGACATTCGTCAAGCGCGTCAATGAAGCATATGAAATGATGGCCTCCCAGATTTCTCACAACACGCCTTAACAGGTTTGCCAGACTCTGTTCTTGCCAGCCGTTTCGTTCGATCAAGCCGGGATTTGTGAACCCAAGCTCGGCGAATACCTTCTTGGTATCTGGTAGGATCGTCATAATTTGTAAAAGAAGAGCCCGATAAAGCCCCGTTACCGTACGCTCAAGTTCGTGCCCTCTCGCATTGAAGAAAAAATGAAATGATCTTAGCGCCAGGCGTCTTCATCTTTGACTGTTCGACGAGGTAATTCATAAGTATAGATTTCCCCACACCTGGTTTTCCTTTGATCCAGAGAAACCCATGATGGGCACGGGATCTTTTCTGGATTGATCCATGCCTTGTATTCTTTAGTGTCAATGATCCACATACAAGTGTTCGGGCTGGGTGGTCGAAGGTTCTGCTGACGAGCATGAATCTGGTCGAATCGTAATAATCTGAAGAGGTGATCGCAAACCTCACTAAAGTCGTGGCCTGATTGAGGCTGGTCGGAGAGGCTCTGTCCATCTATGGACTCGGAATAGGTATGGCCATGGTGAACGCGACTGTTCCCAGAAATAAACTGGGGATGAGATGAGGGTCCGGTTTGCGACATTGAGCTTGACAGCATCTATCGACGTCGAGATTCGTACATGACTATGAGCCTCATGTGATCGGGCATGGGTATAAATCGGAAGAAGCGGGGTTTACGGTGAAAGCTGATCATCTGATATCCTCGCCCAAGCTCTTGTTGGTCCCGGGTACATCGGTAGGTTGCGTGGCTGAAAGATTTCATTGGATACCTACCTCTCCTTGGACTCCTTGGATGGGACGTAAGCGAGGGGGCTGAAACTATCAATTCTACACAGTAAAGCCTCGTTATCGTCTCTTCTCTTCATTGAAATTTAATACCTATGCAACGAGTTTCGAAATGGCCAAAGTCTTTGGTATAGTAGCCGGTGCTATAGGCCTCGCCTCGGCACTAGAGGCGTGCATTGATGGAATTGGCTGCATCCAAGCCGGACGCCATCTCGGATCTGACTTCTAAAACTTTCAACTGCGTTTGACAATATTTCTATGTAGAGAAAGACGACTTTTTTGGTTGTAGGGTCCTAAACGATATCCTGACGACGAATACCGTTATTTGTCAAATGTGAAAGAGTAAGAGGATGGTCAGATTCTATGGATAGGAGAAGGTTCCAAGATTTTGTGAGAATGGAAAGGTTGAGCCCGATTGCCGATATCAGATATAGCTTAAAGAGGTATATTTATTAGGTATGTTAGGTCAGGTACAGTACCTCTTTTTTACTTTCTTTAACTAGATCATACCTGCCTGAGTGCAGGTGCCTTCTACTTGAAGTGTACTTAGTTACACACAAAGTTACCTGGTACCTATCTTACCTAAACGCCTCTAAAACCGGTATATCACGTTAGATAATCTTGCTTACGGCAGGCGTTGATGCCATGATAAGCTTGCAGACGGAATCCAATTGTTAAATTCCTTACTATTGGTCCTAACCCCGAGATCTTATACCTTCTCCCCCTCTTTGGGGGGCGGGGGGCGGGGGGGGGGGGGGGGGGGGGGGGGGGGGGGGGGGGGGGGGC